TATTGAAATAGAAATAAAAGGTTTCCCTTTGGAATTAAGTACACAATTAATCCGGTGTAAAATGAAGAATGTTGTCCAATGCTTCCGTGTTTATCCAATGCAATACTGATATATTATCTCGGTTTACCACAGATAAACAATTACGTCAGTTAAAATAAGAACTTCCATTGAAAATAACACTAAGTATTCAAATCCTATAATGTAGGTCTATGTTTTTCTCAGAAGCTAACACCTACCTGAGAATTTTACAGATTGCAATTATGATAAATTGAAATGTTCTCTCTATTTCATTCCGTCTGAGTTCGAAATGAAAGCAATATTCACCTTAAAAGATGTTTTATCGCAGCCTAAGGCTAGAAACCAGCTCCTTTTCATTTTTATATCACATCCATGCCAATATAGCTTTCACTGGTATTCTACTTTTGTCTTTAATAAGTGTTTGTCCCGGAGTAGACCCAGAAGCATACCTCACAAAAAATATAAGTCCTTCCTGCCGATTTTAATAGAGCGAGCCGAATCATGCTCGTTGCTGCGGGCGAAGGATTTTTGCAGTCAGCTAAATAACAGCGGTGATTTCACCGCAATTACAGAGACTCCAACGCGCCGTATGCCCCCGTCGGGCTCATACTGTCATCACCCTCAAAATTGGTACTTTGATCGAAGCGTCTGAAATTCTAACTGGCCAAGAGCTGGGATTGAAATCCATTTGAGTCTTCGTTTTTGAAGATAGGGCGATGAAAAGTACTGAGTAGTTTTTAGCTCTTATTATTGCCAGTAAGAGCATTTTTCTCGTTTAATTAAAGTCTCACTTGATAGTGTATGTAAAACTGCGCAGGAATTTAGGCCCGTGTACAGGAAAACTTTCTGTTGTAATTTCTGAACGGATACCCACATTGTCCTTGAATTTACCCATCATAAAATACTGAACCGTTTCTATGTTCGAAGAATCGTACATTATAATCCAAAGACATCACATGGGATGAGCCAGATCTTACTTTGTCGCAATTCAACTTTTGGAGCAACAAATAATTTTTGCGGTAAGCAATGACCCGTTACCTTTGAGAGACATTCCCATAGACTTGTGCACCAAAAATTCGAATTTAATGACGCTTATAACCAAAACTTTACCCATCCACACCAAACTATGTCAATTTGGGTTTTGCATCATGAGGAATCGATTTGGGCTATTTGCAACATTAAATTATGCCTAAAAACAGAACTTGAAATTGAAATGTCTCCCTAATCTATACCTGTAACCTTGCCTCCCTAAGGTACAGCCTTTTAGCAGCAAGTGTCTCCCTAATGGTGAAAAATTATGCCAATCTCGACTGGGTATACCATACAATTTACCCAGTATGCCGATTTATATCATGAATTCTAAATTCCTCTCCTTCTATGTTGTTATTCTTCAGTACAATGAAAGCTACTTTGTGTTCTCGCATTTTTAACTGACAAAAATTACCAGTCGCCTCACGAGGCGCTAATTGGACCGTTAAATTTAGGTATACATGTAATTAAAGTTCTTAACGTTCGAAGTAAAATGATTGCAGAGATTCATTTGAGGCGACAAGTGTGCTGAGGGAGTTGCATCCTGACGCAGGTGGCGCAAGAAAAGAGACACAAATTGCAGTATTTACAGAGCTTAGAATCACATCATCGTGCTGGTGGAGAGCAGCTGCCTAAACACAAACTGGACATTGATTTGCGTACGAAGTGGAAAGCTGTCGAAGCCAAAACCGAAACAGTAATTGAATAACCTCGTTTTCCGACAGAAGATGTACTTTCCAATAAAGAACAGGTCAATGGAAGATAGAACGGAAACACGGAGTGATTGACCTGTCTGACCGTAGAAACGGGAAGATGTATGCGAATGTACGATAGTCGTATTCGGATTACACCAGGAGTGAAGATATGGATAACGTGGGGTTTTGGGGGGGGTTTTTTAACACTTTTTGGTACGTAGTTCTAACGTTTGATATCACTTCAGTTCGCTATTTTTAAGTGCCTGTTTTCGCCAAACATCGCTGTCAATTCTAAAGAAAAAAACTAATGCTGCATGTCGAAGAAAATGACCATGGAGAGGCTTGTGTATTGAAATTAAGGGATTTTTAAACATCAGGGTATTTGAATGGCTGCGATAAAAGAAGTATTTGTATTCAATTAAATGTCAGGTTCCTTCCTACATATTTCTTGACAAATCTTTCAGTTCACACGTTGACTCAGAGGTGACTGGCCTCGATAAGTTAATTACAGTGTACCATAACAGGCACTCCGACTAAAATAAACGCATCCTCCTGTCCACTCACGCACGCAGCAGTATTGCAATGAGATACAACAGTACTATTCTTTCCACAAATATCATTTTAGTAGAGTGTTATTTGAAAATGAAATTATATTTATTGAGCATATCATGTTGCCCTGGTCACACTTAGGCCTATGTGTTAATTTTTATAAAGCTGTGATGATTTTATTGTACAGAGTAGATGTTACGTTTCAAACAGATATTTCATTCACATCAGCTATCGCTTCGTGCATCAAATAAAATCTTGTGCCTTTCTCCAGCATATCGCACAGTCTCTTAAAACCCATATGAAACATTAATTTGATTGCATTCTCCCAGGAGGCTTTCCTGCCTCCGTTAAGTGATTGGAATTCTTGGCCATGGGGACCTTTTGAGAAAGCAAATTTTGCCTCAGCTAGTTGCGGTCCTGCAGATTTTTGGCCGCTGAAGCTGTATTACGCAAGGATCATAATCAAGTATTCAGGTCAGAATTCGACAATTTGGGTCCACGGTGAAAAATAATCGAGTGAATTAAACAAATGCTGACCCCAGAGCGCCCCCATTAGTCCATTTTGCATACCAAACACGAACTCTCCGTTGTCGAGTTTGCAGCCACAGTGCCCATGTAGCATAGGATTATTTTCAAATCCCATGTCAGCGATGAGCTAGACAAGCAAGAAAAATCCTTAAAGGGCAAACAACTAAACCTACATGGACAATGAAGAAACATGACGATAATGCATCTTGTTTTTTTAGATAGGTATTTTAAAATTTACAAATTACCCGCTGAAGTATGGATGATATGTCACAGACATGTGGTTTCACTTTTACCTTTGCTTTGAAGTGAGGTTTGAATTCCCGCCAAATACATGATCATTCCGTACGTGCTGTGTACATCAGGGCCGATTTGATTCCAGCCGGCGAGACAGGCTTTTATCTGTCCAAGATAATTTCACAATTAAATTTCTCGTCTGTTTGAAATGGATAGACTTGGAGGATATTTATATGATTACCTTAAACTTGAGAATTGGATAAACTTATGTTGAATGCGGCATTGAAAAGTTAACCGAGCCAAAACATATTAGGTAAAGCCCTTCAATCCGATAACGATATTCATAACTGAAGGAGCTTTACTCTCTCACCACCAAATGTCATAGGCAATCTACCCCCCCCCCTCGGAAAGAACACCTTAAATATCATGTATTGGATAAACGTCAGTTTCCATGGCAACCACTTGAAGACACTGCATGAGCAGGTTTATAGTTATCACAGAATCTGTTCGCGAGTCGGTTTCCACCGTCTCAGTATGCACTCAGGAGATGAATCTTGAAATTACTGGCAGAATTTAATCGATGAAGGCCGTCAGATTTCATCCAGTGCACTCGGAAGATGGAAACGGATGCCAGCCAAGCATTTATTAAATTCATTAGACATTTCCTTCAATTTAATAAACTAATAGGTCAGACTGATCGGCAGTTAAAGGCAGGAAATATGCCACTGTATCATCGAGTAGTGATAGTTTCTTAATCTGTTTGTTGAGATTTGATCTGGTGTAATTGCAAGACGGGGCTTATACAGTTGAACTGGGAGAGTTATAAAGGCATTGATTGTTATCTGTACAGCGCCCGGTATGGCTGCTATAACGCTTCAGATTTAAGACCAAGATGTTGAAGACGAGTTTAAAGTAAAAGTTCCAGTTGGATAGTGCACAAAAAGGTCTGGTACTTGTGATATTTGTTGCCAAGTGAATCAAGATGGTGTTAAGAAGTATAATGACACCGACGACTTTGAATGTATATCACATTACCATCTAATTGGGCATTGGTGGCATAGTGAGCAGTTGCAACGGCTTGATAAGCCAAACTACATTCCGTACACGTCAAAGATTAGTATCGCGTAATGTAACTAACGACTTGAATGACAAACGTTGTTTCTTTTCGTCGCTATACGTCTATTACTGAAACAAAATACTTTCCATTAAAACGGATTATTCCGATTGCTCCTTTTAGTTTTTAAATACTATATTTTACATACATTTGTAATTATTTAAAGTAGCAGACGTGCATGTTCTATATCATAAAGGACATGTACTATATGATTGTCTGTAACGCCCTCCCCAGCAGCCGAAGAAGTCCCATTATCCCCCAGGGTTGTAAACGGACACCTTGAGCAGTAATTATATTTGCTATATTCATGAAAATCATAAGTTATTCATGACGGTGAATTCAAACACCGTGGGCACATGAATTTTATGAATAATTCATTAGCAATGAACATCATGGGTTCATTCATAATTAATCAGAGCATCAGTTGCACCTCAACACTTCGACTTATACATTATGAATGATTGATTCAAGGCCATCTTCGAGTATGAGTGGTCCGAACAGAGAGACGTGATTTTTCTTACACCCTGCCAATTTCTTGTTTGCAGTGTCTTCTCTTGTTTCCTAAAAAGAAATGGTTTTCATTTGGGGGCACCTTTTTTTCCCACCGGTAGTAGTTGATTTAATCGCACTTTTTCCGTAACGACATTCATTTTGTAAGCTTGTCAACTCTTCAATTATTAAAGCCGATGCGCCTTATCATTAATAGTTCATTGAATATTGTTGCAGACACCAGACTTTTCCGTGGCCAAGATTTAAATTAATAATTTCTACCTGATCTTCATCTTCAATTTATTTTGATACCTTTCCTTCCATCTCCCCTTTCTTTTTTGCAGACTAAACCGCTTCGTCATGTCACCCATCGCTGCTTTAATGTGATACCCGAACACTCTGCATCATCAGTAGCCGTCTGCGCATCTCACACATACCTGTTCCCGTGCCGTACTAACAGTCCTATAAATCAGCGCAGTAGACGGAAGAAGTGCCATTAGCTCACGGTGGATGATGAGAGGAGAACCTGGCTAGAGAGGAGGTATCCCCAATGATGATGATGATGATGACGACGATGTGCAGGATGCATTGGTTCCTCTGGTTGTCTGTCGTTGCGTGCCATTTAGGGCTTACATCTTCAGGTAAGTCCGAACTTCAACCACACCTTCTAAAATATCCCTGTATGGTCAGATCTGATTCAATTCAGGTTCTATTTGGCTTAATACTTTTCAGGGTCAAAAAATGACAATATTCTGAGTCAAAAATTTACACTTCTCTTCATCATTTTCCAGGTCATTTTGGCTCGGAAACTTGGCAAAAGCGTCGTTTTCAACCAGAGAAGTGCCATTTTTGACTCTGAATAGTATCAGGCCAAATAGAATCCCGATTTCGGGTCAATCTGATAACGGACTGTTAAGAGTGCACCTTTATAAATATCAACACCAACACATACATTTGTATTACGTGTTTCTACGTATACGGTGTAGCGATGGCACAAGACGAAATCAACGGACGCTCACAATCAAGATATTTGTTGGGAAAAACGTGATTGATAAGGGGGATGAGCTCACTTTGTGACGGTTTTCAACTATGACTGTCTGGAATTAGCTAAGAAACAATGAAGCGATTGGAATATCTCATTACTCTGATCGATACTTTCTGTGGTTCAGATTCCATCCTTGATTAAAATCTTCGTGCTAAAAAAGCTCGTGTTCTTGTTCATCAATCCGTTTTGTTTTCTGTTTCTTTCCTAGTTTTTAGCTTCACTTTGTTTTTTCTGCGTGACGTTTTTATGAGCAACACAATTTTCTTTAAGTATCGCTCGACCGACAAATGTGTCAATTTGAAATCGAATTGATTTTCATACTGAAAATTTGGTCCACTTTATCCTTGCACGGTTAGGGTTACGGTTATACGGCTGTTCCCTATTCAAAGACACTGCATGCTGCTACGAACTTCATGTTCAGAATCTTTAAACCATTAGAATTAGGACAAATTCGAAATAAATGCAATTGTGCGCGTCGAGTGTAGGCTTCTAACCTACTGACTGACCGATCGAGACGTCAAATAAGTGAGTGTGTTGGAGATATCGCGAGTGTCTAAACTCGGACAATTGTTCTGCTAAGGTTTATGAATTCCATCCTTTTCTATCCATTTTCCAATTATTATAAAGGAATGGATCAAATTTCGACTGGGACTTTATTCAGATAATCGACGGTCACTTTGGAATAATGACGCATTCCATATAGGCCCTTATCAAATGTCAGAAGCTCACATCCATCAGATTGAATTTACTGATCCCATTAAGTCAATTAATTATACCCGTTGAGTTCTCTCATTCCCTTGCATATCTTTTACACTGAAACGCAGTTTCTCTTCCAACCTTTCCCTGGCTGAAAATTGGAAAATGTGCCATCGCTAGTAAGCTTGATGGGGACTGAAGCTCAAAATATTACGCTCCAAAAGAAAAGAAGTAGGCCTATACGTGCTCCATAGTGGAACGCTGGTCTCCCTGAATGACAAAAATGAACATGCTGAAATAGAAGAACATAAAACGGACACTGTTTTATTTACATGCTGGTGGTGTGTATCTGATCTGATTCAGTTATGGATCGTTGTTCATGGCCAGCCCTATTAACTGAGTTTTACGCGCCCTAATGCTAATGGGACCACGGACTGTGAAACCATGCGTGAAGTCCGTCGGTAGGACGCCATTCCCGTTAATCAACTCCAAATTCAGAGCAGAAAAACTGAATTTCGATTTGAATTGTTTTCGATCTGTTCATAACGCTTTAGTTTAATTCTCATACAATCATCTAAACAAAGACATTAGTCATTTAATAACCCCCTCCCGAATGAGTCTGATATTTGAACGAATGTCCCTTCCCTCTCTCGACGAATGTGTCTGATATTCAAACACAACGTGTGTTGACTCATTTCAAACAGTTAATCACTTGTTCAGTTCTGCATGACAGGTTCAGGATAATTATCATGTTTCCTTGAGACTAATTAATGCGTTGTGTACACTGGTTATTGAAGACTGGCCAGCAATTAATGAACACAAAGCGACGAATGAGTCTGATATTGTATTCAAAGATAGGTCATAATGCATTATGCAAACACATTACGTATGTTTAATTTGTGCTAATGAGATGCAGCACGACCGTAAAAAAATCTTTCATGAAATTGAAACGTCTCAACCGATGAATTGTATGCTCGTACCCCATCGTACTAGTTGGATCGAGGGTGTTGACGCGTTAAACAAAAAAACTATTCCGTTAATGCGATGATTGGTATATGTATAGACACTATCGCTCACATGCTATGTTCCCAAAACATTTTTTACATGTTTTGGTAGCCCAAATGATTATAAGAGGAATAGTTTTGTCGCCCCCACTATGTACGTCTTGACATTCAAACCACATCTAATTTTTGCACCAGTGTCGTTATAACCACTAGTTTTGGTATGACACTCTGTCCTTGAATATTCATTCAAACATGAAACATCGTTGTCGTGGCCACGCTGTTTGACCTTCATCTCTCGTGTAATTTACCAATTAACTTATTTCCGTTCCCTGAAAAGCTGACATAAGACGTGGTGTATAGGCTGAATATTTGTTTTCCCTAAAGGTGTTTTATTGTCATATCACGTGACATTGAGCCAGAGGCAAAGCCATTCAATTTGGAGAATCACTCTAGGGTCTTTCTCGATCTGATGAGCAATTTCATTTCATTTCGGTGAGATATATTTCAAGGTCATCTTCATTTGATCTGCGTCATATGGAACCAGTGTTACATTGATTCTGTGGTAATAATATCAGACATGCAACTGTTCCTCGGATTAGCTGATTTCCCCCTTCTTTGACTTTTCACTTCTTTTGAAAACACTGCAAAATATTGACAAGCTTGGAATTCCCGATTTGTTGGTGACTTTTTGTTGGTTGATACATGAATGTACCGTAGCTGATGAAAAGTATATCATCAATGTTGTGTTTTGAATAGACGATTAAAATCAATTTAAAAAAGAATGCGCGGTTTCATGCAATTCTAAAGAAACTGTTAAACGATTTAACTTCACATTAAGGACTTCCTTTTGATTCTAATTTTTTAGACAAATAAATGGCTAACATGAAGAATTACATTTTGTTTTTATTTCTCCTGTCTTGTAAAGGGTATTTGACGACCGCAGCAACTGGCGTCATGCCTTCTGCTGATTACACAGTCTCTGTCGACGTCACAGCAGCATCCAGTGACGTCACCGAAACCGTTGTTTCTGAAGATGACGCTCTAAGTGATACCTCCCTTCCTTTAAAATTGACAGAAACGAACGTCGATCGGCGTAATATGTCAAGTACGGAAAATACAACAGTTGGAATTAGCATCGGCGAAGACGTGGAAAGCACAGTCTTTAATATCAGTAAGCAGGATGAAAATATGGATTCCAAAGAAAGTGGAACATCTGAAAGTCAGAGAAATCCAACAACGGGCATGGTATATTCCACAGTTAAACCTTTCACGGCTGACACGTCTGAAACGTCCACAGCATCGCCCCAGGAGGGATCGTACTCCCCAAAGCCGCTCACTCAGACACAAACATTGGTTGAAACATCCACATCACAACCAGAGAGTTTACACACAAATGTCAGCATCACTAGTGTTTCTTTGAATAAAAACCTCAAGGATATATTTACCCCCACTTCTAAAGTTTCGGAAAGAATTTTGAATTCAACTGGTGCAGAACCAACCCTTGAGGCCACCACAAACGTTGATACCTCATTTTCATCAGTGCCTGACGAAATGACGCAACATGTTTTGGACACAATTCGCCCAAGTGACGCCCCCTCAACAGAAGCCACGCCCACTACTTCGACTTCTTCAACTAGGACAAGTACTTCTGAAAATAACATTGCTCGGCTGACAGTCCCATTGACAACTTCGGATTTCTTGGCGAGTATTACAAAGACGACGAAAAGTACGTCATATACACAGCGAGTAACGGAAAAGCTCACAACGACAACAGGTATATATACGTTCAATCTCCTTATTTTTGTTTTCATCCCTCGTTGCGCAAATCAAGTAAATAACTGTTGTCCCTAGTTATTTTTCCTCTTATAGTCAACTTACAGTCAATTACACATTTCGACGAGAAACTCTTCGCTTCAGTTCATTATCAGTTCCAAAATTATTTCAAATTTGTCAAACACGGCTGAATTTGCGAAAAAAAGCTTAGGCCTAGATCTCAAACATTTGAGACGAATTGAACAAAAACTTGGAGAAACTCGGACTGATGGCAGAAACAAAATCTTCGAGCCAATTTTGAAAGATATCAAGTACTGACATTATAAATCCTGTCAAAATTGTGTCCAAATCCCCGCGTGCATAGGTCGTTTAACGTTTCAACTCCGGTGCCCGTAAGTCTAAAACAACAAACACTTGTACGCGGTTAAGTACCTGTCAATAGCTTTGCTAGTGTCTGATGATATTATGAAAAGGATGGTAGTTATCCCGGGGCAAAAGGTCCCAAGAAGATTCAAGCTTTTTCGTGCTTGCTTCTCAATCAATGCACGTACGGATGTCCTGAAAACATCAGGTATAACACTTCTATATAGTTTTGTTACATTAGTTATACTGTAACGTTATGTCAAGAGTTGAGTCAATCCTAACGGTTGTTAATTTTACGTGTAATGGTACCTTTGGTAGTCATTCCCATAGACTTTTGCACCCAAAAAAATCTGAGCTTTCATTGCACTTAACCCTAACCTAAACTCAACTATATACCCTCACCAAACTTGATTTAGGATATTTGCGACTTTGAAATTGTATATAGAAACAGGATTTGAAACATTAGGGAGACATTCATAATGTCTCTCTAATCCACCTTGTCTCCCTAAGGTACGACTAAAAAACGTGTCTCCCTAGTGTGCCATTTTGCGAGAATTCAGATGTAGACGATTATCATAATTCCTACGTTTTAAGCCTTCAAAAGTCTTTTGAAACCTCGTCTTGTACAGACCGAAATGAAGCTAGAATATCTGGCACATGATCACAGCACATCATTTTCTCTCTTTTGTTGATGTGTATAGATTCTGCCTAGGGTATCAATATGTAGTAATTAAACCAGGTCTATCCACCCAGAGCTAATCAGTTCAGCTGCTGCCTACTCCAGGGAACTCCTATATTTTTAATCTCGAAATTGTAACCATAACGAGAGAACTGTACACGCTATACATCCATCTATACCAAGGCAAAGGTATCGTCAATATCACCGTAGGATAAAGCGCTTCTAGGGTGTCCTACATGATATTATTCGCCGTATCTTTCACCTATCGTCCCCCTTTTTCTGAGCAGCATGAGAACGTTACCCCCGAGCCCTTCCAGCGAGCGGCTGTCTGGTTTTTCCAATTGCAGCGTTTCTCCCTACCCGAAATGAGAAATCTTTAATATTTTGATGGAATTGCTATCAGATGACGCGGAAAAAACACTTAGCAGCGTGGATTGAATTCTGCCCTCACGGGGGCGGCGCCGCGTGTTCGGCGAGTGACACTCGCTGTGAATCGTGTCCGGGGAAAATTGCCCAGAGGTTGGTGTTAGTATCGATGCTAACTGAAATCTCTGAAGGATTAGTCCGGCCTGTTTCTCCTTGTTTATGTTCTAGAGTTTTGAAACATCACACATCTGAAACCTGTGCATGTAAGGTTTCTAAGGGCTTGCACATTTTACCGCTATTTATCGTAATGATACTCAAGTCTTCCCTCTTTTTATTTTTAATCTCGATATTGTAATCATAACGAGAGAGCTGTACACCCTATACATCCATATATACGAAAGCAATATCTTCGTAGGTTAAAGCGCTGTGTCCTACATGATAATATTCGCCCACTTTCATGGTTGAAGAGAACTGAGTCACCATGATGTCAAGCACATACCCGACCACCCAGTCTGCGACAACACAAAAAGTACATCTTTCCATACCACAGACGCCTCTGATAAAATCGTCAATGTGTTAAAGAAAAACAGCCACTTTCAGAAGCTGCCACAGTATCCAGTTAATTTCCCTCCCTGAATATTTATCTTGCCATGTGATAGTCCAAGGTTTCCCCTCATCGACCCCGCTTTCCGCTTTCTTGAAAAACACAAGTGCACTTCGCCGCACTCCCCCGGTTTCTTCCTCCCCAACATTGCTACTGGCCTTCCTGCTCGCGCAAAGACCCTTTTGCAGATAATGTTACCACAGATATATCATGTTCTTCTCGCAGGGAAGACAAAATGGAAGAGATAATTTAATTATACCAATCGTTCGATATCCCCAGCCACTGCTTTGATGAAAATGGACGATGTAGAAGTACATACGTGGTTAGGCGATCGAAAGAGAAGATACAATTTAGTGGAGGTGGCTTAGGTCCGAAGTGGTTGCAAAGTAAAGGAGGTTTCTATAATAAGATTATATTTGACAGGAAATTTGATACTTACCATCTGAGACGAAATGAATTTACACATTGTGGCCTGTTTTTGTGTTATCAAATATGATTAGGAAAAACGGCTAAAAGGCCGCTGTCCCTGTAGTACGGCGCCAAGTCAATTTTTTTCTTTTACATGTAATTTTAAAATATAATGGAATCAAGATTTTAGAAAGATCTCTGTTATCATAATAATCATGGGTTGTAAAAGGCAACGAAAAGGAAATAGAATACTCTGTACTGGAACTTAACTTGTTTGAAATCGCTAAAATGAATAAAACGAAAGGTTTTAGACTGTAAAACACGTAGCACTGCATAGCATAGCACAGCACAGCGACAGCAATGCGCGCGGAGTTCGATTCCCACAAAAACAAACCACATCAATATGAATAACTTGAGAGTGGTCAGCTTAGAAGCAAAACACAACATAATCATTATTGTTACAGCTAAGCTCTAACTCGACACGTGCAATTTTAATTGTCCTTCTAGGGTGTTGGCGCACCCACAAAGGACGAGTAAAGCGAAGGTTGTCGCACTTGGCTTCCTACATCAGATGTTAGGTGTGAAATATGGATGCATTCCCTGGAATAGAACAAGAAACTAGACAGCTGAAACTGATGATTTACAGATCTAAGTGATTTCCTGTCTTTTCAAGATAATGAGTAGAACAGGTGCATGTTGAGGGGAATGAAAAATGCGAGGTTAGAGTTTGGAAGCCGATAAATAATACAACAAAAATAGACATATCGGCATTTCAAAAGGATATCATCTTCCTTTAAAGGGACTTTCAAATTGAGCATCTTTTTAATGGAGACAGGTGGTAACGACTAATCATGTTTAAGGCCCCTATAAGTTATGTTACTACAGTTCTACTGATGGTAAAATGGTGGCATAAAGAATTATTTGCTGTTCGTGCATTTTGTCCGTTTCAAATTCCCAAGAAGAACATTCAAAACCTATTTTGTTGAGGTTTCAGTACAATGGATATTACACTTTTCGAGAAAACAGTGAAAAACAGTGCACAACCTTTTGATCATTAAACACGATTTCATCCATAGAACTGTTTACTTCCCAAAATCAGTCACTTCACTGATCTTTGGAAATCATATAATTCTTGAATCGTTTCATGGGTTGTTTAGTTCCAGCACGATTTTAATGCAATAAGCTTTTTGATAATAATTCGGTAGGTTAAGTTTGGGATAAAGTAAATGATCCTATATGCGCCTTTAAACCTTACAACACTGATCATGGCATGAATTGTTCACTGTTTGCTTCAGATGATCGTGATGATGTTGAAGATGAGACAGATAGTCACGAGGAGACAGCCTATGAACGATCCTTAAGAACACGACGTGTCATCAACCATGCTGCTCTGTGGATCACTATTGGTTTTGTCGTTGTTTTGGTATCTTACATTACGGTTCTGGTTATCTACAATAGAATGAGGTAAGCATGGGCGTCGCGGGGGGGGGGGGGGCAAGGGTGTGCTTGCCCCCCCCCCCCCCTTGAAAAGAAAAAAAGGAGAAAAAGTAGAAAAAAAGAAGACGAGGGGCAAATCATTGCTGTTAATTTAAAGCACATTAACATCATGGGCGTCCGCAGGGGTGTCAATGGGGGTGCAGTAGGCATATGTCCCCCCCCCCCCCGCCCACCCTCGAAAAATATTTGAGAATATGCTAGAAAAAGTACAAGGATTTGGGGAAATAATGTGCTTGTCCCCCTCTAGAAAAAAGTAAGGGTAACCAGTATAGACAGTGTTGTATTCGAGTCCATCTTAAGTCCTTCCACAAGTCCTTCTACAAGACCTTCCACAAGTTCTTCCACAAGTCCATCACAAGTCCTTCCACAATCCTTCCACAAGTCCTTCCACAAGTCCTTCCACAATCCTTCCACAAGTCCCTCCACAAGTCCTTCCACAAGTCCTTCACAAGTCCTTCCACAAGTCCTTCCACAAGTCCCTCCACAAGTCCCTCCACAAGTCCTCCACAAGTCCTTCCACAAGTCCTTCCACAAGTCCTTCCACAAGTCCTTCCACAAGTCCTTCCACAAGTCCCTCCACAAGTCCTTCCACAAGTCCTTCCACAAGTCCCTCCACAAGTCCTTCCACAAGTTCTTCCACAAGTCCTTCCACAAGTCCTTCCACAAGTCCTTCCACAAGTCCTTTCACAAGTCCCTCCACAAGTCCCTCCACAAGTCCCTCCACAAGTCCCTCCACAAGTCCTTCCACAATTCCTTCCACAAGTCCCTCCACAAGTTCTTCCACAAGTCCTTCCACAATCCTTCCACAAGTCCTTTCACAAGTCCTTTCACAAGTCCTTTCACAAGTCCTTCCACAAGTCCTTTCACAAGTCCTTCCACAAGTCCCTCCACAAGTTCTTCCACAAGTCCTTCCACAAGTCCTTCCACAAATCCTTCCACAAGTCCTTCCACAAGTCCTTCCACACGTCCCTCCACAAGTCCTTCCACAAGTCCTTCCACACGTCCTTCCACAAGTCCTTTCACAAGTCCTTCCACAAGTTCAACAAGACCTTTCATAAAGCCAGTCACAAGTTACTGGATGAACAATGACAAAAGAATGCTTTTGTAACAGTTCATTTTAATAGCTAGTGACTTGACTTGTGATGGACTTGCAGGGACTCGAATACAACACTGCCAGTAGATGTCTCATATTTTCACTGTAGCGATGACATTTTTGTCTGGGTCAAAGCATTTGAAAAATCCCATTTAAGTAATTTAGTACCTTTGATGTATTCAGAAAAATAACAGGTCGTAGAAATTGCAGTTTTTTAATTGTCGCAATATATAAATGTACGTCAATAATCTTGGACACACGTCAGTTTATACCCTTTAACATGGCGTCCTCATCGTTCAAAATAAGACCTATTACAACTGTTATGTGGGCACACACTGACGATAGCCGTGGCGTAGCTGTAGCTCTATGAGCCCTTTTATGGCCACGGCCGTTCAATCATCTTTCTTTCTTTTTTTAGAATATGCAAATATCCCTAAGAAACGCTGAGTGATTTTGGCTGTTTCACTTTTGAAGTAATCTTGAAATGGCACGCAATTGAGAGCAAACTATCTTTGGATGTTTTTGTTTTAGACCTGAATGGCAGGATCCTCAACACCCTTACTCAAGATTCGAGAACGAATCTGATGACTTCCCGGATTCAAATGAAAACAACATGGATTGTGAAAACCAAGGTGTAAGTATTAGCAATCAGTTCTATTCCCATATGTATATTTGAAACTGGAAACTGGGAAAGAAGACTGTTCAACCTTAGGTTCTTCTCTTATACGGTAAATCTTTTTGTTACTGCATGGAGGTAGAATTCTACCTCCATGGTTTCTGTCACTTTCGTGAGAAAACCCTTTAATAAGCTTTATCCTAGTGATTGGAACAGTTGGGAATTTGCGTGGACATTGCGAAGAGGAGATAGAGAAGGCCAATTAACCGTCCTGTGTCGTTCATTTAATTCGAAAGCCGTGAATCAAAAGTTACTCAATGTCTCATCTAAGAAATATGATCGCAAGTTTTGTCTCATACTTCTCAGTCTTCAATTATACAATGCAACAGAGCATGCTTATGTCTTGATTCGATCATCAGGGTTGATCACCCGCATCTTTTGTTTCTTCTTATTTGCAATCATGCTGCTCTTCACCAAGAGGCATGGGGAGCCTTAAGCTTCACAATTTTCAACCGTCGAATGTTTATTAAAAATCATTCCCAAGTATTGAATGAGTGACAGGCGAAAGAGTTGGGCAAATTGACTGCATTTGGCTGACAATACGAAAACGTTGAAGTCAATGGTCTATGAATAATGCTAAAAGGTATCCATTCGCATGATTTAACGAATTGTGCAGTGGCGGTAAGGGTGAAGTAATGACAACAGCTGAAAGTACGGGGAGTCAAAAACAATGAGATTCTTGATATCTGTAGACTCGGGTTGAATCTTATAAGCCAAAAGGTTAAACGATATGCAATCAATCAAATTACATGTATATCCAACTCTGAAACAGACCTGCAGTCAAGAAAGACAAAGGCAATGTAACAATTAAGAAAGTATCGAATGATAGGACTGGCTAAAATGTGCCGGGGATATGTAGTCGAGTTCATTGCAAGTCGATCAAAAGTCTAGTCACAAGAAACAATGGACGAACAATGACCAAAGAATGCCTTTGTCAAAGCTCATTTAAATAGCTTGTGATTTGAATTGGGACTGGAGGACTTGTGATGGACTTCAGTTGCAGGGACTTGCAGGAAATCGTGATTGACTCGACTTCATCCCTGAAATGTGCCAAGAAGATCAACATTTTCCCAATCACGACGCCCAAATGTGTACCATCTCACTCCACACATACACCGTCTCCTGAGACGGCATTTTGTGATCCTCCTTGATGGATTGGTATAAGCTCGAAATGCTGATGGGGTTGTATTTCCCTTCCGTGATCAAAGGATGCATTCAAAACGGTCATAACATACTCCACAAGTACTCAGACTTAATGCCTAATGGAGGTTCACTCATGTCGACACAAAGCCACTCACTCCGTGTAAATAGCGTACTGCATCTATCCACCCATCATCGTATGGTCCATTACTGTATCACTGTCACACATTGATGGCAAGACAGGTTGTAAGAAGGATGTAAAGAGTGTTTGCTCTGACTACGACTGACTCCTGATATAACACGATAAACCGACGGGCTTATTTGTCAGGAGGATATCCCCTAACAAACATGTTTCCGCCCTTAGATGAAACCGTACGGGTACATCGTGATGAAATCGTAATGGATGTTAGACATCGGCTATATACATAACGATGGTTTGTTTTCTTTCTTTCTTTTTTTAATGCCAATCTGGCAAACAATGATGTTGAAGTTGTACACTTATATTATTTTAAATTAAACATTCCAGTTTTTGTCATAAACGCCCTCCTTTAAATAAATTAGTTTTTAATTCAGTAGCGAGTTTCCCAGAATTATATTTGAATATCAACGTAATATTCAGTTTTGTCAAAATAAATCAGTGTATATTGTATGGTCAATTAGTCATTATAAATAAATTGATGATAGATGTAATTCATAGTCTAATAACGTATCAACAAATTCATGTATGCAAAACGTAAATAAGAGTTTTCGTTTGATTTTATCTTTCTGTGTATTTTTTATTTAACTGAAAATTAATTACTAAATTAATTTTGTTTCCGACACACAACATTTTCACACAAGCAATCATTGAATAAATCAGTATTACTTCAAACCGTGTTTCCAAGATCAAAACAACATATCATAAATATAGATATTTTAAAGCTTCGCTTGCACAGGTTCACGAATGGCATAACTCTAGGGACAACCCCTATTGCCCAGGGGAAATATATCAAGAATAACAATAAAGAAATACGGCAAAACTCGTTAGTAAGTGTTAGGGTTTTCATCGAAAGAAGCCAATGAATACAAAAACAGCGTCGCACCGATTTCTAATCTAATATCAGAAGCCTTAGAGACTTAAGTCTAATATTGTTGGAGGGGAAATGTTGAATCCAAAACACGCACCTGCAACGAGACATGAAGAATTGTACGCTGATCGTACTAGGTCGTTGGCCTGTTGATAAATGCCTTGTACTTTGAAGACTTTTGTGCTGCCTTTTTCATGGATGTCATCTTCACTATAAACGGCCAAACCTATACGCTTTGTGACAAATTCTGTGCGTGACACATTGCAAACCTTGTCTATTAAGAGTACAAGATTTCAACAAACAAAAATGCTCCTGCTGAATTAATGGTAAATCTCTTGAGAAGGGTAAAATAATATATTTAATATCAGAATTTGTGTTTTACATACGAATATGGAAAGAATTTAATCAAATATTTCCTTTACACTTGTTCCTGTAGGAAAAATTCAAATTCAGCATTGTATCGATGGGATGAATCGTATTAAATTTTGATGTAGTGACGTAAACGGTTTCACTTACTACCCAAAAAAAATGTATTTGAAAAATCATCGGAAAGTTGCATTGATTTTCAAAAGTTTAATCCCGAGTGTTTGAATATTCTCGGCAATTTAATCCAGACGTTCAAACCGAATACCGAAATCCGACAACCTATCCACACATGCGTATTGAGATGGAAACAAAATTGTCACAAGAACAAATTCAGCACGTTACTTGGGTCATTGTCCCAGTCAGTAGTGTGCTGGTATGTCATTTGAATTTCCTGATCCTCATGAATAAACTCGGTCGATAAAACAAATCTGGTTCACTCTCCATAGACGAGTAATCGATGCAGCCGTATATAGCCTAGCCAGTAAACACGTACTCCTTCGGTTTTCATCGACTAAAGCAAATTCAATGGAACTTAATGTCGATATTATGTGAGAATGTTGGGGTTTTTTTCAAATCACCTTTTTTATTTATGGAGTGCAATAACAGGACGAGCACAAGAAACATTTTATTATAAAAAAAAATGGGAGGTCTTCTTGATTTTTTTCATATCCTAACAAGGTTTTGATGTTCCCTGCTCATAAAAAAAACACCTTTGATTAAATACCATGAACCGCCTTAAAAGAAACATGGTGCTAAAACAATTTTGATTTTTAACATTTTATTTATATCCTGAATTCTGAAGACGATCAGAGCGTATAGTGATCGAAACGTCGGGTTCTTCTTGAAATATCTTATCACTCAAAGGAAATATCTTACCACTGAAAAGAAATATTCATGGTTTCCCGCCCACGTCCCACGGTTAACGGTACTATTATATCGCTCACGTTTGAAACCTGATAGGAACAACAAACAATCGGGCGTAGTATACGCAGATTGTACAAAGAACGGAATCACAAACAGAATTCTGATGATTCTGGCTGGTTGTGAGACATGCTCATTACAACTCTCCGCTAGCACACCCAAAGAACGCTTCGTCCCGAGCAGAGGTTCATTGAGCTAACAAGCACCTCCTACGGGCTTTGTGCTTTGGTCGTTGCCAGCAGCAAAATCAATACCTCACTTTGGAAATAAAAATCGCTGGGGAATAGTGATTCAATTTTCATTAGACTTGTATTTTGTCTGAATTGCGATTTAATCTAAAGCCACCTGGTGCGTTTGCTTTCCAAAGTTCGGACATCGCGTATGTGATTAACTTGGCTCCCTGTACCTCTCTCAATGTTTTTTTTTATTCCAGTCCAAAAACAATTCATATATGAAAATTATGATATCGTATGAAACCTTCACAAGAATGATGCGATACTTATATTATGTTATCTTCTAGTAAAGACGTATTATAAAAATCATAAAGGCGATTTTGTTAAGGCGGTGACAGTTGCAATATTTAAGATTAGACTAAGATGACGATGATTAATAGGTTGCAGTTGCTATAACGACAGTGATGCTGACGATGATTTCATTCCCAGTTCTTTCCCATTTTGTTCATTTTACCTCAACTTTTATATTCCCACAGCTTATTGAAGACAACTCCGAACGCGAGAACAGGCGAGATTTCTCACAGTGCGTGGATCCGCGAGACTTCCCACCGTGCGAGGGTTCGCATGAGTATCTTCTGTATGAAGACCCAACCGTGATGGACGAGAATGCGTGCGAAGACTTCAGTTACCGCGATTAGTACCGAATGGTTTGACGTGGGCGGATCCCGGATTTTTTAAAGGGGGTTGGGGTTGGGTGTTGAAGTCATCGAATACAAGGACTAAAGGTCTGAAGCAATCAAAATGTTCAATGTTGATTGATGACGTCATTCCAGAAACTTAAAAAAAAATTGAGATTTGTTTCCCATTATGTACATACAAGTAATTAACATTGGTCCGTCAGCAGGGGGCGTGTGTGTCAGCCATAAACACCCCCATTTACCTCTTTAGGATTCGTTTATGTTTCATGCTACCCAGGACAAGTCTGGACGTATTTCGTAACAACATTTTACAATGTTAATAACTAAAGGCTATTAGGATGACTCCAACTTTTGTTATAGGAAGCAGTACACAAAAATGTTCATTCCATTTTGACCTGGAATCAGAAAAACGAACGGGAGAAACATTGTTTCCAGCGGTTTGTATATAGACAACAATGCTCGCTTGTAAATAGGACTTTTATACTGTATGTTTATAATTAAAGAACAGTCAAAGTATATCCAAAGCTCGCGCAGACATTCTTTGTAATTTACAACACACATTTTATTCATAAACAAAACAAAAGACATCGTTTTCAAATAACACATAGGCCTAATACAGTTTACTTTCTATAGGACGTAATGTTTTGTTGCCCGCTGTATAATTGTACCATTGGCCTAATTTCGAGCTTACTATCTTTTCGGCGATAATAGGTCATTTTTTCGGTGAGTCTTTTTGGTATTTCCTTATCTTTTGTTTAACCGCAACATGTGCTCAATTTTCCACCAACAGTTTTATTGAGGACAAAATTAATCACTTAAGGAATGTCGACATCTGCTACTCTTTCAGAAATTATTGTCATTCCTTGTAAATATTTTTGAAAACCTTCATAATATTCCAAATTGTATCATAACCTTTGTAAATAGCGTCCCGTATACTTTAAACGTGTCTACGTAATTATAAAGGTTATCATTTTGTTGATATAGTATATAATAATTGTTTTACCAGTTCTTACATCAACTATAAGCTTTTCATCATTATTGCTTAGGCCTATACCTGAATCACTGGTAACGCTATATTTCTCTTCATTCGCCTGAAGCTGGGGACCGGCGGTACGTTCAGAGTGAATTCTATATCCAATTTAATCGATCAAGTTCCCACTAGAGAAATGATTGGTTTTTTTCCGAACTCTTTCAATCAATGTAACGCAAGAGTAATTTTTCCTAATCGTCCGGTCCCCATAATTATATGGAGTGAAATCAGTCTTTCTCAGTAAGAGAGACAGAGTAATAATAAGATTGATAGAAAATTCAGGGAAAGGGGTTGTTCTCATGAAAATAGTTAATCGGTGATGCTTGAAAACAAATTTTGGCGGGCTTAAATGCCGTCATGACATCGATTAACATGGCAATCTGCAAAGTTTTGCTCTTCTTTTGATCTCTTAGTTCCAATGAGTGAAACTGGGACCAGACAAATGAAACTCTATAATTTGGATTGGAATACTTTGAACAAGAGTTACTACCAGTAGAAACTCATTAAATAATTGTCATCCGTTCGATTGAGTGAATTTTAATATTACCGTCTTGTCCCTATGGTTTCACTCAGGAAGCGTGAAATGCGAGATGAGGATTCTGGAATTCATTAAATAAGTTGAAGCAGTCAATGTTTGTGAGTCTTTACTTCCAGTCTGAAGTTGTTGAGCAGTCTAGCTCATGTGCTTCTCTAACATTAATAGTTCTAACAGTTGGAAGACGCGTTGTGTTCCTTCGACTGCTCCTCAAACAACAGCACATTTTACAAATCATCTTCCGCGCCGTTCGTTTGAAGACTTTACTACGATAATAATACACCAAGCAGTCTAACCAACTGCTCGAAAAAGTTGTCAGTTGGGCAGCGACAACGAGGTATTCACTTGTCGCTTCTCCCGTAATTTCTCGGTACAACCAAACACCAGTAAAGGGCATCCAGCAGATTCCAAATGTTGCAGTTATCAACAGGAACGTTACAGCAGATTTAGTGTGCATGTTGAATACTTCACCGTCCATATTTTGGGGCACGTTGTTTGGGAGCACGGCGATACGTCGTGCGTGGCGGCGTGCTATCACAAACAATCGGGCGTAGATGCAGAATGTACAAAAGCAAGGAATCACCATAAAAAGTCCTACACCAGCCGTGTACACAGTATGGCCTGTCTGCTTGGTGCACACCCAGCACATATCACTGTCTGATCGAAATTGCAACTGGTATAAACCAATCGACCATTTACTGATGATTCGATAAATGAAGGGTAACGCCCATAGGGTAATAATGAGTATTAGTGCCCGCCTTTGAGTCATAATAGTTGGGTATTGCAGAGGTTTACATACAGCTATCAAACGGTCAATGCTGATACCAAGTAAACTCATAGTTAAGGCGCCACCTAAAACTGACGTTATCGCTTCGTGAAAGTGACACATTGTGTCATGGATAACCGGCCATATGTTGTAAGCAGAGGAAACAGCGACTGGAAGAACGACTAAGAAACCAAAAGTGAGGTCAGTTGCAGTCAGAGCCGCCATAAACAGTCGAGAAATCAAATGGATTTCCTTCGTACGCCACAACACCAGCAAGCAAAAAATATTGCCAATAATAATCAGAAGAGCTATGATTCCCACCACAGTGCATTTGATGATATCAAATGCACCGTTCATTCCTCCACAATTCTCCAGGCATATTTCGTTCTTCGAAGCATCGAAATAAAAGGTGTTTTGATGCATCCTGGCACAATCGGACCAATCCTCTTCCCATTTGCTGTCAAGTGTGTCTAGACAATCGGCAGTTCTCGTTTTCTTTCAGTTATCTTGGTAGCACGCTCGTTCACATCATGACCACACACGTATACCTATGCCTCCAACACGCAGAATGAAAGACAGAAGAACAGCAATTGATTTGGTCTCTGCTAGCGAAACCGAAGATCAAGAAACAAATATCTTGAAGTTTGTCAACCAAACACATGAGCTGTATGTGACTGGTATTTCCGATTCACTAGTTACTGTTTTCAAAATAGTTTTTGGCACACTGATGAAGCTACAAACGCCGTCGGACCAAATTAGGAACATAAAGGGCCAATGGAGTCGAGTCCAACTCGGGACCACACGCAGAGTGTTTACTCTCTGCGCAGCTAGATATGAAGTGGCACGATAGTAAATTGTACCAAGATACTGTAATTTTATTGTCACAATCGTTACAACAGGGCCAATTCCTACTAACCACGTGATTGCAATTGCTGATGTGTTGTCCAAAGTTTAAAGTGCACATTTAAGCCTTTTATTCCAAAATAATCGAATTTGCAGCTCATTACCATTATTTAACTTTGAGTTACAAGCCCCCCCCCCCCCTCACCCGCTGACTTATGTTATGATACTTGTAAATTGGGGCCAAAAACAATAAATGGAATGCTACTTTATTATCGCAAATTTTCCGGGGGATGCCCCGGCCCCCGCTAGTTATTATTATTATTATTATTATTTATTTAGCCATTCTCACAACATTATAAAGAAAGGCAAGGAACAGCAAAAGTGCAAGTACTGTGGTCCGAGGACCTGCTGCACCGTTAGTTGGGCGTGCCTTGAGTCTTGAGCGGTATCACCACCGGTTATATCCTTCTCCAGTTAGGCAGCTATTCATGCAGCTATACTAGGATGGTGCAGAAGTTACGTCACAGGCAAAGGGCCTTCGGCAAGCCTTCACTCTCTGCCCCCCCCCCCCCCCCCCCCCTTCATATCAACCCCCGTTTCCCGAAAGCTTAGTAGAAGCTATCGATCCGCGCTGGGTTATCACATGGTTCTCAAACCAACACATTCAATTAATTTCTTTTTAATGCATCACGTGGGTTCCCATTCAAGGATTTAAAACATATTTCACGGAACACACAAGATCGGAACACAGCGAGTGTATAGCTGTTTACTGGGTGAAATTCAAGTAAAAAAAAATGATACTCCCGCAAACACTTCTAGATATTCATCAACACTTTTTTCTTCTTTTGCGATAATAGAGTCCCTTCACTTTCTGTGTTGATAATATTTTCAGATCAGTGAAATTGTGATACTCAATAAAATAACTATAAAGTATACTTTGCTGTTTCTTGTCATCATTACTTGTTTGAAATAATAATAATAGTCGTATTTATAAAGCGCCTTTTTTCCAAGGGATACAAAGCGTTGGGGGATAATGAAAATGAAGTAGGCCTACATGAACATATATGAGACCTATTACATGCATTATGTAGCACCTTCTTGCTAGGTGCTGCGGCGCATATTCAAGGGCGGATCCAGAACACAATTTGGGGGGGGCCCAAAAAAAATTTGGTCCCCCCAAAAAGTGGGTCCAAAAAATTACGGCGTTTTGGATTCTAGATGCTCTGTGGTGCGATCTGAGGCAATTTCTGACCACTTTAACCAATGTTTTTTTAATGTTTTTTTGAGGAAAAGATGGTGGTGTACTCATTGCCTGCCATTATTGCGATGTCACATAAAAAAAAAAATTGGTTTCGTTTGGGGGGGGGGGGCCATGGCCCCCTTTGCCCCCCCCCCCCCCCGGATCCGCCCTTGCGCATATTGCAGCCACTGCCAGAAACACCGGGGCAAACCCCTTCTATCGACAAGTGTTACTGGGTTCTTTAACGTGCATTACACAACACACGGGACCTACGACTTTACGTCTACATTATACATGTAGAATTATGTCTTGCACGAATTATCCTTTCTGTGAGGGTTTTTTTTAAACGTTTACTTTATGGCTTTATGAGATTTAAGGCCCCTGATCGATTTAGGGACTCCGGCTAAAGTTTGGTCCATGTTATTCTGAAGTGACACTGAATCATGTAAAAACAAAGTAGGCTTAGGCTAAAGGGAATATACATCATTTGCTTTTGCTGTAATTTTCAGAAATGGATGGAATTGGGGGGTTGGAAATGTATAGCAAATAGAGTTACACTGACTTTTTTGAGGTTTTGGGTTCGAAAATGCTATAAAAACCAAGAAAAACAATCTTTTCCTGTAGTCTGGTTCCCTGACTCCATTTAAGAAGAAACAGAGCAGTTTACATATATTGGGGAATTGTAAGGTCAGGGAACCAGTCTAGCTGGCTTGTACCCGTTCATAGGTGTGTAATCGATTGCAAACAAGTGCGATGGTCAACTAGGGCCAGTATTTGAAAAAAAAAGCCAGTTTTTTCCAACGCTGATCCGGGCCGATCAGCGTTGGAAATTGATACAAAAATACCACTTTTCTTGAAAATGACAGTATACCAGGTGCCATGATTTTACAGGATGCTTTACACTGTCATTCACTAACAGTCCAGCAAGGTATTTCAAAATGATTTGGTAGTTTTATTTTTTGATGTTTGCAAATGTTGTATTTATAGAAGCCAAGTCGAAAACGAAGCCGGCGTTTCAAACACGACGCGCGCGATGCTTGGCAAGCTGGCATTGCGTGAGCACTTGGTGGCGCTATTTATGTGGCGCCGAAATCAAACTTTAGTTTGGCACTGGCAGTGCAAATCTCACCAAAAAAGGTAAAACCACTTTGCTTCTCGTTATCGAAATGACTTAATTGGTAGTCATGGCAACTGAGGAAGGGAACAGTGACAATGGCGTGAAGTTATCACAAGGTAGGCATATGTGAAACATAACCGTACGATGAATAGCTGCAGCTGCTGTTATGAATAGGCGGAGTTTTTTTCGCAACACTATTACTGCAGCTATTTCGTGAAATAATATCATGCAGTGCATGCGCACGGCATTGATGGTCTGGCATTGTCTGGTGTGGTGTAAGTGTTGAACTTGAATGGCTAGGTTTATCTTTGGAGTACATGTATCAGTTAATTAAGCGTAGTGATTTTGTTGTCCTTTCCTCTTTGCGGGTCTTTCATATTAAATTTTCAACCCAGCTATAAAAAATAAGTCATTTATTTTGAATTGATCGTAATTCGTATTCCAAGTGTCGGCTGACGTACTGTGTGAGTTCCTAGAGGTAGCCATTCATCAGATTCTCTACGTCAGAAGTTTGTATCCCTCGGGAATCTTTGATCGCAGGAAGAAGTACAACATACCAGTGCAGGTGAGAATGATAATTGATGATATTGATAAATAGCTTGAAATATTAACCGTAACCTTCCCAAATCCTCAAAAATCCTCTTTGCAAAATGAAGGATTTTGCAGGATTGAGGCTATATGGCAAAAGTGTGGTGCTGTTTTGGGGGATGCAGTGTGTCAAGGTCTTAGGTGAGACTGTGAATTGTTTATGCTCATCCATGCATATTTAGGCCTACATTATACTTGAAATCCTCCGCACTGCTCCTGGATGTCACTGGCTCTGCCTCAACATATTAACAGTGATTGCTGGAGGATTTTGCAGGATTGAGGCAGTGGTCACCCCTGACCCCTCCAAGGCCCACATTCAAGAAATAACTCAGGATTTTGCAGGACTGAGGCTGTTTGCTATTTTTACATGGAGGCAGTTGGAGGATTTTGCAGGATTGTGGTTACACCTAACAAAAAGTGCCGGAGTTAGGGTTATAATCAATCATTAGTATCGTTTTTTTGTGACTGTGAGCCACAGTCGATGGTACATTAATACTGAAGACACTTTAGAGGTGCATGGCTTGATTGATACACTTACAGCTGAGATACGTTGTGTTTGGATATGAATGAAAAACGTGATTTATGGTACGTACATGGTATACAAAAAATATGAGTGCAGTTCTCCATGGGCATGTCTATTTCATAAAATGCTTCTAAATCTCAAAACTGGCAACACTGATCCTTGTGTGTGCTTAGAGTGTTTGATTGATGTTCCTTCACATAAGGTGGGGAACAGAAATCAGGCTTTATCTTAAAAGGTATTATATCAATCTCAATCATACATTTTAATGAAGAAACGTAAGGAATAAGACAATCAATTGGGACTTTAATACACCTTTAGATGGTTCAGGTAAGCCTACACACTCAGCAAAAGTGAGTGTGCTGTTTTTAAAATTCAAACTTCAAAAAAAAATTTTAATCTCAGATCTTGATTTTGGGTAATTATGCAAAACCTATGTACACGTACATGTATGTAAGTTGAGTCGATGCTGATGAAATAGGGGTGTTTGAATGTGTTCACAACATCTCACACTTTGTAATTATAGTCCAGTGGAATCAGTTGATTTATATGATTAAAATGACCCTCAAATTTTGATCAATTTATTTTGCCAAAAATAAGATTTTTATAAAAAAATGATTTAAATCAGTGATTTTTTTTTAATCACTTGATTTAAATCGCGATTTATATCAATGATTCAAATCAATGTGGTTTAAATCAGCCAACCCTGGTCTTATGTTGGCCATCATGCAGTTTAATAAACTACATCTTGATTGCTCAGGTCTTTTCAACTCTAATTCTTCCATTAAGAAGCCTTTTCAGGGACCTTTTAAAGTTGATGGAAGCCATTCACATTCACATCAGAAGTCAACGAGATGATGGATTTTGTTGTTTTTTAGGTATGTGTATTTACTCCATTTATGCTATAAAATAATGCAAGATTTTGCACATTTGATTCTTGCGTTCATTTTTTTCTTGACAGATGTCTCGTCATCCAGAACTCAACAAGTATATTACTGATGTTCTGGAAGGAATGAAACCATTAATGACGAAAGTAAGACTATAGTTAGAATTAAGTGGCTCTAACAGGATTATCAACAAGTCTAGAATTTGAAACAAACTCAAATAAGACAAACAGGGTTTTTTAGCTGAGGTTATTTGGTATTCTTAAGTGCTGCTGAAATTGAGAAAAAAAACCACCAATTTTGTAAGAGTTCACTGCCACCAAAGTTTTTGCTTTTCTCAAATAAAATCTAGTCATATATTTTGTTTGCAGTTCTTTAAGGTATATTTTGGAAGTTAATACATTTTTAATGTGCAAACATAGGGTAATTTGTGTACGTTTTGGTGTAAAGAGTTTTTATTATTAGTCCTTTAAATTTGGTTTGCTTTTTAATTCAACCAGGACGAAATTCAGTGCGTGTCTGTGGTTATCATCGGTCCAAACCATCAGCCAGTAGAAAGATTTGTCTTTGAAATATCTCAGCCTGCGTCCCGCTCTTTGAGTGATGACAGCTACTTACTGAAGATGGAGCAATTACTCAGAGCTTTCTTATTGAGGATAAGCACATGTGATGCTGCCTTACAAAGCAACCCGCCTGGTAAGAAAGATGCGATGTTTAAATACATGAAGATAAACAATGCTCACCGTTGTGCTTCAGCTTTCATTCCAGACCTATTGAACCTTCATTACATGTTGTATAACATTTCTGTGCTACATTTCTGAACTGGTTCTTCTTTGAACCATGCATCTCAATAGAGATATCATTCACATGATGTTACCGCAAACTTTCCATTCTTTGTTCATATCCACCATGCAAACCTTAACTATAAAAAGTCTCATTTCTGTGCTAGATTTGTAACCTCTAAATGTTAATAAGGGAATATCCACGTTTAGACTTGAAAGATGTGGCATTCTCAATGAAGTGGACACACTAGAAAGTGTGAGATCAGAGTGTGTGTGTGTCCCTGAGCAATACACTTGACTACAATAGTGTCTTTCAACCCACACACTGCTATATACGTACAGCAACAAGTTCAGCAAGTCAATGTGTTGTCATTACTAGACAGTGCCGCTAGACCATAATATCTCATTTTGAAGTAGGAAATTCTATCTTAACCTAACTCCTTATGCATTTTTGCCAACTGCCTCCATGTAATAATTCCATACAACATCAATCCTGCAAAATACAGCAAAATTATTTCTTGAATGTGGTCCTTGGAGGGGTGACCACTGCTTCAATCCTGCAAAATCATCTAGCAATCACTGTCAGTATGTTGAGGCAGAGCCAGTGACATCCTGGAGCAGTGCGGAGGATTTCAAGTATAATCTTGGCCTAAATGTATGCACGGCTGGGCATAAACAACACAAGGTCTGACCAAAGACCTTGACACAGTGCATCCTCCAAAATTAGCCATACATTATTGCCATAAAGCCTGAATACTGCAAAATCCTCCATTTTGCAAAGAGGATTTTGGAGGATTTGGGAAGGTTAGGGTTAATTGTAAAAAAGATTGTTCTAACTTGTTTCAACCTTGTTTCGTTCCAGAATGTTACTTCAGAGTTCTTGTACACACCAAAAGCTCTGCAGTGTTTTCCATAGAAGACAGTCAGTTTATTCAGGTTTGTCTCTCATGTTGGATCTTTTAAAACTTACACACTCTTTTATAGCCTTTAAGAAATTTAGTTTTAGTTTTGAAAAATTCAAGATAAAATTTGTCCATTTTTCCTCAGGACTTTCCCTGGATTGAAGCAGACCAACATCTTTACAATCTGAATGATGCTAGACTGACTCCTCTGAAGACAATGTACTCAGATTTGATAAAGGTATGGTCCTCTAAGTACTAATAGAAATGGCAGCAGAGCCAATTCTTCCCCCTTTCTCTAGTTTTGAAATTCCAAGATTTGAAATTTGTTTCATTGAGTGTTGAAATTAAAGAAATATACAGCACACCTCCTAAAATGTTAGGTACTCAATCACCTGCGTAATGGAAATCACCACATTTTTGAAAGACATTTTTTTTACTTATTGTTTTTATTACACAGTTTCCGTTCGAAGCTGATATCCATTTTGTGAAGTGCGCATTCTGTGAGAAAGTAAATTCTGTTACAGTAAATTGTGTCTGCATATTTATTTATTTTTCAGATGCAGTTGTACGTGGAGGAAATAGATCCAAAAGCAGCAGCAGTGGAACTTTCGTGACATTTAAGTTGAGCTTAATAATAATTGTGAAAAGACAAATATATATCATTCCAGTGTGACTGCAATGAAGATGTAAAATTCCGTTTTCTTATCTATGATTGGTTAGACCAAACTTGTACATGTGTACATTTATTTGTTTTTAGGTTTTATTGCAGCTTTCTGAAGAAAAGTAAAACACAGTTTATAAAAACAAATTGTTCAGCCAAACTTGAAATACAAAAATGATTTGAAATACAAAAATGACTTGAAATGCTCTTTAAAAATCATTTAACCATATACAATGTTTGTGTATATTTGTTAGATGCACTACTTATTAAATTGAATACAAACTACCAACATGATTTTAAGGAGTTTATTTTTTCTCTCTTTCAAGATGAGCCATTATTATTTTGTTCACAACTTCACTTACAGAAAATTGTTTTAACTAATTACATGTATTGCAAAGCTAAAGCCATTTTCAAAAGCTACTGCATTGCAGGTACTGACATGCTTTGGATCAGTGTGACTGATCTCCAAATATTTCAGCAGCTGTGGTTTTGTTTTCAGGCAAGAAATCTAGACCTTTGTTTCTTTTTCAAGAAACAATGAATGAATAAATGAAAAAGACTTGTGCAGCACCGTATCTGCCACAGATGGGCACTCATGGCGCTTGCCATAAAATGTCCAACCCTAACCAGCAAATATACAGCGCATTATCAAGTCAGATATAAGTTCACAATTTATGGTGAAGTTGCCTCTGAGAATAAATAGGTCTCGGAGCCGATTCAAAGTAAGAAGTTGTTGAGGCAATTCTAATGAAGTATGGCAACCTATTCCACAGCTTTTCTCCCAAAGACCGGAAAGATGTGTATCCCCATGAAGTATACACCAGTGATTCCCTGAGAAACATTTCTGTGAACAATCCTGTTTACCACAAAACAACAATAAAAGTATGCATATCCCTCATAAACATCTTATACATCTTCCCTGAATTGCATCTTAATTTCAGTTCCTAGTTCTCCTAAGAGTTCTCCATGGGTGATAAGGTTTGAAGCTGCCGAGCTATTTATCCGACACACAAACACCGTAGTAAATCCTTTGCTTTCCGTCACAATGGAAGTTGCTGTCGACAACTTCTTCAAAATGCCCCCTGTGACATCATGTGCTTGTTGAGTTGTTGCTACGGGTACAGATAGGCATCCATCGTGTGTTACCTTGATAACAGGAAGCAGTTGTGCATCAGGATGTGATGGTGGTTTATCGTACACCCCATCGATGTCAGTCAGGAATATGACACGTTTGGGTTCAAACACTGAACACAGTTTCTGAAAAGGAATACAATTTCTTAAAATTAAAGTCAAGTTTAAAAATGTATAATACATACATTGTATTAGAAGAAAAACTGAATGATTGCCAAGTTGTCTTTGTTTAGGAGGAAATGGGATGAAGAGGAATGCCAAGCCCCCTTACCTCTAGGGTAAAAGCCTCTTCAAAAGAAGTCCAAAATAGTCCTCTAAAAACAAGCCTGAACCCCACATTGTTAAGTTCTTGATCTAATAGAGTAATAGACATCATACCTCAATGATGGTATCGCCACTGAGTATGGTACAACCTTGATGTCTGTCTAACACACAGTCACCGTGCATGACAGGCTGATAGCCTTCAACTAGCAGATTCTGGATACTGGCTGTATCTGATTGCACAACGCTTCCATGATCAGTCACCCATCCACCACAAGGCTGATGAAACAATGAAAAAAAAAGGACTCATTGGAGAGGGACTTGAAGTGTTTTTGCCTCCGCATCTTTGTTATTTTGACCCCTTAATGCACAAGGTCTATCTTGGCACCAGTGGCAATAATTTAGATCACAATGTACATTTATTTAAATTTTGAACTTACTGAAACTCCAACAGCATTGACTCCTTGACTCACAAACTCATTCACAATGATATGATTCAGCTGTAATCAGAACACACAAAAAGTATTTGAGATTTAATGTAAGCTTACTGGATTGGAAAGCATTGCTAAGATCTGGCAAAATGACTTAAAGGGAATGTACAACATTTGTTTTTGCTTCAATTTTCAGAAATAAATGGATTTGGAGGATTAGTATGTTATAGCAAATATTGTTACACTGACTTGTTTCACGTTTTGGTTTCGTAGAAAACCAATCATGTTCTCGTAGTCTGGTTCCCTGACCCCACTTAAGATGAAATGGAGCAATTTATAGACTTTAGGGAAATGTAAGATCAGAGAATCAGTCTAGCAGGCTTGTAGTCTTCACAGGTGTGTAATCAATTGCAAAGAAAATGCAGACGAACTAAATATGAAAATGTAGGAGCACTTTTTGAAAAAAAGCCAGTTTTCTCCAACGCTGGTCAGCCGACCAGCGCTGGAAAAATACAGTTTTTCTTGAAAATGTCAGCACACCAGGAGCCACAACTTTACTGGATGCTTTAGACTGTCATTTCCTAACAATCCAGTAAGACATTTCGTGATAATTTGATCATTTAGTTTTTTGATGTTTGCAAATGTTGTATCTTCCCTTTAAGCTGCCTCCATCAATACTGCCCAAGTGCAAGCTGTTAAGAAAATTTCCTCTATTTGAAAATAATGAAGGTTGTTTTGACCTGAACGGAACCTTAATTCTTTTATACATGTAGTAGGATTTGTAAATGAAACTTTCCTTGAATGCATGCCTTGTTGGACTTACTTTAGTAACAGACACTCGTGTCTTGCAAAACCCCATCTTGGCCCGGCCATTTTGTGCATCACCTTTGTTGCTATGGTAACCCTGTGCAACTCCATATTCTTTTGCCTGGAAGTGGCCAAATGACCTGTTAACACAACAAAAGAGCATCGAGCATGATTGAAAATATACTGAAAAATAACATTTGGAGTGATTGTTACTGGGCTGTTCATGAATTATTTTTATCTGCAGTAACCATACCCCCCCCCCCCCCAAACATTCTGCCAAAAACGGACCACTAAAACCCCCCATCATGTCCATACCGGCATAGTGACGTGGATGCATCACCGCTAGTTAATACTACCATGGAGCTATAAACACATAGCTCCATGATACTACTAGTACTACTAGTCCTGTACCACTGCATATGAATCACCACTGGTCTCACCACAACACGACTCCACCACCATTACAGAAACTGCATTCACAATAATTCCTTTATTATTTATAATAATTATGCGAATGCCAATTATCAATGCACGCCAATTTCATGTGCCTACCCACCCGGCTCCGTGCACAAGAATAATCCGCCTTTCACTTAAAATTTGCAGTTTTAATAACTCTGCAAATTTACGGATTTCATCCAACTTCTCCGTTTCTAAATGATCTTTCGCTGTCACTGCACTCCCGCCAAGTTTTATGATGCATTCAACCTGCATCATTTGGCATAATAAAGACGTTTTCTTGCAGTAGAAAGTTTTGGACTACACCGTGCCAGCAACTGAACAGCTGATAAAAACGAAAATGTGCACAATGTGGAGAGTTTGTTTACCCAACTCTTGAGGGCGCTATTATCTATCAGCTGTGTTCAGGTTTATTGTGGTTTAGCTTTAGTACAGTGCGCGTGATGTATTGTGTCATCGCGAGGTGAATCGCCACTCGTACTGCACGTTTTAAAATCACTTCCGCATAATTCATTCTGTAAATTGTTGAGTAGAACTAAGAAGCAAAAAATGTGTCCTCGCGGGGCTTCTGTTTTTATACTTGCTGTCGTATTTGTGTCGATGTTGTCTGGCACATTTTCAATGCCTTCATTTCTCTCCCAACGTTTGTGGTAAGTTGGATTATTTTGTTCCTTGATAGTTGATAGCCATGTTGTCGATGTCTTTGTTGACCTACCCTGCCTACCTAGTGCCAGGCGCGGTTCTAGAGCCAATATTTTGGGGGGGCTAGCAAGGTGGATCCAGAATTTTTTTCAGGGAGGCGTGCTGAAATGTAGACCGGTTATTTTCTCCGGACACTTGGGCCTCTGTCTCTAAAGACTAAAGCCCCAGCCCCCTGTGGAACTGCCACTGCCTACCATGGAATAAGAACACATGTTCCTCCATGCTTGACTCGACATGGTCGGGTCGATTGTCATGTTTTTTTGTGTGTTTTTTACTTTAAAATTTATAAAAGTTCTATTCTTTGAGTTTGAGAGCAAGTTCAGAGGGTTCGATTGTTTCTTGCTAGTCTTCTTTGAAACTTTTACTGAGCTCAGCAAATATTAAAATGGAGTAAATGAACATATTTAATCATTTCTTTGCTGGCACATGAATCAAGCCCCCCAATATCTTTTTCAAGGACAGGCATTGACAGGATAGGAATAGACAAAACAAGAATCTTCAATAGTTTTGTGTGAAACTATAAATATTTAATTTGATAACATTGGATTACGCATAACATTGAATGGATTCTTTGATTTATTTTATATTTATTTCTCAGTGAAAATTGTGTACAGAATGAGCAAACAAAGTCATGGGACTATCTCCTATTTGTAAACCAGTGGCCAGAGACTTTTTGCAAGTACTACAATGTAAGTTATACATTAGATTCTCAAACAAACAACGAACAAACAAATGATATAGTTGTTTCTGCGGAGCAACAATAAAACAAAAATCAAAATTAACATGATTAAGCACACATTCTTATTCATTTTGTCATAATTACTATTATTAAATTATAATGTAACAGGCCTAATTTGATTATTTGTTTGTTTTTCTTCTCTTTTGTTTCTAAAAACTTTTTCATATTTTGTTCTTTTTAATGTTACAAATTTATGTGTCAAGAAAATGCAATTGAGACTTTTAGTTTTAAATTTGTGGTACGGAACAGTTTTCCAGGCTTTGGTATTCAAAAGTCATTTTCACATTGCATATTTAATAAAAATGAGGACCTTTCATTTGTTGTTTTGGGGATGTTTCTCTTTAAGATGTTAAACTGTATTGTGTGTAACCATAGCTACCGGTACTTACTCCCAGATGCACAGTTAAATGTAACACTAGTTTATCTTTTGCAAAATGTGCAGAGTAAGGTTTTGTCAGAGGTTTGGAAATATTTATTTCACAATGATTGTCTCTGGATATGTGTGGGTTTTTGTTTAAGTGAAGTATAAAAGCGACAATGAGTTTGTCAAACGATAATATTAACAGATCTTAATTTTGTCAAAAGATAAGGCAAAATAAAAAAAAAAAACATGTTTAGCGTCCTGCCTCTTTGACAAAAAGGAAGGAGGAGGCCCTTCTTTTTTTTTCTTTTTTTTTTTTCAAAATGGCCGCCCGACACATTTTTCAAGACAACGCGGCCGGGCTATTTTTCAAGATGGTTACCAGCTTTTTTCAAAATGGCCGCCACTTGGACTCATTGACTATTTCCACAGCTTTATACACGGTATAAAAGTCTAAAAATATGATTTCTTTCGTCAGAGATCGTTAAAATTTATCAATTTTTGTCTTTTAAAAAAAAAAAAAAAAAAAAAAAAAAAAAGGAGGCGGCCTCTAAAAAGGAAGCGGGCGGGGACACTAAACATGTTTTTTTTTTTACTTCGCCTAATAAACAGATCTTAATTTTCTCTATAAAGTTGTGTACAAAAATCAATGGCCCAATTTTGAGCTTAACAAATGACAAATTTTCACCCCTAGGCATCACACAAACACGACAACAAAGATGGCCAAGAATGCATCATTCCGCCAATTGTTTCAACCTGGACCATCCATGGCACATGGTAAGAATCTCACCTACAAAAACACAAGCAGAAATAAAAGGAAGTCTTGGGCTAAAGAAAAAGATGGGAAAGTCCCCTTAACGTTTGCATTCATATTATTTAATTTGAATTAAATTCAACTTTATATTTTTTTTCTGTTTAAATTGCCCCTCACCCATTTTTGTGTGGTATGTACTGTTTTTACTATTTTAGTTTTTATTTCCTGGCTTTTCCGCAAAGTTGCGGAAAAGCCTTTGTTTTTATTCTCATTTACTTTTTCTTCCTCTGTTTTTTTTGTTTGTTAACTATGTGTATAAGAATAGCTCAGATCATCATGAAAATTGGTAGGAAGGTAGATAAGACATCAAGATGATATCTTCAACTGATTTTCGCTAAATGTTTAAACTTTTGTAATATGCATAGACTATAAAAAGTTTACATTCAATGCATTTTGTTCACGAAATTATCATTTGAAAGATTGGACATCGCCAAGAAAGCATAAACTCAACAAAAAACTATTCATGCAGAATTTAAGCCCAATGTTTTGTTCATTGAACAGACATAGTTCTAGTTTCTATATTAATTGTAACTTGATTATAATTCACTAACACTAACAATATTAGTTTCATTGGAGTTACATGAATATTTCTAGAATATTACTCAAAGTACGTGTATGTAATATGAGATTCAGAATGTTCTATATTTCTTAATTGACAGGCCGACTAAGACGGGCACTGAAGGACCAACAAGTTGTAACAATACTTGGCAATTTAACTTGAGTCAAGTCAAAGTAAGTAATTCACTTGTACATCTTTGTCTAAAGAGAACGACATTATTTTGTTTCCCCTTGGGATATTTCTTTTGCATACACATGTTCAATATATTTGTAGTTTTTCTGTGTATTTTGTGTATCATGTTATGTCAAGTGCATGCTTTTTAAGTCTGTTCTAATTTTGAACTCAGTATTTTTCTAGGGAAGTGGTTCTCTGAATTGAGAAAGTTGTCCCTTTTTGTTTTTCAGGATCTTGTTCCCGCTATGAACAAAACTTGGCCGGGGCTACTGACAGGAGAAGAATATTGGTATTTTTGGTAAGTTCACAAACATTTCCTTCCAGTTTTGATGAAACTTCGGTCTGCACCACATTTGCGGTTGATAAGATGGAATTTGCAGGGTGATTTAATTCATTGGGGTTTGGCCCTTCACCGACATACAACACTGTATACTCAGGAGGTCTCACATTAAGTGCTACCTGCAGGATTCTTAGCCTGCCAGCCAAATGCTAGTCAAAACAGCGGGGGACTAGTCAAACTGTTCCCGAACTAGCCCAGCTGGTGAGTCAAAACTTATTTGGCTACAGCAAAAATGAATGGACACTAAGAAATAAATCATTGATTTCAGAAAGCAAACCTGTATTAATGTGTGTTTATTTTTTCAAGTGTAATTGTTTAGGGTTCAATTATTTGATCTGTTTATAAGAAACATGTTTTCACATTGTTGGTTATGAGACACTATAAAAGTAAAACATGCGGGCTAGTGAAAATGCCCGCGGGCTAGAAAAGAGTCTGTTTCAGTAGCCCGGCTGGCTACTGAAACATAAAGAGTGAAGGTCAAACCATGGAGGAATAAGTCCATGGTCAAACCTGCTACCTGAGGAGTTTGTGAATTTCCTCTCACAATGCCTCGGGGCAACACTGAGTATACAGTGTTTATGGAATACATCAGTGAAGGGCAAAACCCAATATGGAATTAACATGAAAATACACCAGTTTGTAACACACCGCATTGTCCTTGTGCCACCATTCCAACCCTCATTCTTGACCTGATAACCAAACCTACATTATTCTGCAAACCACCCCTGGTATCCATTTAAACAACACTCCATGTACAAGTATTACCCTTAGCTATCCCAATTTTTAGTTGTTGCCTCAAAAACCAACGAATTCAACCCCAATCATCATCAAACATATGCTAAAACCCTGGATCAAGTATGCCATTTGGGTGTACTTTGGAATACTTTCCTGTTTATGAGTTTATTTATATCACAAAGTGTTTATTTTCATGATATTGCAGTGTAAAAGGCTTGTATTGATGTGACCTTTCTGCCATCAGTCAACATTGCTCAATTCCAACAAAGGACTGAGTTTCAATAGCACACAGCTCAGTGCCTATTGTGCATTTTATTTCACCAGAACTTTTTATGTTTTGCATGTAGTAGACATGCAGTTGTGTACAAATATACCGGTAGTTACTTCCTCATTGCAGTTGGATTTTGTTTTCCCTATAAGACCAAAAGTTTCAAAGACCTCACAGACAATGTTGCCTCAGAAAACGTATGCTATCTTTTGAAGTGATGAATATGCAAAACAATGATGCAACTTGGACTACTGTAATATTTTCTGCAAATAAGAGTTAGAAAGTTTGGCGCCACTCAAAGTCGAGGCATTTTTCCTATCTTTTTCAGCTACTCAAAGATCCAACTGTCTATGGAAATAAATCAAAGTGGAACACCAACAGGGTTGTTCAATATTCCATCTTGCTTCCCTGAAGTTTAATTAGAGGTTGAATTCTTACCATTAGCATTCAAATAGAAACCAAAATGTACATGACACATCCTCATAAAACTGATAATACTCTAGCTTGTTGAATTAGTGTATAAAACATCCTGTATGTAGCGTAAACGTATACAGTAGCAATGTTTGTTTACACTAATACTTTATATTTATTAGCTCTGATCCAGGAAATTCCTTGTGCATTGTAATGTACCAATGTTAATTCTGTTCTTCACATTCACTTCCTGGATGTATTTGGTTCCTTCCCGGGGCTCAAGGCTATTTTGTTTTTCTCTGGCAATATGATAAACCTGACTCGTAAAACAAGAAGGAAGCGTACATGTAGAGTTACAAAAGTTTCAAGAAATTTAGGGAAGCATCTGTTTAGATTATTGGCAATATGACATCAATAGAAACCAGAATGTACTTTCACAACTGTTTTCCTTACTATCTGTTTGGGAAATACAAAAAAGAAGATATAGTTATTAACTAAATATTGTTTCCTTCTTTTCTCCTTATCGTGAATCATAGTGAAAAGCATTTCTTCACTGACTCAAAAGTATTTTGTCAAAAATATTTCATATATTCCTATAAATATTTCAGAGTGACTGATTGACAGTGGAACGCTGCTATAGTACTGTATAATGAACATTGAAGGATCCACAGAAATTGTTTGTAATTAATATAGTGATCGGTCGGTATAGTGATTTTAAGCTACTGGTGCTCCTGTACTCACTTTTCAATAAAATAGCGCCCTTCAGAACTTCACCCTACACACCCTGGTAGTTACTGAAAGACGACTTAAAACACAACCACTGAATTATGTTATTACACAGTTTTTGAGCTTGCTACCTACAGCAATACATTTAGGTGGCTTTCCCCTTCTATTCCATGGGGAAATAATAGCCACTTGTCGCTCTGCTGTTGAGATTTTTCAACAACAATGTTCGGTGCATTTTGTACACAAAAATCTGGAGCCAAACACAATGTTCGGTATAGCGATGTTTCACTGTAGTTTGCCTTTCTCGTGAGTGTTAAGAACTAATATAACTTACGTTCTTATACATAACAAGTCAAATTATTTGGTCAGATGGTTCATTTTTAGTAACAGAAATTTCAGTTCTCATGCTGTGTAATTTTAAGTTTAAATACAGATACATGTTCATAGAGATAATTATATCTAAAAACCCATAGCTGTAACTGTAAGTTCTTGTGTCTGCAGGTCCCCTATAAAAGTGTTGTTTTTTTCTGATTTTGGATTGTGATTCTATGAAAACTAACCATGAACTTGCAGTCACATGTGGTAATTTTGTTGATCACTTCGAAATCCTTGTGCCTTTCATCCAGGTCACATGAATGGGATAAGCATGGTACCTGTGCAGCTAGTCTTCCTGTTCTGTACGGAGAACACAACTATTTCAACAAAACACTCCAACTGAAGCAACAACATAACATTGATAAGTAAGTCACTTACGTTGACACCAGTCACATATCTTACACAGTAAATGGGAGTCAGGTTGGCACAGTGATTCCTTTCCTTGCCTTTCACTTCTATGGCAGGGGTTCGATTCCCGTCCAGACCACATTATAATTGGGCATTTAGTCCCATCATGACCATCAATAATCATCCTGGAAAAACATCTTAGAGGTATTAGATTAGAGAGAGGGGGGGGGTGGAAAGAGTGAGATGCTCAGACATTTACCAGTCATTATCCAACTCTCACAGTTGCTAAACCAATAGTGATTCCTGATCCCTACCTCCATTTAAATCATCACAATTGTTGTCATTGTTGCATTTCATCATATACAGGATCCTGAGCAGCAGTGGCATTATTCCATCATCGACTGTCAAATATACTCGGGATAAAATTGAGGAGTCCGTCAAGAATGCTACCGGGGGCATGCCAGATCTTATTTGCTTCCAAGAAAATGTAAGAATCCAGCAATGTCAAGTGAGACTGATCAAATAGGGCACTGACTGATCATTTAGTTAGTGAGTCGTAAAACATTTAACAAGTTTGGAGATGGTTAAACCATTTCTGTTCATCAATGTCCATCACCTTGTCAATACATACAATCAAGGACTTCATACAAAACACATCTGGTTCCATAAAGAAATCAAGAGCTTGTTTGATTGGCTCAATTAACCAAGATATCCATGTTATGATTCATTTGTATTAAAGATACGGGGCATTGATCGATCAACACTAACAATTGAAATATTTATTAGAGCAAACATGATATCGATCAGTAATAGCAGTCTGCAGTATTTTTCATCTTTCAAAGGTCAAAACCTGACTTGAGCTAAGAGAATAATCCTTTTTTTATTAACGCATGATTAGTTATTTGTTTCCTATCTTTCCTTGATATTTTTCAAAGTTATTTGTTTGGAGTGAGCATTACACAGTTTGTGGAGGGACTTTCCCCATTGTCACACAACCTGTTAACATATGTTTTTTGTTTTCTTTTCTTTTTTCATTTTACATGGACAGAGTGACTCTGACTTCAAGCAGTACCTGCAAGAGATCAGATTGTGTTTGGATAAATCCCTGAAACCGTTTGATTGTCCTAAATCAAAATTCATGCACTTGACATCAGAATACGATAGTCCTTGCTCCTCCAAGACTCCCATCGCATTGCCACCACTCACAACAGGGAATGCAGCGGTGTAGAAAAGTGTAAGTCAAGCAGTAGACTTCTTAAAGGCTTATAGCATCACTCACTTGTATCCCAAAAGTAACCTACAGAATTATCAACAAAACACTAACACCCTGTGAAACTATTCTGTCAGGCTTGCTGTCATTTAAAAGAAATCAAGAAATGTAACATGATTTCCAACAATCAGTCAATTGACTGATATTTAAATATAGAGTGCTTGATTTTGGAAAATTAAGTGTGCTCGAAGAGTGGACTTTCCACTGAGCTAAATTTTTAACAGGTTAGGTTTTGAACATTGTTCTTTGGAGTGGTGTGATTATTGGTAACAAACAAAATGTGTGACAAGGAAATTACATTCTTCATATATTGCAAATGTTTACTCACATTTACCCACAAAAGCAGTGCATACAAAATATTTAAATGAGACAGGAAAATGAATGTTATATACATGTATTGTACATAATGTTCATTGTTTCCGCTGATTATTGTATACACACAGCTCAATTTTAAAAGTATGGTGCAAACAACAGACAGTTAGCATATTTGATTTTTTTCTATTTTCTTAACTAAAAAGAGCTACAACTGTAATGTGCACTTAATCAGTTCACATTTTTGTGATGTGATTGGTTCAATAGGCTGGAGTTTTTCATTTTTTTTTGGGGGGGGGCGGTCGTTTTTTATTTTTATTTGGGGGGGGGTCTTTTTGTTACGTTTTTGTTTTTTCTTTGTATCGCTATCAAGCTTAGCAAGTGGCACATTCCAAACCTGTATATCATTGGGTAGAGGTTCAAATCCTGCTAAAGATATCTGGAGTAAGTCTCAGGAGCATTACGAATTGTCTTTCCTTCTCTCATTAAATGTTGATTGTTCTGTATATTGTTCTCAGATTGCGACATTTTAATTCCAATACAGCATTAAAATAGGAAATTACTGTGAAAGCAACTTGCATTGGTGTGTATACTTATACACAAGTTTAATTCAAATTAGGTATAACAATTGTAAAAAAATACTGTATGCAATGAAAGCAGTTTGCATTGGTGTGTACACTTATACAAATTACTTTTTGTTGTATTATAAGACTGCCTTTAATTCAACCTGTGATTTAATTGTATTTTTTTTATTAAATAAAAGACTTATTTCAAACTATACAATTCACTAGTTCATGAGATGAACAAGGCAACCAATACGTGAAATACTTCTAAAGGTATTTACTCTAACCTCCCAACTCTATCAAAATCCATCCCTCCATTTTTGTTGATTTTGGGGGACTTGGTCCTGCAGGCCTGGTTTGACTAGTATTGATGGATTATGATGGACTTGGTCCTTGGGGCCTAAAGCAAAGCATGCATTGGAAGCAGCGTGATTAATGGGTTTTGGCGAACTTGGTCCAGTACTTTAATAGTAAAAGACAGTAGGAAGTTGGGTTGAGACCGACAAAGTAATTCATACTTTACATTTGTTTGTAATGTGCATTATACGTAGATAATGAGTTATATTACTTCAGGTATTTGTATTAAACCCACTATGCAGATCTACATCTGTGTTATTTGTCCAGTCATTTAAATGCTGCTTGTGATACATGAATTAAAATGAGTGTGCACTGTCATTTCCATGGCGTCAATTTTCATGGATGTTGCTATAAACTTTGTATCAGTAATTAATTTTGGGCAGAAAACCTCACCATATACTTCTTTTTTTTTCATGACAAGTGTGGCATAATAATATAAGCTGAATGTATTACGGACACAAATCGGAAAGAATCGGCATGCATTCAAATAAGTCCATGTTAGGGATGTGTACAGCTTCGTCATCATTGTATGAAATCTGAGTTAAAAATCTCCCATTTGCCTGTCATTGTCCTCAGCTGTAAATAAGGGCCCATTTGTCCTGTTGAGAAAACAGAAATAAAGGGTGGACAACAGCTCAAGACAAGTCAAGGACACCGTCACTACAAATGACGTACAGCTACAAGCGTGGTTAGATCCATAGAAGGGAATATTAATTAAAATGGGAGAGAACAATTAATCTCTTCCATTTCTACTCCATAATTTGAATCTGTCAGTCTCAATCATAGCATATTTTCCGAAAACTTATAAACGACTACCTCAGAACCACATACATTCGAAACAAGTGAGATTGCAAAATAAACTCTGGCCGTGTTGCAAGAAGTCTTGCATGAAAGTCTTGCCTAAAATCGATCAAAATGATCCCCACCGGAGGCTGGAAAGGCGACGCCCATGATGGCACATATGAAACACCTCAATTTTGGGACAGACAGACCGACCATCAAGCTCAAGCCAGAGCTTAATTGCAAAGAGATTTCATCGTAAACTTGCACTCTATTCCGAATAAATTCCAGCTGCACACCAACTGAAGTTTTCGGGGGGGGGGGGGTGGGTCTATCCCCGTCCCTTTAATTTAGGATCGTGAACACTGCCAACATTGGCAACTTAGCGTCTCCCATCTTGCAATGTCTGCCAAGAATTCCTCGTTGCGACGGAAGGTCTTATAAAGTGACACCGCCAATCCCGCACATGCCACCTAATATGAAGCGAAAGATATCGTCAAACCTGAAGCGACAACTAGATTACCGTCATCCGACATTATTTATCATTGTCAAAAACAGTACAAAAATTGAAAAGAAAACGGAAAAAAACAAAAAGCCGCTGGTATGAGAAATCACAATTAAGGAGCTGATAGAGCTGCAAAATTGCCTTAAACTTAATCATTTCTAGATCAGTGAAATGAGGACTCGCATCAATACACGCGAAGGACAGGACAAGAGTATTGTTAAGAACGGTGTTCATTTTTAGATCCTATGAGAAAAGATATATCAAAGATACTCAAGTTTCCAACAAGAACTGACTGACTGCATAAACATTTCATTCAATGGATGCTCAAAAATGTTTCTTATTTTACTCCTCAACTTATTTCTGCAATGAAGGCCCCGAAAAGGGCGAAGTTAATGCACATGCACATAATCGTGTACATTAATTAGGCTATGCGCAATTACGCCCATATGTATTTTCCACAATGCGCAATTGTCGTGATAAAGGTGGTGAACAAATATTACGGCTTTAACCATTTTGGAATAAAATGTCAAAATGTTGGTACGTTGGCACATGTCCGCCCTCCCCCACCCGTCCCCCACCCGTCCCCCCACCCGTCCCCCCACCCGTCCCCCCACCCGTCCCCCCACCCGTCCCCCCACCCGTCCCCCCACCCGTCCCCCCACCCGTCCCCCCACCCGTCCCCCCACCCGTCCCCCCACCCGTCCCCCCACCCGTCCCCCCACCCGTCCCCCCACCCGTCCCCCCACCCGTCCCCCCACCCGTCCCCCCACCCGTCCCCCCACCCGTCCCCCCACCCGTCCCCCCACCCGTCCCCCCACCCGTCCCCCCACCCGTCCCCCCACCCGTCCCCCCACCCGTCCCCCCACCCGTCCCCCCACCCGTCCCCCCACCCACCACTGACCCAAGGATCGCCACCCATGATGAACGAGGTCTCTCCCTACGTTACGTACAGTACGAACTATATTGATTTCTGAAATTTGTTTGAATGTGAAATGCACTAGTGTATTTTGATTCATACAGTTTGAATTTACGCCTATACCGTTTTCATCACAAAGACGTATGTCCACTGACACAGCAAGAGGAACTGACATCACTTTTGCCAAAATGAATGGCAGAATAAGCTTCCGTCTTTTAAAAAAAAAAGGAAAACATGTGAGAGAAAAGAGAAAAACACACGTTTGCAATAAAGAAATCAAATGGATTTAATGAAAAGGGTTCTGTTGAAGGACACAGAGGAATAAAAGAAAAAAAACTTTTTAAAACATGGCAAAAGTGAAAAGTTGTGAAGCAAATCGTAGCATGTGCCTACTAGCCTCCCCCCCCCCCCGGCTTGCTCCTTGATCCGGGCACCGCGCCACCCCTTGTGCCGCCACCCTCGCTCAGAATTTGGAGTATAAAATAAGGCCTCTTGCCAACACCCACCCCCCCCCCTCACACCCATGATGATCTCGTAGTCCTAAATCGGAAAAATAGTGAGGCCTACAAATTTGCCTGGTTAAAAGGGGGAAAAGTTCATTGCAACAGAACTACTCATTTTTATGATTCGTAATTTTTGGATCGATTGGTTTTTTTTTATTTAATACTAGTTGACAAAGTACATTATCGCAACTGCCGTGATGCGCGCACGCATTGTTGTCGCGTCCCCGGCCCGGCCCGGCCCGGCCCGGCTACCGTCATAGTTATATAGCGCCCTCACACGTCGTCAATAGGAACTTTTACCTGCAATACGCTAAGGAAAAGTAGAACAGTGACCGTCCATTGAATAAGACACCAACCAGCTTCGCTGCATAGAGCAATCCGGATGAGGATTTCACTGTCTAAAAGAAGACAATAAAATAGACAATAAAAACTAAAGGGATAGATTTTTGGCTTTAAGACATATTTTAGAATGAGAACATTTTTTTTTCATGGAATATGACAGATTTAGAAGGAAAAAAAGCTACTCAGCGGCGCTTGTGTTGGGATGCTGACATAAATTTAAAAGTATAGTAAATTACTTACCTTGAGGAAAAGCATGTATCTTTGCATCGCCATAGAGAATGCCCAGGGCTAAACCTGCCGTTGCATAGTTTTTTATGTCTAGATGGATTTTATTTTGGAATAATAAACAAAGTTTTAAATAGCGGAAACATGTAGTAATCTGTCAAGGGGGGTACTAGGTAACACTAATTACACCTTCACGGTGGTTTCGGTGATCTTGTACTTGTCACCCAAGACATAAGAATAAACATCGCGACTGTGGACCAGATTTTCCAGAATCTGACGTCTGTGCAAAGTTGGATTAGAATTCTCGATTACATATTGATTCGGCATTATGAAAGTGTTGGGCAGATTAATATAACTCAGAAAACATTCACCTTGATTGAAAGTGAAGATGTGGAAACATGCATGTAAACAGAAAAGTGGATAAATGTAATAATGTACCGCTAAAATTATAAGCAAATAGTTACTTTTAAATATGTGTATAGCACTATCACTGTTTGTGCATCGCAACATCCGTTTCGTTCATCACCAACTGACGTCGACTCAGACATACTGTGATGATGATTCTAGATTGGAGTAATGAAAACGTCCATCTGATTGCTTCTCGTGTCTGTTAATTTTTGTTAATTGAAACTGTTAATGTTTAGGCAAAACCATTACATCATGCAGAGCGGCCTTGTTGTTTCGATCAATTTATGGCGGCTTACTTTCAGTGGTTAGTAGATGTGAAATGTCCCAAACCGACGCACATGCACGATAAAAAATATGCTGACGTAGAGCCCAGGACAGGTACGGGTGTATGTAGCGTGAATAATTATGAACTCACGATTACCCATATTCGTGAACTTTGCACGCTTGACTGTTGCGAGAAAAAAAATTGCGCATATCTCAATATACGCGGTCTTAACTAAGTTTGATTGAATGAAATACACATTATCAGTTTTCATCATAGATAATCTCAGTGTCACTGTCGCGGGCCCGACTTGGAGGAACTTGAAGAACGGCAACCGCTCAGAAAAAAAGACCGACACGAAATTAATTTGGTTGTTCTGCCAGTATTTTCCGAACAACATTTGTCGTTCTTTCTCATACCTCCCCCCAAACAAAAATATGAACTTTTGAAGGGGAGGGGCAACGGTCGGTATTGGCCAAGTGAGCATTTCGTAGCATGATTTTTTGGACAAAAATATCAAAATGCATGCACTGTAATTACTGACTGTACTGTGCCAGCCGGCGTATGACGAGGGGTACACGTCAAAGCTCACAAGGCCTAACAGATGTTTTAATATATGTGTGTTTTTTAAATTTTTGTCTCGTTTTGTTGTTCTTGTCTTAAAAAGTCGGTCCTTCATCTTGGGTTTTGCCAACTCCGATAATGCCTTGTAAGAATCACACGGGGTACGGGTCCGCCCTCAAAATCACCCGCCAAAAATGACGCCTTCGTCAACAGTTTGCATTTGAACGAGGTTGAGCATTCCGTGTGCAATACTCAGTACTGCATGTATCACCCCTGGGAAGAGAGCACTTACTGCAGGTGTCCATTTCAATCGCTCTTCAAAGCTACGATGAAGACATGCAGTCAGTCCGCGGCAAGTGTCAAGGGACCAGACTGATATCTCCATAAATTTAGTTCACTTCCTTGTTTCATGTTCTGTGGTTTCGATGTCGTCGTGGGCGGGTTATTTCCAGTGAATGGTAGTTCCTGGTTTTGTGCGGATCCCCAAGCTAGTGTTTTTTGCAAGATGCGATGGAGTTTTCGAGATTAGAATTATGAAGAAATGGTCATGATGCTTACTGGAACTCGCCGTCATAAAATCTGGTAAGTTCAACTTCAGTCTTCATCAGACTGCATGTTCAACCATGTCAACTTCAACTTAGTTCAAGCTGCTTTCGATTCTGACTTTACATGTTTACGCGCCGCCCCGCCCAGGCGGCTATAATTATGGCGATCGTGAAGTGTAGGGCCCCTGTTTTGTTTTGCTCAAATTAGAGTCAAAAATGTTTTTTATTGCTCAAAAATCAAAAGCAGACTTCTCTCAATTCTAATGTGACGCCCGTTTTGCAATTTTGAACAGTTTCTTGGGGTAGAAATCACGATTTTCCTGCGCGGTTTTTGCCTTGCGATTCAGCGCGCCATGCATGCTATATTGTTTTTATGTGCACATTGGGAAGAAGAATTTCACTTTTAAAGTCTTTTAATTGTGATGAAATTGTATTGTATTGTATTGCTCATGGTACATCGCGTGGTGATCGCCATCTTTCGGGTTGCCTGTTGTCGCCGCGCTGTCATCGTCATTTTACCTCCGAATTTCCCTCAAAAAATCAAAACCCTGCCCTCTATGACACCTACCTGTTTATTGAGAATGTCGCCAACTACTTTCATGACTTTGGTCGGTCTAATTTCAAAGTGGATTTTGTTCCCTTGTTTATAGGAACCGGGCCCTACACTACACGATCGCGGTAATTATGTACGCCGCATCACACTAGAACTAGTAGAAGAACTTAGAAATAGAAGTATACATTGCCAATTTTCGAGTTTTGTTGGAAAGGCGAAGGGTGAGGGAGATTTAAAACAGATTATATTTTTTAAAGCATGATGTTCTCATTTAAAACTGATTGGAAAAAATGTTGCGGAAAAAATGTTGCAACCTGATGCCACTTCAGCATGTTCAGTGGTTGTGTACAAAGTCTATGGAGAGTCAAAACAATTTTTTAAGTATTTCCTAACAAAATTGGAAATGTTTCTCAAATCTCAGTCCCAGATTCATGTCTTATCATCATTTTTGCAGTGACTGACCTTCATTGAGATGATTTATGAAGAAGATATATGAAAGTGGCGTCAGGTTGCAACATTTTTTCCAACTGATTTATTATGTTTTGAGGAATAAGCCAATTCGGAGTTTCGCTCGCGCAAAGAATTGTGGGACTAGGATAACGTGACGTGACTGTTTCTCCACAAACATGACCAAAAAACATGGTTGCGGTGAGTTGAAACATGCGCAGGCAAAACTTCAAATTGGCTTATTTTGGAAAGGCTGAATTTAATATAGGCATAAACTAGCTGGAGTTACCCAGCCCAAAATTTTATCATTGGGTTGTCTTTTAGGGCTGGAGGAAGTTTCAGCGCCATGCCGCACCGCGCAGTTGGCAAGTGTGACTGGTGGTTCGCTGTGTGTGCATGGTAATCGACAGCACTTTGCAGTTTGTTTGTGCACAAATCTAGCTCTGGGCATCATCATGGCCCCACAGCTGTCAGTTATGCCTCCTTTTTCCACTGCAATTGTAGGCTAAATCTTCATCGTGGATTGTTTTTTTTCTTCAAGGACCTGTGTAGTGGTTATGCCAGGCAAGGTTTGGGTGAGTCCCAGTTGAAAGTACAACCATGAGGTTGTACGCGATAGCCACACCAGGCGTTTGTACAGAAGCTAATAGATGGGTCTCATATTTCTCATAAACGTCACTTACTTGTCTTTACAAAATAGACATACATGTAATTACCAGCGCCTTGAGTGCCTAATTGTTGGTATACGTGCGCTATACAACACTCTGGTATTATTATTATGACATACAATATACAAATTTAAAAACTCATTGATGACCGGTATATCCTATAGATGTAAGCTACATGTACATGTATACATGTATTAAGGAGCCAGAATTGCATAGCTGCCAACTAGTACGATTTTTTCGTAATTATTACGAATTGTTTGTTAAATTACGAAAATACGATTAGCCACCAAAACATTACGAATTTCCAATTTTCTACCTAACGAAAAAAAAAAGAAGGAAAGTATCGTTTTTGACCGAAAACTTCTGGCGAAATGTCGCGATAATGGATGGACTGGTGACAAGTCTAATAAGAATGCAGTCAAGCACCTGATAGACATCAATGCAGTGTGCGCAGTGGAGTACTTGAGGACCAGACTAAAACTGTTTTTCAATGGTGTGTCATTTGTGTGCATCTCATGGATGTGTGGTTGTGTGTACTGTATGTGAGTACTTTTCAGTGACGATCGTGAGCACATTTGGTCACTTATTGCCGGGATGAGACCCATCAGTTCGAGAGTATGGTTGGAATAATTGGTAATAGAGTTTGAGTTTGTCACAACGGACAGAAAAGATAAATCAGCATGCGTTTGCAAGGTATGTTGGCGGGATATTTCTATTGCATACGGTGGCCATAGATCATTGTGTGTAAAACCATGATACGAACTCGAAACTCAACATCGATAGCATGCATCTCCAAAAAAATATGCGCACATGTTATTGATGTTATTATTTATTTGACTTCATCAAACAAATACAGACATTAAAACAAAATTAATTTAAAACATTTTTTTTATTTTTTTTTTTATTTTTTTTTTTTTTAATTATCTTTTGGCCTACAGTACATTATTATTCACAACAAGAAGGGTATGCACATGTATGTGTACATGTAAACCATGTACCTGTACTCGATGTTGGTAAAGCTTTTGATAAAACGAGAAGTTGAAAATGACCGCGCGGGTTGATTACTAATTGGGATTTTGAAATGTTGGCAGCTAAGGAATTGTTTTGCTTGCCAAAAAGGCTCGCCATTTCAGATTTAATGGAAGCACAATTTTTCTTTGACCATTCTTATTAAATCACTTCTATCTAATACATTTATAAACATGAACAAGGAAACTACATAACTGTGTTATTTTGTGAGCTGTAAATACTGCTCTGTAAATGTAATCTTCATGTACTGGTACATGTCGTGTAGATGTATGTCTCTATAATTATTAAGTCATGAGATTATTCAGTATAGAAAGAAATGCATCTTTCAGACATCTAATCCAATATTCAGACTAATTTTAAATTGAAAATATGTATTTTGTGACCAAAGACACTTCATTTGTTTTAAATCACTTCCATACAATGTACGGTATACCGTACAAAGTCCCAAAAACACATGTAAATAAGCGGATTCAGGACAAGTATTAAGGATTGATTGGAAGTTAAATTAGTTTTATGACATTTAACTACTACATTGTATATCTGTAAGAAATTTTTATTGTAAAAACTATAGGCCTAATATGTCTATAAATACAAATTTAAAAACATTACAAAAATGTCAACATTCGTACCTGTACACGCACACACATACATGTAACATAACCTACGGAAAGAAAGTGATACAACATCTCTCACTTGACATATTCATGCCAGGAGTTATGGGACTTGGTGAATTACAGACACACACACATTATGAATCACTAGAGCTGTCGTTTGTTGACTGTTGCACTTGACTATTTTGCCTGTGTTATCTTTCTTTCCCATCAGCGATACCTCACCGGTGACTGTGTACAATGTACATACAAATACTACGTGTAGGTTCATGTGGGACTTGAAACAAACAGGAAATTGACAATTCCTCCGAGTCTGGAGAAGAGATACAAAGCAATGGGCAAGCACTTGTTGCACTTATTGTTGGAATACACTTTGTATTCACATGCTACATGCACATACATACATACATGTACATGTACAATCATGTACATTGTGTAATTTTGCATAATTAATTGCAAATGTTGGAAACTTTGCCTTGATCATGGTTTTTTTTTTTTCCTAATTGTTTTTTCTTGCTTTGTTTGAATCGTGATACCAATTCAGGAAACTTGGATCTTCTTCTTAAAGTTTGTTTGTTTGTTTGTTTGTTTGTTTGTTTGTGGGGTATTTTTTTAGGGGGGGGGCAATGATAATATAGCATAGGATATTTCCTCCAACCATAAGCTTCCCCTCCCATGTCCCTGCCTTGTGTAGCACTGTCACACAGGTTTGATTAAATCAGAGGTGGAACAGTCCTGTTTAAAAAATATTATTTATTACATGGAAGAGAGAAAACTAAGTTGTGTATCTATAGATTCTTAGAAAAGTAACTGAATGTGCAATATACTTTGTATTGTGCAATTTAATGTGGTCAGTATCTTAAGGGTCATCCCCTGGACTTGGACGGTTTTTACACACCTGTTTATATCTCGTATTCCAAAGTAATAATGTGGTCATTCTTATTTTAATTTTGTGAAATCTTTCTTTATTAATTCCCGGCTAGAACCTTTGGTTTTAAATCCCAGCCCTGTTTCTTGAGCTACATGTATTCCTACTTGATGACAAATTGAAGTCTGTTGGACATCTGTCCCTTAACAAGTAAACAAACTGGCTTTAATGATATGATAAAAACAGTGCTCTGCACTGCCAACCAAGCATAAAGCACTTGTGAGGCTCAAATATAATGTCTAACACACATGTTTTGGTCATAAATATCCCCATATGTACAGCGTATGTCACACGTAAACATGTTATGAACAGGATGTTGATTACATGCCAACACAACGGAGGTTGACTTGTAATTTCTTTGAAGTATGACCAGTATATATTTATTGTTCAGGATGTCTGCTTGAAACCTACAACCCTGGACATGATACAGGATTTTCTGCCAACGTGACATTGGTCTTGTTGTTGATAGGAATCTATCTGAACCATCTGCAATGCTTGCCTGCACATTTTAATTACAAACAGAATTGAGATGATTCAGATGCTGAGCATGCTGAGTTAGGATCAAAAAAAAATCGTGTTCTCCATGTGAGTCTCATAATGTGGCTGTATAGGACTGGGAGTGTACATGTATGTTATTCCTCAGATTTTGTTTCATGGAATGTACTGTACATGTAGTTCTGTGGTAACTTCAAATATTTGTTTACCTTTTTTCCAAAGGTTTTGCCTATTTTCGTTAAAACCATTCCTTATTTCACACCACAGATTTGACCTCTTCACAAGAAACACTCGCTGATGCCCCTTTGACACCGCTTTACACATTACCGTAGCGACTGCTTCCAAGATGGCTCCCTCTGTGTACAACCTGTGGGGCGAGGAGGAGGAGGAGACTACAGATATTGAGATCACGTGTTTCTTACCAAACTCCATCGTTATACCGCTAATATGCAAACGGGATGCAACCATCACATCCATCAAAAGAGTAAATATCAATCTGTTTTTTCTAATATAGCTACATGTATTTCATTTTGAGAATCAGAGAGAAAGATATACAGTATTTAGAAATGAAAATGAAACGGGTAAGACTGGCTTGCAACCAATTTCATATGCAGTATAACATTGTAGAATGTACAGTGTAAACTAGAGGAAATATAAACATACCGGTTCACGTACATTGTATGTGGCTGCTGTGTGCTGTATTAGATTGAGGAAGCAAAAAGAGATGACAATCTAAACCAAAGCTATCTGCACATCTATTTACCAATGTTTTACTTACTAACTACCCAACCTGTCATGAATATTTCAACTTGAATGCCAAATAATTCTGTTGTACGTGTATGACACCCAGGGCCCAACTTACATTTACATGTACATGTACATGTACATGTATGTCTCTGCTAAGCACATGGTTTCTGCTAACAGAGCCTCAATTTCATGGGGGCCATAAGCAGTAAGCTCACAAAAGACGCGCTTACCTCAGAGGCAAATGTTGCTTAAATACATGTATGTGATGTAACAGTAGAAATCTCCATGCACACGCAACCGTTAGCACATCCACGACATGAAATACCGGGAGTGCTTAATAGCACCATTTTCTGCTGTACACGTATGGTAGTTAGCATGCCTGTTCTGCTAAGTGTTCAGCAGCGCCATGAAATTGGGCCCATGAACTGTAGTTAAGTTCCTACGAGTGCTTCAGTTCCACATACATGTACTATTCAAGTGAACTGTGACAAAGGCATTCCTTTGTCTTTGTTCATTCCCAACTTCTTGTGGATTGAAGTCCTTTTATCTTGCCCCATTTATACTGACCAGGGTTGAAATTTACCCTTGTTAGAGCCCTTGATCCATGGACTACATGTGCATAAATAAAGAATAATAATAATATTTTATTCATGTTTATACAACACCTGAACAAATCCCCGTCATCTGATTGGTGAATTGTAGATCACGTGACATATTATTATTCGGTATAATGCACGGTGCGACCATGCGTTATACCCATGCGTTATACCGTTTCACTTTGCGCTTGTTCCATGACGCGGTATTTGCGTGCAAAATGCATGCTGGTGTGCGCGTTCAGCGTAGCGCGTATTGTTCCAAAGAGCCAGCGCTACAGCGTTGGGTTCAAACATTTTCGTGAAGGGGTAGTTCAACATCTTTAAAATCAAAATAAATTGTAGTTTATAATTTACCAATCAAATAACGAGAATTTATTCAGGTGTTGTATAAAACAAATAAAGAATGTTTTACGTTCGTGCGATGGAAAGAATAATTTTTTTCGGTGACAGATTGAATGTTCTATTTTTTGCCTCGTGGAATAGAACATTCAATCTGTCACCTCATGAAATTCTTCTTACCATCGCACTCACAAACATTCGTTATTTGTATAATAATGAATGTTCAAATGCACATCACATAAACTATACTCCATACATACTCAGAGAGAGGCCGCATTATGCAGCCGATCCAAAAACGGTGGGGCAAGCCCCTACTCTTTCACAATAAGTGTCCTGGGTGTTTTATGTGCATAAGATACACAATGCGCGGGACCTACATGTGTACAGTTTTACATCCCATCCGAAAGACGTGGGCTTGAAGGAGCCCAATCATGTCCCAGATAAGCCATGGAATGGTCGCCCAAACATTGAACCACTGACCACAGTCAATGGTGCTTAACTTGGCAGTGCCAGTTAATAAACATTTGTACCACTAGCTCGGTAACTGTCTGCATGAACGTGTAGAAGCTGTTATGGTTTCTCACTTGAAAGAAAATGGTTCACAAAATCTCCAGGTTCAACTTGGGTCCAACTCAAAGATGTTGGATAGAGTGAAAAGGCCTTTGCTTGTGATTTGACATCAACTACATCTCCATTGACCATTTAGCTTATGATTCTATCATTCCTTGCTTTCAGGATCTCTGGAAGAGGGCCAAGACATACCCTCTCTACAAAGCTCTCCTAGACCTCAACTTTTACATCTTCCAGTGCATAAACCAAAGTGCTGAACAGGAGGAATTATTGGACGGCAACCGCCGCCTCTGTGACATCAAACCTTTCTGGCCAATGCTTCGTGTCGTCCGTAAGGCTAGTGACGTCGAAGATAAAGTCTTAAACTCCAAGATTGGTCTGCTGATTGGCAAGAGTAAGACATTTGCAGAATTATTTTTTTACTTAATCCATTGCAAACAGGTTGTAAACAGGTAAATGGACATGCCATTATACATGTACAACGTACAATAATTACAGTAGGTACGTGTATGGGCTCTGTGTGCCATCGACAGAGTGTGCTTTTTGGCCCCCTTTGGGAGCCCATTGAACGAAACACCTCACATCCGCGTACTGGTACGTGCATGTTTAGCACGAAGTGAATTCTAACCCATGCTGTCTTTGCATGCATGTCAGGCGATGCAGTGTGTTGGAATAGCTCTCCCAGTGGTCTACCCAAACTCTTTCCATTCTTGCGTTGAGGGGGAACATGTACATGGGTCAAATACGTACATAGTGCAGACTAGAACAGTTTGCTGATAGTTCACATCACATGACCACTACACCTCCTGCATATTCATGAGTCAACATCACATCGTTTAAAACCTTCACGATGGAGGGATTCTTGATCATGAAGCTCATAACCAGCAAACTCCTTTTCATCTTTTCACATGGAACATGTTGTTGACTTTGTGATGTTAATTTCAGGCTTACACGAGTTGGACGGGTTGAAGAACCCCGAGGTAGAAGACTTCCGTCGCAATAACCGTCGCATATGCATGGAGATTCAACGAGACCGAGCATCATGGGAATGGGAAAAGAAAGCGTTGTATCTGTTTCCTCCCCAAGTTGGTGCATCCATTGAGATTCCGGATAATAGCAAGAGAATCTTGAAGGCCAACAACAACATGTTCTTGGCCACTATCATCTTCTGTACAAGCAAGGTGAGGATTGTAGTTATCGTCTGAATTTTGTTTTTAGTCCTGAGTAATTTCCTTTGTTTCATTTCCTGTGGAACTAGAATTCTTCAGTTTTGGGTGCTCTGCTTTTTTCCTTTCAATTTTTGAGTTCTACTCGGTATAGTCAGTATCCCATAGTCTTTAACCCTAACCCTGCATAGTGCATCAGGTGGAAAAGTCTGGTGCACTTTGATGGAAAAAGTTACCAGCACATAAACTGGCCACTTCTGAGACAATGAGAGCTAGTCCCATAGAACAATGTCACAGTTGTATCCTGCTGCATTCGGTGACCACAGAATCTGAGTTGAGGCAGTTTGGCACTTGACATTTTTTGGACTGATGGATTTTGCTGCACTTGGCAGGCTTGTCACTTAGACAAGTGTTGCATGTTGCTGCACTTGGCAGGCTTGTCACTTAGATAAGTGTTGCATCTTGCTGCACTTGGCAGGCTTGTCACTTAGACAAGTGTTGCATCTTGCTGCGTTTGGCAGGCTTGTCACTTAGACAAGTGTTGCATGTTGCTGCGTTTGGCAGGCTTGTCACTTAGACAAGTGTTGCATGTTGCTGCGTTTGGCAGGCTTGTCACTTAGACAAGTGTTGCATCTTGCTGCGTTTGGCAGGCTTGTCACTTAGACAAGTGTTGCATCTTGCTGCACTTGGCAGGGTTGTCACTTAGACAAGTGTTGCATCTTGCTGCGTTTGGCAGGCTTGTCACTTAGACAAGTGTTGCATGTTGCTGCGTTTGGCAGGCTTGTCACTTAGACAAGTGTTGCATGTTGCTGTGTTTGGTAGGCTTGTCACTTAGACAAGTGTTGCATGTTGCTGCGTTTGGCAGGGTTTCTAGCCAAACAAGCTGGGAGGGTTAAGGTCAGTGTATTCATTTGTTAACTTTCCAGTCTAATCATCAGAAGCCAGGGGAATGTTTTTCTGTTGTTCATTTCCCCAGTCTTATCGACAGACAGTATCTCTAAGTTTTGAGTGTTTTCCTTTTTTTCACATTTTCTGAGTCTGCAGCAGTCAGATGATTGTTTTCTCTTTTCTTCTTTTTCTCAGGCTAACCAGCAGTCAGTACTTTCAGCCGATGCTTATGAGTATCCCTCAGATCTCGTCAAGCGAGCAGTCAATAAGATGCGGCAACCTGCCGAAGAGGAAGATCAGTACATGATCAAAGTCAAAGGCAAGCAAGATTACTTGATGGGCAACTACCCACTCAGCCAGTTCATGGTAAGAATCCTCTCATGCAATGGGAGGATTGTCTTTTTGTGTCCGAAATGGAAGACCAGACCTACGTCCATGTCTATCGTCACATTTTCCTATGCTCCAATGCAGTTGTAATCATCATGGACCTCAACAATACATAGCTCTAGACAAGAAATTCAGACCTGACCTTATATTGTGCAATGTTTAAAATAAGGATAGCTGATATCTCTATGGTATCCGTGCACAGGTATACCAAACACCCCCTCCCACCTCCCCCTCCCCCTTTCCCCTACGATAACAAAGAGAGAGTTCTTAAAACCGCTGAATGTCATTCCTTCAAGTTTATGCACATTCAGAATCCAATCCATTGCATGTACTTCATGTCATAAAAACAAGTGCTTGCACACATTTTGATTTGTACACAAAGTTCTAGCGTCATCTACATGTATTCTTCATGCAGGGTGTCTGCAGTCTTTCTATTATACTTCACTTCTTTCTGCAAATAAACGTGTATCTTTTCATTCCACAGTACATCAGGACTTGCATTAGCACAGATAGTAGACCAGAGCTCCTGCTACTAAAGAAATCCGACATGAAAGTGGACGAACTGTTTGTCAATCCAATGCTGACGGCTCTCTTACAAAAAGAAGACGAATCCCCGTCCATCCCTCCAAAGAAAGGAAAGACGCTAAGCTGGGATATTCAGGAAAGATTTAAAGTCACATTCCACGGAGCGCTTAATGTCAACATCGTAGACAAAGCTTGGGTTAGTAATACACATTTTCTTAGTAATCCCTTTGACTTTTCTTTTAAGTGCTGTTCTTTGTTTTATAACCAATTTGAAACATGAACTAAACTGTTGCGAACTGCTTACTGACTTGATTGACCTGAAATATGTATAAATCAAAAAGTTCAACAGCCTGATGTTTTTATCCCAGCAGGTTTTTCTTCAATGCAAATTATGAGAAAGTACTGCTGAATACCTAATACTTAATGACTTAAAACCTGGGACATTTCCCAACTTTTCTTTACAGCTACAAGTACGCGCAGGCGTGTACCACGGAGGGGAAAAACTCTGTCAAAATTTCCTGTCCAAGGAGATAGAGGGGCCCGATCCTGTCTGGAATGAGGAATTCTGTGCTGACATCGAAGTCTGTAACTTACCTCGAATGGCTCGACTATGCATTCTTATCTGTACCAACAAACAGAAGGGAAAGCCCTCAGGAAAGGGAAATAAAGCCAACAAAAACATCAAAAGGGTAAGCAACGTGTACATGTACATGTCTTCCTCAACTCCTTGCATGCCTTAATTGAGACGAATCAAAACATTGCTCCATTGAACGCAGGCTTATTTGACAGTTTGTCGTGTCTCTGTCGCAGAACAGACCCTTGCGCTGCTCTACTCGGACCAGAAATCAAGGAATAAATGAAAAGAACAGAGGACTCAACACAGGATTTATCAATCACAAAGTTAATCCTTATGACGAGAAAAAATAAACCAAAATTAAAATCACTGCATACATCTGTTTGATTATCAGCCAAAATTATGTTTACAGTTTGTGTCCCTAAAATAACGTTTTAGGGTTCGCGTTATATCGCCCAATTACACACAACTTATGTCTGACACAGCTCTATTAATAAGTATGACACAGCTCTATTAATTACAATATAAGTATGACACAGCTCTATTAATTACAACATAAGTATTTGGGTCTGGCTTGAGCCTTCGGCGGCTCCCAACTCGACAGCCTCAGCCCTGAAGGTCCACACCCATCTGCTTAGCGAACGCCCAGCCCGGCAAGAAACACCCACTCTGGCTCCCGCACTGCAAAACTCGATTCAAAAACACGTGGGCGAGGGTTTTAAACCCCTCCCCAGAATGCCAGTACCCGATTAACCCAGTTCTTAATACAAACTTACTGGAGCTTGCACCACGGCTGAGCCCCACATGGGTGCAAGCCCGGAATTGATATGCAACAAAAGGTAAAGGAATTAAGATTTACATAATGCACCTAGCATCTAAGATTAAGATTTACATAATGCACCTAGCATCAACCTCCAAAGTTACATAACACTTTACGGCAGTACAAATTTAGACTATTGATGATTTAACTTGATATATAAAAGGAATAATTTTAACACGTCTTGTGACAGTCTCCCCCCCCCCCCCCCCCTCCTTGATTTGTCTGCAGCTGGGCAGCCAGAAACATATTTCAGTATGGAGGCGTCTTTGGGCTATTTTTGTTGTCACCCCGCCCCCATTTCAATTGGTAGGGCAACGCCTTTATCCCTACTTGCTTTGCCTCCATATTTTGATTGGGAGTCCTTAATCTGGAGTGGCTTTAGCTTTGTGATGATTGATTTTTAAAAAAACGAAACAGCTTGAAGCCAGCATTTTGTTTGTGTTTTCATTTTACACTCAGGAATCGATTCCCTTAGCTTGGGTCAACACAACCTTCTTCAACTATCAGCACAATCTACAGACTGGTAAGGTGAAGTTCTACATGTGGCCAGCATCTGAGGACTTTGACTTGAATCCCCTGGGGTGCGTTGGTTCCAATCCGGACCATGACGATGCTACGAGCATTGAGGTGTCATTTCATTCTTACAGGGCAGCACACAAAGGCACAGTGTCCTATCCACCATTTGATACTGTGATAGAAAGAGCAGCAACCATCGCAGCAACAGAGGAAACATATCTATCTCACGTGTCTATAAATGTAAGTAGATGTCAAGGTTTCTACTCAGTGTGGTTTTCAATCAAGATATTTTCCAAAAAGGCATTTTGAATCATTTTCAATAAGGAATTTTGAGTCATGTGCATTCATGAATGTGATGGTTACTATTTGCAAAGTGGAATTCACGTGACGGACTTTAATAGATGGTATCGTCTTAATTGGCATGATGCAAAACCCAACACGCGTAGATCATGAGGCTACATCATAGAGTAGCCAATCACAATGGTACATTCAAGGCTATTTTCAGCATTCAGTTGTCAACATCCCCTTTATACTTTATTGACAGTGAACTTTTGTTGGCTTTTACTAAAATATCTACCAATTGTTTTTTATTAATGCCTTGTGATAATGACACGGGTCATTCTATAAATTTGGGGTCCGCTTTTTTCCTGTCCCTGTTACATGTACATCTAACATCTATTATTTTATAATTCTGATGTACTCCTTAATGCAGTCATCCTCCAAGAGTGATTTTGAATAGTAAACTACCTACGCAACAAATAAAAAACATTGAAGTCATTCTTAATGAAACGTGGATGGCAAATTACAAAGTACTAAGGTAACAGGGACAGAAAAAAATGTCACGCTTTGGACCCTATTTTTTTTTGGACCCTTTCAACATGTCAATGAGTCCTCACTGGTCATCGGTTGCCAATGTCATAGACCTCCTAAACAGAAAATAGTGTTTTGAAAATTGATGTCCTAAGCAAAAATCCACTGGGAGCCAGTCACATACTATGCACATAGCATGATGTATTACCAAGCATACCATACAAGTATTTTATAGACCTCATACATATTCGGGATGTATAGCTGATTTCTCACTGGTCCCTTCATTATCACATGTCAGCCCACTTGCGTAGTAGACTATCGCACAGGTTACCAATCAAGTTATATAAGCAATCATGGAACTGACACATAGGGCTAGTGCTCATGCGCAAACATCGTCCAAGGTACATGAAAAGATGGAGGCGCATGTATGACAACGTTTTGCTGAGAAAACTGATGCGTAAATCGACGAAATTTTGGTGATGTATAGAAGTGGTATAATAAAACAAATGAAACATGCTTTGTTTCTGGCTAAAAGTACTGGCTTAAAGTACTTTATTCCATTATCCTAGGACCAGAAGCTGGAGGAACTACGAACCATGGTTGAGAAGGAACCACTAGAACCTCTGAGTGAACAAGAAAACAATGATCTATGGAATGCAAGACAAGATTGTCGAGATCACATCCCGCATTCCTTACCACGACTACTTACATGTGTCCGTTGGTCCGATAAGGATTGTGTAGCTCAGGTAAAGACCATAGCCATGTTTGCATTGGACTTAATAGTTTGGTGAAACTAACGGTTACTGTTGTCAGTTTAACAGAGACTAATGTCAACTTAACCAAATTTAGTCCAGTGCAGACAGCCGGTAAACTTGTCAAGTGTGGTCTGTTGATTGATAGTTTTACCGTCTGCAGCGGTTAGCTGTGTACAGAGCCAACTGGGTTGCGGAAGAATTAGTCATCACTGAAAAGTCCCGTGCGGACAGCCACTGCTGTGTAAAATAATACTAACGCAGCTTTAGTCACCCAAACTTTGCTATAAGTGAAACGGCATCATGCTCATGCATGATTGGTACGCAAACACTCTACACTCTCAGTGTCATTAGGCTTTCAAATTTCAAATACACTTCATTTTAAGGACTGCGGCATGTACGCCAGCATTGAAAGCCTTGTAATGGCAATCACCGGAGTCCAGGGAAAGTCTAGGTTTGAATTTTTTAATGGAAGGACTCTTCTTTGTTAAAGCTTTGCTATAAGCTGTATTTGTCATCTGCTACATGTTATGCTTGAAAACAAAAAATAACTTTTGACTTTTTTCATGTTATTTTAGTCTATCAAACACCGGTCAAAGTAAAGTAGTTTGGGGGAAAATCTGATCAACAATCCACACAGTGTATGTAATGCTTGTACACCTGGGTGTATGTGAGTTTGTTTTTGCATTCAATAGGGGACGTTGAGCAACAGAGGACAAAAGGGTCCACAATTCCCGAAGGTCCACAATTGACGATCGTGTACAAAACATATGAAAGGTCTTCCTAAAAAGTTACAAACAAAAGAAGGACAATAGGGGCCCACGATTGAAAGTGTTTACACACTTGTGTGTTTTTGTTTTCTCAGTTGCTCATGCAAATAAGGCTGACTTGTGTAACATTTCTTACTTTCAAGATGCAAGCACTTCTTCAGATTTGGCCAGAATTGAAGCCAGAGGAAGCCATGGAACTCCTGGATTACCGCTACCCGGATCTCTCTGTCCGCAAATTTGCTGTGGAATGTCTCAACAACTTGGTGTAAGTTGGACAAAATTCAGAATAGATCAACCATTGAGCCCCCTGCCACATGATGTCTTCACCAATCACATCTGGCTCATGCTATGAATTGAGGGTCCAAAGTGTGACATTTTGCCCTTCCCTGTTACCTCTGAGCTTTATAATTTGTCATCCAAGTATCATCAAGAATGACTTCAAATGATTTTGTATTTGTTGGGTAGGTAGTTTGCTATTCATAATCACTCTTGGAGGATGACTGCATAAGGAGTGCATCCTGAATTCTAAAGTCATAAATGTCAGATGTAACAGGGACAGGAAAGAGAGGACCTCAAATTTATAGAATGCCCCATCTGTGAGTGAACTACCCTCGGGAGTGGCCCTAAAATGCAGCTATATGTACATAAATATGTGGATGAATGGTTTTGAACAGCGCCCCCAAGTGTCAAATGGTGTCCAGCCCCTCCCCCCCCCTTCCCCACCCCCCCCCCCCCCCCCCCCATTGCAAGTTTTTTGATAAAAATTAACCATTACACTTAACACATAACCAACGCATCTTGAACATGCAGTGTTGCATTAAGTGAGGTACATTTGTTGGTAATTACATGCCGAGTGGGCGGGGCTTGGGAGGATCAGTCTATTGTCTTTAGAGGCATATACATGTATTTTGTTCATGAATTAGTCTTGCCAGCACTGTGCACTGACTAAATGACAAAGCAAAATTTCATAGAGCTGGTGAATTGTGATGGTGGTGAATTGTAAAACATGACCATTTCTGTTTGGTTTTTGCATGTTCTTCTGTCAGTGATTCTCAACTTTCTCAGTACCTACTACAACTTGTCCAAGCTCTCAAGTATGAAACACATCTGGACTGTGAACTGGGACAGTTCTTACTCAGGAGAGCACTGGCCAATCAGAGAATAGGACACTTCCTGTTTTGGCATCTCAGGTGAGACATTCATACAGGCATCTAGGTACAAATCCCATGATTGGTCGTTTTTGTTATAATTACCTTTCCAAAAGCCATAGCCTATAACACTTTGTCAGTAATTGCTGTGATTACTGAGTCACATCTGCAATACGTGAATGTCCTCTTGAATATCTCTAATGGAGTTTCCATTTGAATTTGTTGTAGAGCTGAGATGCATCAGCCGGCTGTATCGACACGTTTTGGGTTGATGTTGGAGGCGTACTGTCGGGGTAGTATCGCCCATATGGCATCACTCATCCGACAGGTAGGAAGCAAAGCCACATCATTTAATGTGTCATATCAGTTTGGTATAATTATGTCTTGTATTCTGGTGGTTACAGAATAAGTCACTTTTAAAGATGAACATTTTGAAGAGTTGTAAGAGGCATTACAAAACATGAAATGGTGCCATTCATAACAGAAGCCTTTTCATTGGGCTGTATGTGCCGCAGTTGCGCATATGTGCATTGGCAAACCTGTCTGCACGGGAACACCTGCCCATTTAGGAGTCATGTGATTTCCCAGGTAGAACAGGTCCACTGCCACTTGGATAGTGATGTACAACTGCAATACTTTGTACGATTTGCAGGTGGAATCTCTGAACAAGATGAAGTCAGTCAACGAGTTGATTAAAAGCAAAAACGCCACTAAGCAATCAAACCTTGAACTCCAGACCATAATGAGAGACATCTTGAAGCAGGAGTCCTATCATGAAGCGCTGTCCAACTTTGTCTCGCCGCTGTCGCCGTCCTACAAGCTCAAGAGCCTCAGGTATGAACACAAGATGAAACCAAACTTTCCCTGTGATTGGCCAGCATTGCAGTAGGGAAGTGTAAGGTTACCACCACATCGTGTGTTGTAAACTAGACAATAGGTTTATTTTCATGTCAAGTAACTGCAAATTCTTTATCATATGGCATAATGGTCATTACCTGTGCCACGTACAGTGGTCATAATCGTGCCTTCCCAGCACTGGGCGTTGGCTCTGTGTTTTTTCTCACAGATTTTGCCTTCCATCACAGCTTACGCATACGTGAATGCAGTCCTGTGTGTATGCGTGTTTCCAACAATAATGTTCCGGACCACTGTATGTACACCATGCAGTACCAGGCGTCCATGTACCATGTACCATGCAACTTTCGCAGGCGTCATTTTTTGCACGTTAAAATGCACATAAATATGAAATCTGTTTTGATTTTCAATGTAGCCTGGTTTTCGTTTTGAAAATTCCCACAAATGGCAATCAAAGCTTTTTTGTTCATTGTCTGATAAGTAACTGGTCAGGGGTACCTGATCGCTTAATCTGGAACCGGTTCCTGACATCAGCGGTCGGGTACTCGGTTCCGATGCACATCCCTAGTAGTCACTTTCATGCCCCAAAGTCGGCCCTGCCGGTTACCCCTCGCTTCCCACAACTGCCTCAGCACTCTATAGTTTATTGGATTTATCAGGGAATAAAAACAATGAAATACAATAGAATACACATGTCAATGGTTTCAAAACCGTCAAAGAAATTCAAAAAAATCAGATATCTTCCAGTGATGGCTATAATTACATTGTGCTGCTTGCAACTTTGGGTAAGATTTTCCCTGCTGTATATGTCATGCTAGTAATAATGTGCTGTTATACTAGTCATGCTAGTAATAATGTGCTGCTCATTTACAGGGCTTTATACACAAGTGCTTTACATTTATTACTTTTCCTCTGTTTTTTTGTGTTAGGCTTGAGAAGTGTAAATTCATGGCTTCCAAGATGCGTCCATTGTGGCTGGTCTTTGAAAACGAGGATCCTATCGGAGACAACATCTTTCTCATGTTTAAGAACGGTGATGGTATGTCATCAACTTAATCACAACTAATCACCGTCTTATTGAATATTTATAATGTATCAGTACTCCCACAGTTTGTCAAAGTATGTGTTTCATGAGAGAACAAAATAACTTGTAACTCATCAAGTATGGACTGAAATATATGTGATCATTTTTTAAATAAACTTTCCATGATTTGAAGCATTGTCTTTTCTATGATACCATGTCAATATTAACTCTTTTTAATAACACTCAGATTTTGGCAGTTAGGAATGATGTGATTGATCATTTAGTTGTTTGGTGGTGCCATTTGGATTCATTCCTATTTCTTGTAGATATGTTGCCTTACCCTGATCATCTATTTGTTTTTCTTTAGATTTACGTCAGGACATGTTGACATTACAAGTGATGCAGATCATGGATAACATCTGGCAGGAAGAAGGATTAGATCTGAGGTCCGTTTCCTAGCTTCATTGTCATTACAGGATTTCAGGATTATCTTCTTTTTTTTGTCATTTCAGATAGCATATTTGAATCGTACATGTAAAAAGTTTTGTGTATCACCCCTTTTTTCGAAATGCTAAAGTCTCAAAAGTCTCTGCCAATAGCGGCAACTTCATCAAACCCAGAACTGGTCTTTTGTTACTCCGTACACATCATGTAATTGTTCTTTGTTGTATTCCTTCAAAATTGCCTGCATAAGTTTTACGACCAACTTTGATTACTGAGGAAGGAAAGTGTCAAGAACTGTACCCAAACTTTCAGTGATTTGGGATTTTATCCGACGACTTGTGGTACATCTCATATTTACAAGACTTGTTGCATAATGTGACCTGTCACCACAAAATGAGCTTAAAGTTGGCAATTGCCATTTTGCAGGAAAAGTGGGACAAAGCCAATATTTGAAGGGGTGGTTGATTTTTGTTTTCAGGTGAATCTTCATCTGTAAAGTCCTGTGCTAGCTTTCTCCAATTTTTTTTTTCTGTCGAACATCTTTTATTTCATCCCGTTTTTATAAGTTGACTATGCGTTCACTGCAACACAACTGCAAGATTTTTAAATGCCATTTTCTCAAGAGTCAGTTTCACTGCTTCAAGTAAGTTAGTGGTCTATATTTTCGTAACTGCAGAATCCATCTCAATTCTTAAGAAATCTGACGTGAAGAATCATTGTGTGATAAAAAGTCACATATTTTCTTCATGCTGCTTTTTTAGGTTGATTCCCTACAAAACCTTAGCAACAGGCAACAAGATTGGAATGATCCAGATTGTCACGGAGGCAGAGACCATCGCTACGATCCAACAGAGTGATGGAGGGGGGAAGTTAGGTGCTACATTCCGCAAGGCGGCGCTCTTCAACTGGCTGAGGAAACACAATCCTACAGATGTTCAGTAAGTAGCCCAGCAACCTCGTTTCCATGGGTACGATCTTGCTGCGCCATTTTAACCCCTGGAATTGTGTAGTGTAAATGTGTCAAATAGTGGTACATTTAAATTAGGACTGCAGTTGTTGTATCTAATACGCGGCGCAGTGCTTAAACTGTTGAGTGGTTATTTTTTGGGGGGTGGTAGAATCAATCCTTTCAAACATGAGATTTCGTTGACGCGTTATTTAGTAAGGATTTATATTAAATGTACGTACCTCTGTCGTCCCTGTACAAAACAAGATACAGGTATTGTATGAACTCCATCACAAGAAGGACTTGTGATGGAGTTATGATGGACATGTGATGACATAACAAAATGAATATTTATCTTTAATTAATTTGTTCACTTTTTTAAATGCTACTCCCACTAAATGGTCATAATGATAATATCAATTATTCTTTAATGTGTTAGGTTCAATCGCGCCATTGAAGATTTCACTCTGTCGTGTGCTGGTTACTGTGTTGCAACCTACGTGCTGGGGATTGGAGACAGACATAACGATAACATCATGGTCAAGAAAACTGGCCAGGTAGGCTGCACTTTAAATTCCAAATGAAATTTTTTCTTTGAAATTATATTTGTTTATTTGAAAGGAGATTGTAAAATAAAAATCAGCAAATAATGCACATTCTACATAGTTCTTTTTAGGTTTCCTGGTATGCAACATCAGGTTTGTAAACAGGAGTATCTCTCATATCAACAAAGAATAATTTCCTATTTAACAAATTCATGGCAAGTATATTGTCTCAAATATTTTGGCATTTAGAAATTACAATTAAGTTGAAAACAGAATGGCTCCAGTGAGTCCATTACCGACTGCAAAATGAAACAACAAAAATGTGTGCAGAATTCTGATTTTGTTTTGATGAATTTTCACAGCTGTTTCACATTGACTTTGGTCACTTCTTGGGCAACTACAAGCGAAAGTTTGGATTCAAACGAGAGCGTGTGCCATTTGTTTTGGTCCATGATTTTGTCCATGTCATCACACGTGGAAAGGGGAGCAATACAACCACAGAGTTTGAGACGTGAGTATATCTTTGCTTATAAAACAAATAGAATGTACTGCTGATCTTTTTTACCTGAGAAGCTTGATCTGGCATGTTCATAATAAACCACAATGACAAAACGTGATCAGGCAATCAAAGTAATATGTTCTACAAGTGCTAATGGTTTAATCATGTTGGTGGATTGACGTCACCCAAGGGCGGATCCAAGGGGGGGGGGAGGGTTCCAACGGGGGCCATTGCCCCCCCCCCAAAGGAACCTAATTTTTTTTACGATTAACGTCGCAGTAAAGGCAGGCACTGCGTACACCACCATCTTTTCCTCCAAAAAAAATATTAAAGTGGTCAGAACTGCCGCAGATCACACGCCACAGAGCATCTAGAATCCAAAAAACATTTGGGGCCCGCTTAAAGGCCGTAATTTTTTGGACCAACTTTTTGGGGGACCAAACAAATTTTGGCTCCCCAAAAAAAATTGTGTTTTGGATCCGCCCTTGACTTCACCATCAAACAGAGATATTTACATGCGTAAAAGCTGTATCCTTTCTGAGTGATCCTGTTTGCTATTTCCCTAGTTTGCAGCATTGCTAATGTTGCCAGTGACTTCAGGTAATGTGGCATGTACAGCCTTATGGCTTTTGACTAGCGCCCCTTGAACAGATGTAAAGACATTGCCATAAATGGGGAACCGCCGGCATAGGGCTTGATAGCTCAGTTGGTAGAGCACCTGAACGGCAATGTGGCAGGCGGAGGTGACTGATTCAAACCCAACTCCAGTCAATTTCTTTGTTTAAAATAATTATGATGTATGCAACTAGTCAGTTAGTCTTTGTGGTTTATTGGGTTGTAGGATATTTACATGGTTAACTTAATATTTTCCTTTGTTTTTGTTTGGAAGTTTCCGCAAGTGCTGTGAGCAGGCCTTCATGATTCTTCGTCAACAAGGCAACCTCCTCATCAATCTCTTTGCTATGATGCTTTCAAGCGGTATCCCCGAGCTCTCAGATGAGACCATCAAGTATCTCCGGGACACCTTGGTCCTGGATCGTAGCGATGAGGAAGCACTCAAGCATTTCAAAGGGAAATTCACCGAGGCACTCAAGAACAGTTGGAAGACAAGTCTGGATTGGTGGGCACACATCATTGCTCATAGAAATGAGACCAAGAAAAAGGACTAGACTTCCCTAGTCAAGCTGGACCTTAACGTCCATGTCAATCAGTTAGTCAGTTAGTCACATCATTGCTCATAGAAATGAGACCAAGAAAAAGGACTAGACTTCCCTAGTCAAGCTGGACCTTAACGTCCATGTCAATCAGTCAGTCAGTTAGTCACATCATTGCTCATAGAAATGATACCAAGAAAAAGGACTAGACTTGCCTAGTCAAGCTGGACCTGAACGTCCAAGTCAATCAGTCAGTCAGTTAGTCACTCTCTTGTTTGCCAATCAGTCAGTCGGTAACTCTCTTGCTTGTCAGTCATCAGTGACTCGGGGAGTTAGTCAGTCACTGACTAGTCTATTAGTCAGTCACTCAGTGACTCAGTCACTCATTCTGTTAATCAGTTACTCAGTCAATCAGTGACTCAGTCACTCATTCTGTTAATCAGTTACTCAGTCAATCAGTGACTCAGGTACTCAGTCAGTGACTCAGTCAGTCAATGACTCAGTCACTCATTCTGTTAATCAGTGACTCAGTCAATCAGTGACTCAGTCAATCAGTGACTCAGTCACTCAGTTACTCAGTCAGTCAGTGACTCAGTCACTCAGTCAGTGACTCAGTCAGTCAATGACTCAGTGAGTTAGTGACTCAGTCTGTTTAACAGTCACTCAGTCAATCAATGACTCAGTCACTGAGTTACGCAGTCAGTCAAAGACAGCATGATTGTAGATGTGTAACAAAGAAAATGCCTTTGTTAAAGTCAAGATAGTTTTAAGACAATCTTGAAGTCAATTTAAGATTCAGTAATTGTCTTTATGTAAAGAATGGATGTCTTATTGTTTTCTGGTGCGGAGTTATATTTTGTCACAGATGTTAAGGTTATTGTTTCTTATGTATCACTGTATTGTACAATAATTGTCTGCTAATTTTTCTATGTTTGCTACCTTGTAGATCTTTATTATAAACGATTATTGTACAGACTTCTAGATTTATTTTTTTTCTTTTGATATTATTTCTGTGGCGGATATTCGTTTCAACTACATGTATATTCCATAATTGTTTGCATACTTTGACAAAAAATATATATATATTTTGTGTGTACGGCACGAGTTGTTTGCACACATTATTTTCCTTTGTACAGATTTTCTGTAAACCCTGTCATCCTGTGCAATGGTTTATACTCGGACAATTTTGTACTTTTATGTAATTTGTATATTTTCCTTTTTCCTGAATCGTTCAGCTGACTTTTGTGCTTGGTTTGATACTTGACACTTTCAGTTTTGCACCAGGGAAAATGCTGGTTGTCACACCCTACAGATTCTGCATCAAGATATCTTAGATTGGGGGCCAAGTGTATTTAGACTCCCATTCTTCAATCCAGTGTCATCACAAACAAAACAAAGTACCAAATCTTGGCCAGTGCTTTTGGCAGACTGCAGACGCTAATCGTGACAAATGCCATTAGTTTGCATTTCCAGCCGACCACAAGAGGCTGAAAAACATACCATGCATACTTATGTACATGGTAACGGTTTAATGTGGACACTTTGCACTTGGCAATGCGTGGCCTGAACAGGGTATGATAACCACTTCTACAGTACATGGGATGTGCTTTAGGAACTTCCAAACCAAAAGTGGACCATGCTTGAGAATATTTTCATCTCAGGTTGCTTTTAAAGGACCCTGACTGTAGAAAGAACTGTAAGCCAGAGCTGAAGCCAAGATTTCGAACACCTGTATGAGGTATTAAAAGGGTGAATACAGTAAAGGGTGTGGCGTCCTCTATTGATAAAACAGATATTATGGCAGTCTTGTGAGTAAAGTCTCACAACAGATACGATGATTGTGAGGATGATTGTCTCACAAAAGTCATATTGTCATAACTGTCAGGTGTGTTTGCTAAGTGTTGTTATTATAACATATTTCACTTCAGACTGATAGAAAAAGAAAGAATTAAGTTTCTGACCATTCTTCATGTCTTGTCTGTGTGGCAGTTTACTGAGTGACATGTATGTGACCCGCTCCACAAACAAAGAGTATTTTGTCGCACTGTGCATTATCGTGTAATGGCCCACTCAACGTTGAGAGGGTGAACATTTCTTCAAAATGTGATGTTAATTGTTTGTCATGAATGATAACTTTAATACCTTAAGGTTCAGGTTTCATTCACAGAGATGTTGATTTCAATTAATAAAGTGGGGAAAAACGACCATTTTGAGTGCATCGTTCTGTTGTTCTACAACAGAGCCAGCTATTTTAAAGCCTGTTTTCTCAGTTGTGTAATTTGAACTCCAAGGAAGTTGTTAATATGCAAATACTGTAAGTCATATCTCTAGAATGGGAAGGGCTATGGAGTTGTACTTTATGCCAAATGAAAGCTTACATTGTGGGCTATCCAACCACAATTCAATGTCACTTATTTGTAACATAATATCCTCTTTTTTGTGGAGCAGATCACATATTGTCCCTATTGTCACAAAGGAACAAAGGTCTTCTCATAAAAATTATATTTGCCACTCCAAATCTAAAGTAACATATGTATCCGGTCACCTTTAAACAGAAAAAAAAAATTACGTTTGTTTGTTAAAGAATCATGAAGAACAAAAATTACAACGAAAACAAAAGATATATATTTTTGTACAGAAAATAGTAGAAGTATTGTATTAAAAAAATGCAGCATTTATAGATTTTAAGGTATTGATGCATTTGGTATTGTAAAGTATCTTGGCAGCAATGTTTGTATATGTTCAGCTGTCAATGTTTTTGATAGTCAATATAAGAACCAACCTATTGGTCTTGGCAGCTCTTTTAAGCTGCCTTTTTAATTTGTTAATGCATACATCTTTTTTTTCTTACACGGTGCTTGTGCCTTGAGCTGATGGCACACACTAAGTAGATGTAGTTTACCATTTGTCGTAACCACTTCTTGTTTTTTGTTTTGTTTTGTTGAAATTGTGTAACCAAGGCAATATTTTGGAGACGTGCCAAATCAGCCCCAAGTCAATACCTAATTGGGCATACACTCCTCTTGCCTTCTCATTAGTTTTGTCAATTGGTGGGTGAAATCTCAATGGCAGTAAAACATTTTTTTTTACAAAACAACTTGTTTACCTCACCTGGGTGATGACTTTGTGTATTTAAGTAGTTCTGGCTATCACACGATAAAGGTCACAATTTCTCATTTTATTTATATATTTTAATATTTTTTTCATTTTGCCAGGGAAGCCCGACCATTTGTCTAAGAACCCTGTTCTCCGTGGGGGCCCTGGGTCACAGCATAAAACACCACCAAAAGTTAAACAAAAATGTTAAAACATAAATGTACAGTTTTGAAATTAGAACAGATAACGGTGAGGATTGAAATCAGCACAAGACAAAAAAAACGGATAAAATGTGCACAGTTTTATGCATTATCTCCGATTCTTTATACAGGGTGAGTCAGAAAGATGGATACCCTTTAAAGACAAGTATTAAAGCAATTTCAAGAACGACACACAAACTACAAGGTTTTAGCAATCACCTAATGTTTGTTTCATCAATTTTACTTTTGTTTTTCGGGAGATTTTCCCCCCAAATTAATAAAAATCAAGTTTGTCCACGGATCACTGAATCAGGCTAACATGTCGCGTTTTGTTTCTTTACTTATCGTATTGTTTATTCAACAATGTTTTGGACTATTGCAGAGCTGATAGATTTATACAAACATTTGACATGAATACAGTTTTCTGAAGCAATTCCTGACTGAGAATGATTTAGGATTCCATTGTATGTCATTCACGCCTTGCCTGTAGTAAAACTGACACGTCTTTGCATATTGGGTATCTGTGGACAACTTTGTTTCCCCCTATTATGTTTCGAAACGCTTTTAGAAATTGTGTCGTATTGCGTTTCCCATCTCACCAGATGACGGCTAATGTCATCAGGGGTTTCAAATGATGTAGGCCTGCTATTATATTTATATGCTCCATGTCTTCAAAAAAACATTTAAGCATTTTTTCAGAAATAGGATACCCATTTTTCTGACTCGCCCTGTATTTTGATTTTGTTTTAGTTCAGACACTTACAGTAACCTAATAAGCCCGTTTGAATTTGAACTCGACCAAATATTAGAATTCAGTATATTTCTTTCATCCGATACTTTTTCCGTCATTGATGGTTTTTAAAAGGAATCGTTGTGCAACAAAGAAACACTAGAAATCAGAGATGTTTTGGAATCATTCCAAATCGAATTGTTTCCCAAATTGATTGGAAGAGACCTCTACGTCTTTACGCATTGCACAAGCCGTATTTTTGGTTTCATGTTTGAATTAGGAGCTAAATTAAGAGCATAAATTAGGTCGGACATAATTGATGCATTTAAGCAGAATATGTTTTAGTCGAGTTGTTCTGAATGTATTTAAGTAGGTATATAAACAGAAGGTTAACACATATTAAAGCATCATTTTGGAGCATCAAGAGACTTAATTGTTTTACAAGGTAACAGAATTACAGAAATTCTTTATGTTGCAACATGAAGAAGGACCAACATGTTGGTTCTTCGTGTGGAGTTTTGTGTTGCAATTGTTCAAAATGTGGTCCGTGCTTCGTACATTGAAAGCATTAAGTACAGTACTGGCTTTGCGATTCCAGTTTACCATGTAACTTGTGAGAGAACATTAAAATATCACAAAATATCAAATTTTTAAGTTAATATTCTTAAAATTGTTCTTAAATTTACTTATTCAGTATTTAAATCATGCAAAATAAGAAGAATTTGTTACTCATTACTTATTGGATATTTATCAGAGAAAAGGGTTTAAATATCAAATACATGTATTGCATTACAAGGAAGGAGTATATCAACTAAATTGGGTCCCATTTTACAAAATGTCTTTGTGTAAAGAATTTAACGAAAACATCTTATAGCCCATGGCAATCATGTACATTTAGAGTATTTGTTTTGTAAGCAAAGGTTATGTGAAGTGACGTCAAGAATGTATACTCAAAGGAAACTGTAAATTTTCATTAAAGTTGCATAGAACTTTAGTGTGAGTGTGCATGACGTATTATCTCCGTTTGCCTTGTGGTATTCTATTCTAATCGCCCAAAAAAATTGCCTTCGCAAAACGGCAATAATCGCTCAAAGTAACACCTACACGAGCAGAATTTGTAACTATACGATCTTGGTTTACATATAAGTCTGCTGAATATTATCAATTATTGGAGCGGAATAATTAACCTGTAGTTTACCTCCTTTGTGAGCTATTTTTAGATCGAGATTTCTCACAAACTGGCTTAAATCTTAAAGTCGGGCCTACGTTTGTGATGATGAGAGCGATGTTTATGCAAAGTGTACGGGGTGATGTAGTGTTTAATTTAGAGGCAAAAGCGTCGTACTTTTCCAAGGAATTGAAGCAAACGAGTGTGTTTGTGAGTTGATTTCCTTTTGTTTTGTCAGTGTTTCACGTGCTTTTTTTTTTTATTAATTCAAAGCTTACAATTTGGTTGGCTGTATCATGGTGACGGCTGTCTTTAACGTTGATTCATTTGTTATTTTATGATATTTTGTTGGCCAATTAGGTGAATTCGCATCAAGGCACACCTCGAATTCCTTCGTCAGTGTATTTTGTTTTCCTTTCTGCTATCTCCGCTTTATTATTACCATGGAAACTGTAATAATTTACCACCTTTGCATGTTAGCGGCTATTGTCTTCCAGCGCAGCCGCTCGGTGACTTAATCGTCACCAGGAACGTAAACCAAGCAGAGATGCGTTCCCATGGCAACGCATTTCACCGCCACCACAAGGACACCAATGCCTAAGTTCTTCCTTTGTTGGGTTTCCATGTGCGAAGAATAATCGATAGATTCATTAATTTATTCGTAGATAGAAAATTGTCTGTGGTTTATACATCCCCCGACGAGTAAAAGGCGGCAGAATTTGTGTTTGACTCTCCCTACCAAAATGTGCGGCGAAACGATCCAAGTTGCATAACGAAGCGCAACAGGTCAAAATTTTGACGATGTGCATTTATGGTACGAAGTGTGTCGTGTTGATAGATAGTTCATGATAGCTCTTTGTAGATGTATACTGCAACATTATTATTCACCCTTGGCTATGGTTGAGGTCACTAAGGGTCACTTCGGTCATTGGTCATTTTGTGTCATCGACTAATTGTGTTGTCTGCTTGGACATGAGTTCAACATCTCAACAACATGAAATCGTATTCACAGAAGGCGACGTCTTGGCATTAGTACTGACAAGCACGCAGTAAGCGTGAAGTGGCTCTGGTGTCGTCGTCTGTTATCTCGCTGTATAGTGATGCGTGTTTCAACGAGAAACGACGCGGAAGTCATAAGAGAGAATATTTATTTAAAAAATATATATATAGATACAAGTCCATGCTCAGAGAGGGCGGCTCTACTTGAAAGTCTATACTTCATTCTACACGGCACTGACGGAACAGCAATTTTTATCACCAAATCCAAAACTTGAAGAACTGTTGGACTTTGATGTCCCCGCCCATGTACGTGTCTCCTTTTCAGACTTGGCCGGGGAGAAATCACCGCCACATCGGTAGCTGTGAGCTCTATTTGCATTTGGTCCGATTCATCGCCAAATTTGCCTCGGATATTCAAGATAAATCGATGCATTACTGACCAGAACAACCGCCCGTAAATTTCCTATAAATGCATCTTTTTCATAACCGGATGAAATCGCTCATCGGCTCTTTCCACGAGTTAAGTGGCGTGGACACGTTCGTGCCTCTTATAGTTACTCGTCGTTGTCGCTTATAAGGAGATGATATTGGACTGTAGATGAAGCGATTGAAATGAACAGATTACAAAAACTTTAGCCTTCTACTCTCTGTTGTCAACTATGATTGGTTGTTCTGAATTGAACTGACGAATAGGAGTGGAATTGATTTGCTTGACCCGTTTTTAACCGACACCGCGATGGGGCAAGACGTTTAACATGAAACACCGTTTGAACAAAAGCAAACAAAGGTAGATCAAGGTAGGTGAAATCTTGTTTATCATGTCTTTACGAATAATAAAAATGGGCAGATGCTAGACCTAATTGACAAAGACTATTCATTTTTTTTAATAGTTCATTTAACATTTTCACCAAGTGAAGATTGTGCGTGAATTATGTCTTTTTGTCAAGTTCTTACAATGAACTGGAACATTCAAAAGGTAGTATCATTTTTTTTTCAGGTTTGGTTTACCAGTAAGGCAGAAAGTGTCGCAGATGGGCCGATATTAAACACCTGTGGCATCGTGTCTCGTGAACATGCACCTTTTTTTAATAAAAGGTTTAGTGCGTCTGCCTTTATGACATGTAAATACACCTGTTCGTAATGCACCTGTTTCCATACCCCTTGCTGGAAACACCTGCGTCTTTGAGTGATTGAACCACCTGATAAATGTGAGAATCATGCAGCTGTATACCTGGTTTCTAGTCAGCCTTCTGGCCATTGTGACAATCATTGGAATTCCAGGTAACATACTAGTTCTTCTTGTCTACGCCAATAAAACTAAACGTACGGGGACGCGCGTCTTCATTCTGGGCTTAGCTGCGGTGGATTTATTTATCTGTGCACTGTCTGGCTACCGATTCTATCTCTGGATTCACGAGGACTCTTTCTCTAGTGACTTCATCTGTCGGTTCTTTAGCTGGATCGGCTTAGCTAGTGAATTATCCTCCGCGTTTGTCACCACGGCAGTTGCAGTAGATCGCTACTTGGCAATCTGTCGCCCACATCTCGGCTGGATGACCCACAAACGCGCTCAAATTGTGTGCTTCACTGGAGTCGTTGCCTCTACGGTCTTAACTCTCCCCGCAGTGCTAGTCTACACAGCCTCCACTGATACACAAGGCCATAAATCCTGTGAAATCACAGGATCAGATGTAGACCGTTACTGGGTCTACATCGCTTTATTCGTCATGGCCACCGCGTTCATTATCATGATGATAACATCCCTGGCCATGTACATGTTGATATATCGTGAGGTCCGCAAACGATTGAAAGTTCGACCGTCTATTATCCAAGTTGCTCCCGCAGAGAAGTCCAGCGACAAAGAAGCAGGTCGCTCGAATCATCTGACCGGGATGCTGATGGTTGGAGATTCCATGATAGGAATATCTCTTCATTCGAGGAGCTCAGATAATCGCCGGCACAGCATCGGTGAAGCCGAAGGAATCTCACAGAAACTGATCAAACCTCGGAACCGAACACGAGCTGGCTCGCCTGTCTCATTTCGTCGGAGCTTTAAAGAAAAAACTGACTCGAATCCGAAATCAGTCAAGACTGGTCACGGTTGTCTTAAGGACTGCCAAGAGAAGAGAAAGGTTGCTATAGCAACTGTAGGATCATCTAGTGAGGACACAGGATCAGACCACGGTCCTAAGACCAAACTGACCGCTGACCACAATGAATCAACTGACCATGCCATTAAGAAGGGTAAAAAGAGCAAAACGGGGAAGATGTTGCTCCTAGCAACGGTTGTCTTCGTAGTGACTTGGTCTGCTCGTTTACTGATGTGGCTGATATCTTACATGCTTGATGAGAAATGGACATATTTAAAGGACACTAACGATGTTGCCTTCGCATTTCTGAGTCTACTGCAGCATTTGTATTACACCACACCAGCCGTCAATCCTGCCATTTACAGCTTCGTCAATGACAGATTTAGAGAGGAATGCTTAAAGATTGTGCGGAAGATGAACTGCCTCAAGGGATCAAACATGAGATAGGAATCAACATGTGACTATCATGTGACCGGTCACGTGTGACTCGGTCAAAATGTGGCCATGTGAATGATTGACGTATAATAGTGGTATGCCTACATTGCAGTGAATTTGACTCTTTCACAAAGCAAATGCGGTTATCTTTCGATGATGCAACAATAAATGGAATGGATTTGTTTCCTTGCGAGGATGGAGTCATCTTCAATTGTCGGATAATAGGCAAGACTTAGCGACAAGGACGGATCCGGGGGGCCAACGGGGGCCATGCCCCCCCCCCCCAAAGTAACCCCTTTTGTTTTAAGTGACGTCGCAATAAAGGCAGGCACTGCGTACACCGCCATCTTTTCCTTTAAAAAATGGTTAAAGTGGTCAAAAATTGCCTCAGATCGCACCACAGAGCATCTAGAATCCAAAATTTCGGATTAATAAGCTTTCTTTTAGTAATCAAATCACTCGTGTACTGTCTTTTCCAGTTATAGAATTTTGAACTCGGACACAATTTTAGAATTTTGTCCACGGATGATATTTAAGGTACGTGATATTTCACTAAAATGAAACCATGTCGTATCATGAAAATGATATCAGAATAATCCCATAAGTCTCGGTGTTGCCAAGTAGATGAAAGGGCCAGACTATGAACTTCAGACATTATAAAGCATGTTGTTTTAACATTGAAAGCAGAATGTGTTAAAATAAAAGTTATAAGTGCCAGCTTCATGGTGTTGTGGAGCGTTCTGGTATGTTTTTATTTTTATATGTGAATTGTTTTGTTTTGCTGAAATATCACTTACCTTTATCGTGATCCGTGAACAAAATTATAAACTATGTTTGTGGTTAAAAGTCCATAACTGGAAAAGTACATAACTGTTTTGAATGATTCATTTACTTAAAAAAACACCTTATATTAATCGGGCTTTCATCTCCTAGATCTTGAACGTGCTACATGCAGAACTTCTTTTCAAATATAGGGAGTGTGGTTTCCATTTTTACTCACCATGTATTACCTCGATTGCATAGACCTTACGGTGAATGCCACGTGCCGTAAAAGTAATACTAATACCTTTGCTTATCTTATTGAAAAACGAAAGTATTGTGGGCATTCTCTTTGCTACAAATTATTCGAAGGTGATAGACACCATTTGCAAACGTTTAAAATGAACTCTCTACATTCCAAAGAATGAAAATTCACTCCATTCGAGTGAAGATTCAATCCCACAGCCGGAAAGTAGGAACTAGACGTTTTGGAGTGAAACTTCTTCAATCATAAAAGATCAAGGTTTCACTCGAGCTTTGACTGAAGTGGTTCTTTTTTCAGACTATTTCAATCGAACATGAGAGTGATTTGCACTCTAAAACGTATAGTCCTTAATTTCACTCTTTGGAATTTAGAGAGAAACTGTCAAAATATCATGGAATATCATATTTGATTGTAAGTTAGTAATATGGTCATGCATCTTGTGAAATTATTGCGTCTAGTTTGCTGTCATTTTCAAGTAGAGAGGAAGTACCATAGTTTCCTCGATATGGTTTAGGAGCAGGCCATCGCGCTTTCCATGAAAACGCTTTGTGTCAAGAAAAATTGGAGATGCATTTTCGATTTTCTCAAAAGGTATGAAATCTTATGAGCTGAGATTTCAACAGGTTAGCGTTTTAATTACTCGCTTCTGATTTATTGCATTGTTGTTCTTTGAATCGACCAAGATACGGTGGTGTTTTTGGCGAAAACGCCCCACAGACTTAATTACGAAATCCGACGCAAATGTTCAATTTATAATTTATAAAACAGTGTATGTACACTAATAGCAATTGCGATTTTCTTCATGCTGTCATGAATTATTAAGAATTGTATAGTTATTCTACCATTAGTATAGTGCCGTCGTTACATCATTACGGAGTTCATTCACGACTCAATGACGCATTAGCTAATTGCTTACGGCACGGCGCGATGCTTCTTCGCATGATTTCCTCCATTTTTCATCAAAATTTGATGAGCAATATCTAGTATTGCTTTGTTTGTTGCCCTTTAAACATTTCACCCTGTACAAATTGCTAGTGAGCACTGTGAAATACGACCATAAATTACGTGTTTTCCTCATTACAACAGCTTTTGTCATGTTTTTGCATTTAAAAAATATTTTTAAATCTGACATCGTTTGTGGCTTTTGCTGTTGATAATAATCTTGAAAGACAAAAATGTAACAGTTTGTTTTTCTGTTGTCGCTAATGTCCGCGCCCACAACTGAGCCAACCATACCAACACCGATTGAAATAAATTAAAACAGGGAGATATGGGCTTTCAACTTTCTTGAAATTAACCGGAGAGCGATTACCAAGTTTGATGTTGCAAATGAATACGTTAATTTTCAATTTACTGTAAAGTGATGTCTGCCACAAAATATCCTATAGCTAGAAGAGGACATGTGTCGTTGACTAGATATCACTTTTTAGATGTTTTCTGCAACATTTACAAAAAAAATATTCTCACTATCAATTTTTGAGAATATGCGTGTACAATTGCCTGTTTGGCTATCTTCAAAATATACATACTGGCGCTTGTACTAAACAAATACCAGAGCCATTTATTATTTATTTTTGTATTAACCATCGAAAACTATTTTAATCTTAAATTGAAATATTGGGTGGAACATTAGTGTTTTCACTTAACAACCTTAAAAACAAAGTAATTTGTATCTGTACTTCTTTATATATTAACAAAATTGAGTAGGCAGCTTCATTCCACACCCACTGTCGGCTGGTTTGATACGGTTTAGGTCATACAGTTTAATGGCAACCTAAAATGGTTGTTTTTAGAAGGACTCTATTTACGGCAATGCTCTTGTCGTGCAATTGTACGATATATAAAAGCTAAGCATTCGTGTCGTGTTTGGTAAGTCATAACTTTCTTGGATTTCAGTGCAGCTTTTTGGGTCAGGATTTCAATTAATGATTTACTATTTCCTGTCCGATTATTGCCAATCTGGAATGTTCAGCCAGACGACGTTCATTCAAATCTAAGCACGCACTGATCTGTTGATAAAGAATGCAATTTGAAATTTATCTTTCCAAGCACGACAAAGAAAGGCCCGTTTTTATGTTTATAAACATAGTTGATGGTGGCGGCGTATCCAGGTTTTTTTCCGGGGCCCAAATGAACTTTTCTTGATTGATAGTCTTTTTTTTTTCTTTTTGTTTGCCACAATTTTTTTCTAAGTAGAGAAGGATATGCTTTTACCTGTTTTCATGTTGCGTTTTCACTTGCTTAAGAAAAGAAGTGAAATTTCACTAAGGAGGGAGGACAAGTGCCTTCCCGTCCCCGATGAGAGACAAAAACCTTATTAATCGCAAACCATGCTGTCAGGATTTCAAATGCCGCCTAGGCCCTCGGAATAACCTGCCAAGAAATTGATTGAATTGTGTTGTTTCTAGTATTACTTGTTATCGTTTATCATGTTTTATGGTATAATTTGTGATAACATTAATTTTAGTAAAAGGCTTTAGGCCTATCACTGATACAGTTGTTTACTGTAAAAACTGAAGAAGAAAAAAAAACGCTAGAAAATAAAGGATTTTGTACACAAAACAATTTTTGGATTGCGCTTGTGCCATAACATATCCATTTATTAATACAAGATCACAATTTGTTTTGGCTGTAAATTCTACTGGAACTCGTGTCTTCGTGTGTGTAGTGCCTCTAGAAATGAAATCATGACTTGTATGTGACATTTTGTTGTAAGAGAAAATAAATTATAATTGGTGATAAAATGATTCTGTTAATCGCAGGCGCGGTTCTAGAGCCAATATTGGGGGGGGGGGGGAGGGGCTAGCAAGGTGGATCCAGAATTGATCCAGGAAGTGGCTGCATGCTGTTAATATACATCGGATCCGCACATGTAGACGTATTACCAGCTGGCCATATCCAAGTAATTCGGTCGCAGCCTTAGTACAAGTCCACATGCCCAGTCACGAACGTCACGTGCCTCATTAAAAACATCCTGTTTCTATGGATACCGATCAACACAATGCCAGGAGACTACTGGAGTGTGAGAATAAGTCAAAACTGAGAAAAAAACGATCACCCCTTGTATCGTCCAATCTTTTGTTTTTAGGGATTTTGCCCATAATAATTAATAAATGCCAAATTTCACGTGCATGGATTAATCATGATATTTTTGGTAATCTTATACTAGTCTGAGTACCATCCGGTTTTCAACGGAGCCCTCATCCGTAACTTGTTGCGCAAGGGGATATTCCATAGACTAATATACACATTGGGGAGGGTGCACATTTCTGCCCCCCCCCCCCGGTCAAAAAGAAAAACTTGAACATCCATTCATTACAATCCTGATTGTAATGAATGTGATGTGTTAGGTCTATAGTAGAGACATCCACGTTATCTTTTAAAATCATCTTTTGTACGGAATGTGAATTTTAAACTTTGGTGTGTGAATTTTATGCCTTGTATCATGTCTATTTGTTAGTTGTTCCCTTTTAAATTTAACTGTAACTGTAACTGTATGACCTTTTGAGCTTGTTTGTAAATATTGTACTTTCAGCATGTATGCTGTGTGTGTGCAATATACTTTATTTCTAATAATAAACCAGAATATATAAATACAGGTATAACGCATGCGCAAATTTTGGTTCAATCGGACCGTAGAGGCAAACCACTCTGTACATAATAAAAATCAAAAAGCTACCGCCGCACACGATGAGCGTGTTTTGCTGTCTTTACTGCAATGGGGCGGAGATAAATAACTGCGTCGAAAATGTATAAATTTGCGCGGACACAACGTCCCTTTTCATGATATTTGTGTCAAAACTTTGCCAGACATCAGTCTCAAAAACGCATAAAGGCTGGGCACTAGAAAAAAATAACGTGCGGCGATGATAGAACAACATATACTGGGGGTGTCCATCCCCTTCCTTTCAGGGCCGTAAACAAGTGTTCACGCTTGAATGAGCTTGTTGACAGCAACGATCACTAAAACACGCTGATGAATGCGATATTCTGGTATATGGAACAGTGATCGAACGTGACAAATTTAGTCAGTGGCAGTAAAGGTCATTCTTTTGTGTGTGAATGAAAACGGCCTAATTACGATCCTGTAACTTCCTGCAAGCATTTGGACAGGCTCAGTGATGGCAATGACTCTTTTGTTTGAATTTTTAATTTCACCAAATTTCAAAAACGAAAGCCTTGGCCCGACAGGCGGCCGCTTTCCTGGCTAGGCTGCAAACCGTTATTTCAGTGTTCGTTCCTTGCATAATGCGTGTATTTGTTCTTTCCATCGATAGCGTTTTCTTCCGTCGTCATTTTATTCATTATAAGAACGGATTAGTAATCATTTCATCCTCATCACTCCCCAAACACCGACAAAATGAGCCTCATCCATCTTGTACTGAGATGCACAACTGGCAAGCTTGAGTTAATTATTAACGCTGTGATCCAATAATGAAAATTAATGTCAAACACGTCAATTGATAATTCATTTAAACATGAGAACGTTCGTTCACAATTTTTTACGTCTGAATTTCGGAAACAAGACAAGGCAAGTATAGTACAACTGTAAAGCTGATCACAGAGCGCACGCAATTATTAATCAACTGATAAGAATGGCTGAAATATCGGATTCTGTTATATGACATCCTCCTCCCCCATCCCGAGCCCCGCCCACTTTTCATTGCAATTATACACCCGTACCCTCGATCGAGCACGCACCACGCTTCACTGTTCGCTATAGTTCTCACTGTGTTCATTATCCTTTGCTTCTATGTCAGATAACACTGGATTTTTGCCCTACCTCTCCAAACTCATTTTGATTGAAGATGGAACAGCGATATTGTCGAGACAACAATTCCCCTCCTTGAAAGAGACTTCACTAGTAAGAGGTTTGCACTTTTATCCGCTGGATCGACGTGGACAATGGAAATCACTCTTCAGTAATTAATATAACTTATCTGACATCCTCATCTTCCTCTCTGCATTATACACATCATTAATCTTCAAGTATACAAAACCAAGGGTTGCTGAGGTTAGGAAGGATCAATCAATCTTTCCATTTCAAAATTTGGAAGTATAAAATTAAAATTGATCTTTGAACTTTAAGGAAAGAGTAGGAGACATGTGCCCATTCCTCTTAAAGAGATAGGTTATATAGATCTTAATGAAAATTTTCTTTTTCGGCAATTCATTTACTTCTTGTTTGTCCTCGATAATTAATCACTAAAATTAATTTTAAGAATGGTTAAAAAACTGTCCCTATGAGTATATCATTTAATTTTCATGATGATCCATGATAACATAATAGCATTGACGAACTCGCCAATCCAAGTGGGAACAAAATGCCCCCTCCTGTGGTCAACTACAGGTTTCCTCTTGACTTGTTGTATATCGAGAAAATCTTCCAAACGTGAGTTGAAGACAATTGATTGGGAACTTTACGTCACCCCCCCCGGAAAAAAAATTGTACAATAACTATATATTCTCACGGTTTCTCTTTCATCTCCATCGCTGTTTAATCCGTAATTAATTTTTATATTAGGCCACAAGCTTCTCGACTTTAAGCATGATAAAGCTTTAAAGTGATTGGTTCCCTTGCGAATTAGCTGAAAGGAAACTTTCAGAAGAAAAGGGAAAAATTGAATAATAATATTAATTGTGGGAAATTTATTGCAGCGCCCTCAATTATCGAGCTGTTATTCACGCGTACCCCCCCCCCCCCCCCCTGCAAACAGGACCAGGGCGGGGGGGGGGGGGGGGTACGAGCGAACTGTTATTCTTTCCAATTTGTATAAAGAGCGCCCTCTATATTGGATTTGCGCTCACTCCGCAAAATGGCAGCCTACATGCGAAGACAACTGTCTAAAGAATCGGCACAATTAATTAGGCAATTCCTTCACAAGAATAATGCTTCGTACAAGAAAAAACAATTTGCGTGTTTCTCAAACCTTCATGGATCCAACGAAGGTATTTTTTAATAAAATGAAACTTGTCGTTGCGTAAACTTGACATGTTAGGCTTTACTAGCCCCATAAATGTGGCCTATTTACTGGACTGCCTCCGTAAACATGGTAAACATAGGCCACACATCCACATGTACAAAAACGTGTCGCACTTTGCCAAATTTTGATTTTCACATTTAGGCTTAGTTTGTAGGTTTTTTTTGCTTTAGAAGCATTCTCACCCTCTTTATAGGCGGCACAATTGCAGAATACCCCGCCACTCGATCTATCCACCTCGTAGCCGGCTACGAGGTCACGGTTGATTGACCTCAATAAACATCGTCCAAAAACACGAGGTCATACGTCACAGACTGTTTATGCATTTTCATGAGTTTGCGCGGGCGCGCCTGCATATTGCATACATTACAGCGCGGCCGCCATTTTGAAATCGCATGGGGGATCGCTAGTCCGAAAATTTGGGACTCTCAATACTGTGTATGAGAGTCCCAAAACTTAAGGTATCCATATCGTGCAAAACTTTGTGCTGCATGATAAAACCAGTGTGAATCAAATTTGCAAGCTTCTTACTCACTACAGTTTCTTCAATAATCCCCGAAACTTCTGCCTAGCAAAGTTGCTATTGTGAGCATTGCATCACCAAAAATTCAGCTTTTAATTCTAATTTTGCAGAGAGTTATCGAAATCCATACGTGAGACATCACGTTGATGTGTACTGCAATGCATTGTGCAAAAAGACTCCTTAGCTATAACATTTTCATCGTGTAGATAAAACAGCGCCCTCTTGTTGATCTGAGTGAATGCAAAATTTTTCATTTTTTAGCAGAGGGCGCTATGTTCATTTGGCCATTGATTAAAAAACAAGTAAGCTGCAAGGCTCTTCCTACACCTACCCAGAATACATTGGGAATCACACCATATTTCCAGAGCATGGAGAATGACGTGGGTGGTTTTTGAACTGCCAAAACCTTGCCTTAAAATTGGATTTCAGGTCTCAAATTTTGCAGGTGACATGCTTGCAACTATAGCATTTTGATGTATGTGTTGTGTGGGCATTAATTAGCCAAATGGTGAGTAAAAAAACGTCAGTAGTAATTCTGCACGTTTTTATGCACTCACGGTCCCAGTCTGGGGGATCGCATGGGGGACGATATTTGCGGAATCTGATGACTGAAATTCGTCTTGTGGCCGGATGGATGAAAATTTTGAGACCAAAGAACGTTTTTTTGAAAAGGTATGAGTTGCTCTACGACTACGAACCTTAACTTTGGAAATTTGTGTCCTGGATGAAAAGATAATCGCGATCGAAAGATGTAGCAAAATCGCTACATATATGGAAGCATCGGGCGTCTGGCCGTACTACAGAGCTTGCGATAGTACTGTACGGCCAGACGCAGTCGGGCTAGTATGTACTATGCGTCATGCTCCATTGCACTCCCACTTCGTAACCGCGTAGCCGCCAACAGGGTAGTTGGTTTGGACTTAGAATTTTTGCAGCAACTCCCATTCCTTTTGTGTTGCTTCATTCTCAAGCATATTCAAGTGGACTCCCAGTCCGTAGCCTCGTAGCCGCAAACAGGGTGGTTGGTTTGGACTTAAAATTTTTTCAGCAACTCCCATTCATTTTGTGTTGCTTTGTTCTCAAATAATGGACCCCCACTCAGTATCCGCGTAGCTGGCAATGGACTTGAATTGTTTCTTTTCCAGTGATTCCAACCTCGTAGCCAGTGATTTTAGGGGTGTATTTCCGAGTGGCGGGGTATTCTGCAATTACTCCTTATAGGCTAATCAGAAAGTGCTGCCTTTTTCAGATGTCTAACTTGTGTGAAATTTCATGTTGAAATTTTGATACGCAAACGTCATGAACGTGCACGTGTGCAAATGATTCTGGAAATTTCACTAAAAATAGACATCTAAAAAAGGCAGCACTTTCTGATTAGCCTATAAAGAGGGTGATTATGCTTCTAAAGCAAAAAAAACTACAAACTAAGCCTAAATGTGAAAATCAAAATTTGGCAAAGTGCGACACGTTTTTGTACATGTGGATGTGTGGCCTATGTTTACGGAGGCAGTCCAGTGAATAGGCCACATGGGGCTACCCGATTACTTGGCTACGGCTTATTATTTTACACGCGACTCTTTGTGAAGTGGCTGCAGCCGCTTACTCGTGTGTAATTTCAAGCCGTAGCCAAAAGTTAGAAATAAGGAAAGAATGTTGCAACCTGACGCCTTTTTATATCATCTCAATCTCAGTGAAGGTCAGTCATTGCAAAAATGTTGATAACACATGAATCTGGCAGTGAGAAATATTTCCAGTTTTGTTAGGAAATAGTAAACACCCTAAAAAAATTCTTGACTCTCCATAGACTTTGTACACAATCACAGAAGTGGCGTCAGGTTGCAACATTTTTTCCATAAATAATCAGAATCAAAATATTTTCTGAGAACTAGACTTGCTTCCCTACATGTATAAATACTGCTGTACCATGCTTGCAGCAGTGTACTGTGTAGTGTCGATTTGCATGCTCGTTAATACTGGAACAACCCCGTTCCTATTATAAGGTTATAAAAGACTCACCAAAACAGCTGACTAAATGACACTCAAAAATGACACTCTGATATTTCTTGACACATTTGAACAGTTGGCAATGACTTGAATATCAGCAGGTTTGATTTTGTGGAAAGAGGGCAGGGCTTTGTTTTATGAGGGAAATTAAGGGGTAAAAGACGATGATGACAAACAGAAAATAGACTAAAAAAGCAAGATGGCGAACTGCTGAAAAAGGTAGGAAAGTCACATTTTCTTTGAAAGTGCTTTCAAAATTACAACTGACATGAGGTTATCTGAAGAAAAAAGTGCTTTAGCCTGCAAAAGTCACTTTTTTACTGGACAGTAAAATGATCGACAATGAATTTAGGTTATAGTAAACAAAACTCTGGATACTGTACATTTTACTGCCTGAAAATCGAAAAGCACAGAGAAGGGGCAATAAGCAATGAATTAAGGAAACCTTCAGGATGTGAATGGTTTGTAGCATTGCTAATTATTCAGCTGTTTAATTAATTAATGTATTATCCTCTCATTCATTTTTTTGGGGGGTTATGTTGAAAATGAAACAGGTGTTTCAGATGTCTTCAATACTGATGAAGTCCAAGGTATCTTGACCCGGATCACTGGAATGGATCTACAGAGAGTCTTCCGCCACTCAAAACAGAAGCTAGAACCTCCAACCTACAGGCTCATCAGTGACGATAAGCTGAAACAGGTAACTCCAAAATGGTTGTGAAAATTTGGAATAAGATTGGCATTGACTTTTGACTGATACAAATTTAATCATTGACATTCATTTCATAAATTTGGGGTCCCAAAGTGTGACAAGGTTTGTTTGACATGTACCTTGCGTTCCATAATCACTCTTGGAGATGGAAGGTATTAAAGAAAGTCCTGAATTTACACAATCTTACACACAAAATTGGACCCCAAATTTATGGAATGACCCCTATAGAGGCACCCTCAAAGGAAGACTTGTTGACCAAAAATAAATGTAATCACTTGGTTCAGGTTTTCTGCAGTACTCAGAGGTATAACAAATTGGTTTCAAATATGCTACTAGACCAGTCCACATCGGACAAGTTAAATCACTGTCATTTACATTGTTTTATTTTTTTGTTTTTTTGATGTTACAGCTGGAGGAGGAGGCTAAGCAGGAAGCCAGGAAGCGCCTACAGATGCCGCCGGTCTTAGATGAGAGAGAAGAAATCACTGACGTTCTCTCAGAGAATCCTGAACTTGAAGGTCTTGACTCATCCAAGTTTGTGTTCACAGATATCACGTATGGAATTAAAGACAGGGTGAGCTCAATATATAGTCGGAAATTTAGGATAAAGGAAATGGCATATAACAAGCTGTTGAAGTGTTTTAGTCATTTCATTAAAGTTTTAATAAAAGATTCTAGTACGTAAATTGGCAATGTAAGTTACAATTCTGTGGGCCTCAGAAAAATCTCCATGAATAAATAAACTAATTCTGAAGAAATGTCACTGATAATGAGATGCACTTGAATTTGATTAAATCTTTCGACAATGAATGATACTATTTACAAGTGTGCATATTAATTTTTTTCGTTGTCCCTTTGTAGGAACGGTTCATTGTAGTGCGAGAGCCAAGTGGCACACTACGTAAAGCAACGTGGGAAGAACATGATAGAGTCACCCAGATTTACTTGCCACGACCCTATCGTAGGCTCATTCCACCTCCATTATTTGATGATGAGAATCTATCGGTAAGTATAACAAGTTGGCTTTAAAGGAACCATGAAATGAATATATACTAAAACAAATTTTGTGCAATTTTACATTCTTCTAAAATAATCTGGCCCTTTGGGTCCAACAGGAATACTTGGGTTGCTTTAAATAATAAAAGCGATATATTCTTCAGACTGAAACTGACTTGTTTTGTCTTGATCACCGACCAACCAACACAAAAGCTTATTTTCTGGGGTTTATTTGTTTCCTCCCATTCAGGCTGTCTTTAGTCAAGATGGTCATCTGGATTTGTTAGATGCAGCATGTGTGCAGTTTGAACCAGACGCTGCTGATTTCATCCGGGTAAGATTAGCATCAATTCATTTTGTCTAGTCTACTTAAGTTTTCTGTGATGGCAAAGACGTTTAACAGATTTAATTTGAGTGAAGACTGAAACATTATTTTCGCTGTCAGATTTTGTGATATATGAGGAACAAATCTAGTCTTTCTCTGAATTGAGAATGGTGAGTTTGTTTTCCTTGCACATTTCATTTCTTGTATAGAAAGGTATTCATCAGTGCATATCTGTGAATGATCAGTGGTGGACACTGAGGCGTATCCAGAGGGCCCCCCCCCCCCCCCCGGCAGACTTTTTGGTCAGTTGGATGTGCAGTTGCCTCCCCCCCCCCACCTCCCCCCGACATCCAAAGCTGGATAGCTACTGGGTGGACAGCTAAATGCTGTGGTATTTCAATTCAGGCGATTCACAATTCAGTGCGCCACCAAGAGTTTGCCACAGAGATTTCATTTTTCCAAGTGCATTGTGGGAGATAGTCGACAAATTCGCAGGGCGGGACATTTGAAATTGTTGGTTTTTCCGGTAAGTAGTTTCGTAAGCGTCTGATTCGAGTATATGTTTGCCCTTTGCCTTTCTTTTTATCAATATGGTGTTTTTTATGAGGTGGCAGAACGCTATGCCCCAATCTATAACAAATTAGCTCAAGGGCAATTCCACTGTAACGGAAGGACGTTTTCACTCATTAAACAAAATTTCAAATGTGTGTATCACAGACACTGTTCATAGTTACAGCAAACAAATGTCACAACTGTATTGCTATAATGCTACTTTCATTTTCCACACTTTTGGGGGGCATGAATGCCTCCCGTTTTTGAATTATGAATATTAATGAGGTCGGTAACGGAAGGACAGTAAAACGGACAAGGGTTTTCCAACTTACTCGCATTTTGCGTAAACTCTGTGAATTTTATGGGGCAATTATATTTTAAAGGTAAGAAATGGAATCCCTGAAGCTTTATCTATACTATACCGCCTTTCATTTGACTTTAAGTGTTTCGGTAATATAATTACAACGTTTTAAGCAGATTATGATTTGGTAACGGAAGGACGGTAACGGAAGGACAAAAGGTTTACTCAATTATAGCATGAACAAAATGTGAATTTACACTAATTATACAAGTGAAACAAATTGCTGAAATGTGTAACTGAATGAGAAATCAACAATATGCAGACCTGGCATAAATAATTATACCCAAGAAACTATTGAGATAAAGATAGAAGCCTGCTAATTAATGATAACAAAAGAAAAACGAAAACTGAGATTCGCGTTTGTTGTTACAAACGCAGAGTGGTTGGGTAGACAACTATTTTATGAAACACTGTCCAGTTAAGTTATGAATATTTTTATGTAAGAAGAAAGTATCAGGAAATTAAATCCTTTCCAGGACAATCAATTTAATTTCAGTAAACAGTACACATACAAGTTATTTCTGGCTTGATAACGTCATCAGTCAAAAACGGGAAGTGATTACTGATTTAGTTCGGAGTGGATGTTCATTGTGAAGTTAAATAACTATGAAAATTTGGAAACTATAAGTGTATGTATTCATAACACCGAACTTCCGGTTTGATGACGTTACAGTGTTTGGAAGCAAAAGGTGAACATTGTAATGGTATTGTTATCTGGGCTAAGATATACGACATGGATCAAATGATAGAATTAAATTTAAAATATGATCGTTGGCAAATTGTCATAAAAGTAACTTCCAGTCTGATGACGTCATGAGTTTGAAACCTTGCCAAGTTATCTGTGGTTAATCAAAGAATATCAAGGGTCGATTTGGTAAAATTTGAACCCATGGTTTTAAAAGTAAAGAAAAGAAACAATATTTTATGTGCCGCTAGGGGCGCCCTTTCGGATGATGACGTCATCACACTGTTTTTTTGTGTCTGGCATTCCTCACTTAACACTTTCATAATATATGAGTCTGTAATAAAATGCTTCCGCTTTTGAGTTATATTCAGTTTTTATTGCACTTTCGGTAACACGGGAAGTAAAGGTCAAGCGGTTTTGTGTCTGGGAACACAAAATGTTTCTCACGGCATAGTCTACAACCTCATGAAAAAAACGAACACGATACTCTATTTAGTTCAAAAGATATAACGCAAACTATTTTGTCAAAATTTGCCCTTAAATCGCTTGTAATTTGATACCTGATGACGTCATGATGACGTAACAAAATTTATAACATCTTCGTAACATGGTAATGTCAAGAAATCTCTCCAGGCAGCCATTTACTCTGCCGTCAGTACCGCCTGACCAAATTGGCAAACTGTTCGGTGCCGACACAGAGTAATCGAGGATGCTTTTTGAAGGGAAAAATCAGTCCGGTAGTTTGTCAAATCCTGCTGACACACAGAAGGAAGCTAATCTTCCCCGCTGATCCCCTGTGGAAGATTTTTGGTCAGAAACTGAAGCGCTTGTTTTTTTTTTCTTTGAAGTTTGTTGGTTCTTATCTAAGTTGGCATTGCACCTACATTCACCTCCTCAGATTAATTCAGTGAACCTGGTTTTAAAAATTGGGTCAAACTGCAAATAGCCACGGCTATGTCCCATACCGACCATTATTTCTTCAGTACCTATTTTAAGTAATTTCACGTGCAGTGCCTTTGATGTCTTGGGTCCAATCTGGACAAAATCTATATCATGAGAAACTGCCATTTTTTTTTTCAAGAAAGATCTGGATTTGCGGAAAGTTTTGCTTAAGTGTTGGGAGGAACTTGTTTCAGAAGTTATGCTATAAAACTCTTGTGACACTAGGGTTGATTGCAAGGAATATTTTTAAATAGGCCTAGGTCACTCTCTGAAATTGAACTTCTGGCCCCATGTTCCAGCGTTTTATGGAATTCCTCATAATAGCTTCTATTATCAGGGGCCTCTGGACACCATTAAAACAATTTCAGTACTGATCCCTAGATTTTGCAACATGATGTACAAGTTCAATATAAGGCAATTATTATTCATTGCCGCTATAAAAGTGCAGCACCAGCCCAGGAATGAGGCGATCGGGGGGCTAAATTTGCAAAAACAATCATGAATGGGTATACTGCAGTAATTTGGAGATTTGTTGTGTTCTTTGAGAGACCGGAATTTAATGTTCCAGGCTAATTTGTGCGGGGGTCGGTTATTGCTCCAAGTTAATTGAAATGTACCGGTGGCATCATTTGGCATTGTCACGCATGTGGTAATGGGGCGTCATACATGTAGTGGTGACAATGTCCAATTACATGTATTACTTTTATGTGACATCTGTGAAGGCTCTCAGGCATGACTTCACGCTGTTGTGTGCCTTTACTTTGTAGAGAGCATTGTGATAACTTAATTGGCTGGCAGTGGGCAGTGAAATGTTTTAAACAAAGACGAAGGTGCTTCCTTAATTTTCAGGTTTTTTCTCCAATATAATAGTTCATGTTAAGAGACATAAATTCTGTTTTGAGATCATGACGACTCCAAAGGAAAAAAAGAAAGAATTCTGGTCACGAGCATCCCTAGAGGGGGGGGGGGGGGGGAATGGAGGATATGACCCCCCCCCCTCCCCCCCCCCCTTAATCGTTTTTGTCGGCAAAATCGTTGTCTTGTCGGCAACATCAGCCCCGTCGGCAAATTTGCCAGATTGAAGAGCACCACATTTTGTCCGATACGGTTCATGATAGTCCGATTTGAACGGCAGCCCCATAGGAAGACTGAAAACCCAATCCACATGTGGACCTGGCCAGGAATTGAACTCGGGCCATGGAGGTGAAAGGCCAGGAAGAACTTCTGCGCCAACCCGATTAAAACAGACAAATTGTGATCTGCAGTCTGCTAGGGAATAAAATTAGTCAGGCTGCGACTGACATCTGCACTTTTCCCGTCAATTTATGTATCTGATCTTACAATCTCCAAGGAGATGGCACCATAACAGAAGAAAACGGGGATAAGTTACACGAACTTGCACGGCCTGAACGGCTAGCAACAGACACGCGTCGCAAGGGTGCCGCTTTTAATAATAAAAAGTTCACACCAGGTTTTGTGATCAAACCGTGAACCGTTTGGAAGAAATTTTGCTTTGTTTTGATGTCAGGCTAACGTCTTCATTTTGAATTCACCTAACTTTGACCTTCCGGTAGACCCGGAAGTAAAGGTCAAGCGAGTTTACGTACAAGACACAAAATTTTAAGCAATTAATGGCCTATCTCAATGCACAATACAAATATCATTGATTATTTAGTTCAAGAGTTATAGGTGAAAGTAATTGGTCACTTTTCCACGTAAAATCGCTTGTAATTTGACACCCGATGACGTAATCATGACGTCAGAGTAATATGCACCGCTAAGGATGAGGGTCGATATATATTGAAAGTTACAAGTTCCTATCAGAAACCGTTCAGGAGAAAACCCGCGGAAACGTGCTGTACGGGGAAAAAAAGAAGGAAAGAAAGAAAGAAAGATTAATCGTAACAGATCCAAAGAGTGGTCGGGTTGTGCCCGACCACTCAACTACCCAAAACACATAATTCACGAACACAAGACAACTACAGAAATGGACTTCAAACCCATCACCTCAATCCTTAAAAGTTTAAATACACAGTTTTTGAGCACTTGAGTATATTGGTGACATGTTCACCAACAACTTTTAATAATAATACCGGTACATGTAGGTTCAGTGGTTTACCTAAAGGGTTGGGGGGGGGCAACCAGCCTACATGTACATTTAAGGTAAAAACATCTACCGGTAGAACCGATTGCTTCAGTTAGGTGTTGCTTTGGTCACTTTGTTTTGACTCGCACTGTAGACTAATACCTGCTGAATGTTCTTTCATATCACAGGTCCATCAGCGAGTGTATGAGGACATACTGTAGACTGTAGACTAATACCTGCTGAATGTTCTTCCATATCACAGGTCCATCAGAGAGTGTGTGAGGACACACTGTAGACTAATACCTGCTGAATGTTCTTTCATATCACAGGTCCACCAGCGAGTGTATGAGGACACACTGTAGACTGTAGACTAATACCTGCTGAATGTTCTTCCATATCACAGGTCCACCAGCGAGTGTATGAGGACACACTGTAGACTGTAGACTAATACCTGCTGAATGTTCTTCCATATCACAGGTCCATCAGCGAGTGTACGAGGACACACTGTAGACTGTAGACTAATACCTGCTGAATGTTCTTTCATATCACAGGTCCATCAGCGAGTGTATGAGGACACACTGTAGACTGTAGACTAATACCTGCTGAATGTTCTTCCATATCACAGGTCCATCAGCGAGTGTATGAGGACACACTGTAGACTGTAGACTAATACCTGCTGAATGTTCTTTCATATCACAGGTCCATCAGCGAGTGTATGAGGACACACTGTAGACTGTAGACTAATACCTGCTGAATGTTCTTCCATATCACAGGTCCATCAGCGAGTGTATGAGGACATACTGTAGACTGTAGACTAATACCTGCTAAATGTTCTTTCATATCACAGGTCCATCAGCGAGTGTATGAGGACATACTGTAGACTGTAGACTAATACCTGCTGAATGTTCTTTCATATCACAGGTCCATCAGCGAGTGTATGAGGACATACTGTAGACTGTAGACTAATACCTGCTGAATGTTCTTTCATATCACAGGTCCATCGGGGAGTGTATGAGGACACACTGTAGACTGTAGACTAATACCTGCTGAATGTTCTTCCATATCACAGGTCCACCAGCGAGTGTATGAGGACATACTGTAGACTGTAGACTAATACCTGCTGAATGTTCTTTCCTATCACAGGTCCACCAGCGAGTGTATGAGGACATACTGTAGACTGTAGACTAATACCTGCTGAATGTTCTTCCATATCACAGGTCCATCAGCGAGTGTATGAGGACATACTGTAGACTGTAGACTAATACCTGCTGAATGTTCTTCCATATCACAGGTCCATCAGCGAGTGTATGAGGACATACTGTAGACTGTAGACTAATACCTGCTGAATGTTCTTCCATATCACAGGTCCATCAGCGAGTGTATGAGGACATACTGTAGACTGTAGACTAATACCTGCTGAATGTTCTTCCACATCACAGGTCCATCAGCGAGTGTATGAGGACATACTGTAGACTGTAGACTAATACCTGCTGAATGTTCTTCCATATCACAGGTCCATCAGCGAGTGTATGAGGACATACTGTAGACTGTAGACTAATACCTGCTGAATGTTCTTTCATATCACAGGTCCATCAGCGAGTGTATGAGGACATACTGTAGACTGTAGACTAATACCTGCTGAATGTTCTTCCATATCACAGGTCCATCAGCGAGTGTATGAGGACATACTGTAGACTGTAGACTAATACCTGCTGAATGTTCTTCCATATCACAGGTCCATCAGCGAGTGTATGAGGACATAGAATCCAAAGAGAAGTATGATATTCTACGATCAACAAGACATTTTGGTGGTCTGGCCTTTTACCTGACGAGAACCCAGCGAATCGATGGCATGCTGACCGACATGATCCAGAGAGACCTGTGAGTATCAGGCACCTGGTAAAAATAGTCGAGTTTATCATTTCAGCAACATTTACTCTACACATAATGTTATATATTCCTATTCTTTTTAGATTCCTAAATTTTGTTGGTTGCTTGCCAGTTGAAATTCAGTTTTTGTTTTACATCTATATATGTACATTCTCAAAAAATCCTGTAAATTTCGCTGATTGTTTCAACCTTACATGTATTTGAATACATTTGATGGTGAGTTAGTGCTGTATATGTTTTCTTGAAGTGGAAAATGCAAGTTTTCTTGTTTTTATAGTATGTATATAGAAACCCAATGTCTTAATTGTATGATATTATTTCAGGATTTCTGACAGTGTTGACTTGATTCGACTGTATCATGTCCTTCATCCTGAGTGCCAGTCAGCAGCTGATGTACACACCAAGAAACTTGAAGGCGTGGATGTCATTAAGGTGAGAGAGAGGGAAACTAGGGGAGGGGCTAAGAGTGATAAAAGGGGCGTGAATTCCCTCGATGAGGTGACGCATGTACCATAGAGAAACTCTTGAAAACACCCACGAGATCTGATCAATAAACCTGCTTATCGCATTTTGTTGACTATAGTTTTGACCGTTCAGGGAGAGTGTTATGATTTATTCCTCCATGGTTTCACAAAGAACCTTTACTATCTTTTTGTAAAGAAATCTCGTTTTTATCGAAATGGTCAGTTTTGCTAAGTCCGAATTTATACATCATCTAGAAGGGCAAAGTATGGCATAAAGAAAGCGTAGGAAAACATAGGTTATATAATCCATATAGACCTTTCTTTGCCAACCAGTGGTTGGCACTTAAAACTTCATAAAAGTTGCCACCTTCTTACATGAAGTTGTCAATACACATTTTTTGGCAAGTCTGTTGCCAGCCAACCAGGGCTTAATCCCCTTGAGACAGCCCATAGACAATGGTGTTCAATGTTTACAAACATCAGGTCTATTTTCATGTTTACAGCACCCTCATGAGGTTAAAAATGTGACCGCTGCACATATTTCTTTCCAATTCAAAGATTTCATGAGTTTAAATTCAGACTGTGGCTTGTCCATTCTTACAACAGGTATTCATTGAGACTGATGCCAAGCGTAAGGGCAGATTGGAACTCGTACTACAGGTGTATGAGAATGAACGAGCCAATCAGAATGCAGCAACAGATAACCAAGAAATCATTGAGTCACAAAGATGAGGACCAATGACCATCTTTACAGGCAAATCGTGGGGCACATATTTGTATTTCCTTTTGATCCACAGTTGAATAAAAAATTCCCCTTTGACAAAACAGTTTGTCCTGACAACAGAATAAATTTGCTCTGGGAATTAGAAAATCAGAAATATTTGGGAATCTTGTTTGCAAAATTTTCTGTTTCAGTTCTTTATGTATCAAATTTCTTTTAAAATATTTAACGGGGTACTATAACATTATAAACATTTTGATATGTAACCTGATTGATCTTGAATGTGTTCAGTTTCATTATTAAAATGATGTACTTCATCAGGGGATTTGAATGCAAATTACTTTAAAATATGTGTATAAGAATAATAATGATATTCTTTTGTTTGTATCTAAAATAGTAACATTACAGTGCCCCTGTTCGTGAAAAAATATGGTTGATTTAAAAACTTTTGGTGTCTAAGAGCTTCAAGCTCCTACACACCTCCCTGCCCCCCCCCCCCAAAAAAAACTACTTATTTTGTTGTTTCCTATTAAGAACAATAAAATTTTATGATAATATTCTGGCTGGACATAAAATGTGTACCTGTCATTTGCTGTAACGCAGTACCTTTTTTAAAGTGTGTAAATACAATTTGCCATATTCAGTTTTTTTAAAGCATTAATTGAAACTTCCCGTTCTCTAGAATTTCCAAGGGGTACCCCTTGCAATCTAAAAATCTGACTTCGGCTGAAACAAACTCCCCCAGGTCCAAATTGCATGTTTTAATAACTAAAACTGTGTATTTAAAGGCTAGATTGTCACCCAAGAAAAAATGAACTATCTACCCCCTAACCATCTAAATATTGATATTTACATGGTTAGGGGTAGATAATCAAGTGAGTATTCAAAGATTTGGGCAAATATAAAGGATTTATAGGGGAAAAGTACCCCTATTTCATTCAATTTTGTGGCGCCATATTTCTTTTCAATGGCACATCGCGCAAGGGAGCGTTTCTGAATGTGTTTTAAGGGCCCTCATCAGACTCTTTCTGGCACTTCTCAAGCAATTTCATTTTTGGGCCAAAATTTAAAAAAATTGCAAGGGGTTAGCCTTGTTTTTTTATCAAAATTTGGTCAAAAATTTACTTTTCTGGAAACAACTCAGAAACCCTTTAGGAGGCATAATAAACATATTTTAATACCCTTAAGTGATAATTTCAGAGATTTTGGGCAAATATAAAGAATTTATGGGGGGAAAGTACCTTGTTTTCTTTTCAATTTTATCATTTTGTGGGCGCCATATTTCTTTTGAATGACACATCTGGCAAGGGAACATTTTGAAATGTGTTTTAAGGGCCGTTGGGCATCTTCCTGGCACTTTCCAAACAATTTCATTTTTTGGCCAAAATTGAAAAAAATTGCAAGGGGTAAGCCTTGTATTGTTATCAAAATTTGGTCAAAAATTTACTTTTCTCGAAATAACTCCGAAACTCTTTAGGAGGCATGATAAACACATTTTAATACTCCTTAAGTGATTATTTCAGAGATTTGGGCAAACAAAGATTTTATGATTTTTTTTTTAAATTATAAACTGTCAATTTGTGGACGCCATATGTCTTTTCAATGGCACATCTGGCAAGAAACCGTTTCGGAATGAGTTCTTAAGGCCCTCAGGCATCCTTCTAGCACTTTTGAGGCAATTTCATTTTTTTGCCAAAATTGAAAAAATTGTAAGGGGTTAGCCTTGTATTTTTATCAAAATTTGGTCAAAAATTGACTTTTCTGGAAACAACTCCGAAACTCTTTAGGAGGCATGATAAACATATTTTAATATTCCTTAAGTTATAATTTCAGAGATTTGGCCAAATATAAAGGATTTATGGGGAAAAGTACCTTGTTTTCTTTTCAATTTTATCATTTTGTTGGCGCCATATTTATTTTGAATGACACATCTGGCAAGGGAACGTTTTGAAATGTGTTTTAAGGGCCGTCAGGCATCTTCCTGGCACTTTCCAAACAATTTCATTTTTTGGCCAAAATTGAAAAAAAATTGCAAGGGGTAGTAAGCCTTGTATTTTTATCAATTTTTGGTCAAAAATTGACTTTTCTGGAAACAACTCCGAAACTCTTTAGGAGGCATGATAAACATATTTTAATACTCCTTAAGTGATAATTTCAGAGATTTGGGGCAAATATAAAGGATTTGGGAAAGTACCTTTTTTCATTCAACTTTGTTATTTTGTGGACGCCATATTTCTTTTCAATGGCACATCTGGCAAGAAACCGTTTCGGAATAAGTTTTAAGGACCCTCAAGCATCTTCCTAGCACTTTTCAAACAATTTCATTTTTTGCCAAAATTGAAAAAAAATTGCAAGGGGTAAGCCTTGTATTTTTATCAAAATTTGCTCAAAGATTGACTTTTCTGGAAACAACTCAGCAACCCTTTAGGAGGCATGATAAACATATTTTAATACTCCTTAAGTGATAATTTCAGAGATTTGGGCAAATATGAAGGATTATTGAAAGTACCTTTTTTTCATTCAATTTTGTTATTTTGTGGACGCCTTTTTTTCTTTTTGAATGACACATCTGGCAAGGGAACGTTTTGAAATGTGTTTGAAGGGCCGTCAGGCATCTTCCTAGCACTTTTCCATCAATTTCATTTTTTGGCCGAAATTGAAAAAAATGCAAGGGGTAAGCCTTGTATTTTTATCAAAATTTGGTCAAAAATTGACTTTTCTGGAAACAACTTTAAACTCTTTAGGAGGCATGATAAACATATTTTAATACTACTTAAGCGATTATTTCAGAGATTTGGGCAAATATAGGATAAAGGATTTGGAAAGTACCCTTTTTTCATTCAATTTTGTTATTTTGTGGGTGCCATATTTCTTATGAATGGCACATTTGGCAAGGGAACTTTTCGGAATATGTTTTAAGGGCCGTCAGGAATCTTCCTAGGAATCGTCAAACAATTTCATTTTTTGGCCAAAATTGAAAAAAAATTGCAAGGGGTAAGCCTTGTATTTTTATCAAAATTTGGTCAAAAATTGACCTACTTGGAAACAACTTGGAAACTCTTTAGGAGGCATGATAAACATATTTTAATACCCTTAAGTGATAATTTCAGATATTTGGGCTAATATGAAGGATTTATGGGGGAAAAGTACCTTGTTTTCTTTTCGATTTTATCATTTTGTGGGCGCTATATTTCTTTTGAATGACACATCTGGCAAGGGAACGTTTTGAAATGTGTTTTAAGGGCCGTCAGGCATCTTCCTAGCACTTTCCAAACAATGTCATTTTTTGGCCAAAATTGAAAAAAATTGCAAGGGGTAAGCCTTGTATTTTTATCAAAATTTGGTCAAAAATTTACTTTTCTGGAAACAACGCCGAAACTCTTTAGGAGGCATGATAAACATATTTTAATACTCCATAAGTGATAATTTCAGAGATTTTGGGCAAATATAAAGGATTTGGGAAAGTACCTTTTTTTATTCAATTTTGTCATTTTGTGGACGCCATATTTCTTTTGAATGACACATCTGGCAAGGGAACGTTTTGAAATGTGTTTTAAGGTCCGTCAGGCATCTTTCTAGCACTTTTCAATCAATTTCATTTTTTGGCCAAAATTGAAAAAAATTGCAAGGGGTTAGCCTTGCATTATTATCAAAATTTTGTCAAAAAATGACTTTTTTGGAAACAACTCCGAAACTCTTTAGGAGGCATGAAAAACATATTTTAATACTCCATAAGTGATAATTTCAGAGATTTGGGCAAATACAAAAGATTTATAGGGGAAAGTACCTTTTTTCATTCAATTTTGTAATTTTGTGGATGCCATATTTCTTTTGAATGACACATCTGGCAAGGGAACTTTTGAAATGTGTTTGAAGGGCCGTCCGGCATCTTCCTAGCACTTTTCAATCAATTTCATTTTTTGGCCAAAATTGAAAAAAATTGCAAGGGGTTAGCCTTGTATTTTTATCAAAATTTGGTCAAAATTGACTTTTCTGGAAACAACTTCGAAACTCTTTAGGAGGCATGATAAACATATTTTAATACCCTTCAGTGAAAATTTCAGAGATTTGGGCAAATATAAAGGATTTATGGGGAAAAGTAGGCCTACCTTGTTTTCTTTTCAATTTTATCATTTTGTGGGCACCATATTTCTTTTGAATGACACATCTGGCAAGGGAGCATTTTGAAATGTGTTTTCTAAGGGCAGTCAGGCATCTTCCTGGCACTTTTCAAGCAATTTCATTTTTTTGCCAAAATTGAAAAAAAATTGCAAGGGGTAAGCCTTGTATTTTTATCAAAATTTGGTCAAAAATTGACTTTTCTGGAAACAACTCAGAAACTCTTTAGGAGGCATGATAAACACACTTTAATACTCCTGAAGTGATTATTTCAGAGATTTGGGCAAATATAAAGATTTTATGATTTTCTTTTTAAATTCTAATCTGTCAATTTGTGCACGCAATATTTCTTTTCAATGGCACATCTGGCAAGAAACCGTTTCGGAATGAGTTCTTAAGGCCCTCAGGCATCTTTCTAGCACTTTTCAAGCAATTTCATTTTTTGGCCAAAATTGAAAAAAATTGCAAGGGGTTAGCCTTGTATTTTTATAAAAATTTGGTCAAAAATTGACCAAAAGTACCTTTTTTCATTAAATTTTGTGGGCGCCATATATCTTATGAATAGCACATCCGGCAAGGGAACGTTTTGGAATGTGTTCTAAGGGCCCTCGGGCATCTTCCTAGCACTTTTGAAGCAATTTCTTTTTTTGGCCAAAATTGAAAAAAATTGCAAGGGGTAAGCCTTGCATTTTTATCAAAATTTGGTCAAAAATTGACTTTTTTGGAAACAACTCCGAAACTCTTTAGGAGGCATGATAAACACATTTTAATACTCCTGAAGTGATTATTTCAGAGATTTGGGCAAATATAAAGATTTTATGATTTTTTTTAAATTATAATCTGTCAATTTGTGCACGCAATATTTCTTTTCAATGGCACATCTGGCAAGAAACCGTTTCGGAATGAGTTCTTAAGGCCCTCAGGCATCTTTCTAGCACTTTTCAAGCAATTTCATTTTTTGGCCAAAATTGAAAAAAATTGCAAGGGGTTAGCCTTGTATTTTTATAAAAATTTGGTCAAAAATTGACCAAAAGTACCTTTTTTCATTAAATTTTGTGGGCGCCATATATCTTATGAATAGCACATCCGGCAAGGGAACGTTTTGGAATGTGTTCTAAGGGCCCTCGGGCATCTTCCTAGCACTTTTGAAGCAATTTCAATTTTTGGCCAAAATTGAAAAAAATTGCAAGGGGTTAGCCTTGCATTTTTATCAAAATTTGGTCAAAAATTGACTTTTTTGGAAACAACTCCGAAACTCTTTAGGAGGCATGATAAACATATTTTAATACTCCATAAGTGATAATTTCAGAGATTTGGGCAAATATAAAGGATTTGGGAAAGTACCTTTTTTCATTCAATTTTGTTATTTTGTGGACGCCATATTTCTTTTGAATGACACATCTGGCAAGGGAACGTTTTGAAATGTGTTTGAAGGGCCGTCAGGCATCTTCCTAGCACTTTTCAATCAATTTCATTTTTGGGCCAAAATTGAAAAAAATTGCAAGGGGTTAGCCTTGTATTTTTATCAAAATTTGGTCAAAAATTGACTTTTCTGGAAACAACTCCGAAACTCTTTAGGAGGCATGATAAACATATTATTTTAATACTCCATAAGTGATAATTTCAGAGATTTAGGCAAATATAAAGGATTTGGGAAAGTACCTTTGTTCATTCAATTTTGTTATTTTGTGGATGCCATATTTCTTTTGAATGACACATCTGGCAAGGGAATGTTTTGAAATGTGTTTGAAGGGCCGTCAGGCATCTTCCTAGCACTTTTCAATCAATTTCATTTTTTGGCCAAAATTGAAAAAAATTGCAAGGGGTTAGCCTTGTATTTTTATCAAAATTTGGTCAAAAATTGACTTTTCTGGAAACAACTCAGAAACTCTCTAGGAGGTATGATAAACATATTTTAATACTCCTGAAGTGATAATTTCAGAGATTTGGGCAAATATAAAGATTTTATAATTTTTTTTTGTAAATTCAATTTTGTCATTTTGTGGGCGCCATATTTCTTATGAATGGCACATCTGGTAAGGGAACATTTCGGAATGTGTTCTAAGGGCCCCTTGGGCATCTTCCTAGCACTTTTGAAGCAATTTCATTTTTTTTTGCCAAAATTGAAAAAATTGCAAGGGGTTAGCCTTGTATTTTTATCAAAATTTGGTCAAAATTTTACTTTTCTGGAAACAACTCAGAAACTCTTTAAGAGGCATGATAACATATTTTAATACTCCTTAAGTGATTATTTGAGAGATTTGGGCAAATATAAAGATTTATGATTTGTTTTACATTCAATTTTGTCAGAACAATGCTTTTAGAATGAAGAAACTGCACTCGTTTCCTTGCTCTATGAAGTTTAACATATTTTACACTGCTTCAAATTATGGCAATTTACAGTTGAAACAATTCCAGTTGTAAAAATCAAACAAGCGCCTGATTCGATGAATTTTTGGAGCTTACACACATGTATACTACATTTGCTAATTACATTGTATGTCCAAATTTTACCATGTTTGGAAAATGAATTTGTCTGAAGAGATACAAAGTTTTATGCGATTATAAATTGAATACATTGTTTTGTGACATCATACCCAATCAGTAAAATATATGAGGGTGACTTCATTCAATGAGAGACTTGGTACATTAAGTGAATTTCAACCTTTTTCCCTTTATAAAAACTCCTTTTTTTCCGTGAATAGAAAGACAGAAGTTAGCATATTTAAAACCTTTGCTACATGTAGATGTAACCCTGCCCCCCCCCCAAAAAAAAACCCACCCCAAAACACTTGTGGTGTATCAAACAAACTTTGCCTTCATCAAATTTGCAAAAATTGCTACCAAATCTAGCAACATGCTAAAGCTACACTTGAATAATAGTTTATTAATAGTGTATTAAATTTCATTTACGAAAAACAAAGTTGGTTTAAACTACTGGATGCATCTTTGCATCATCTAAGAATGGATAGTATTTCTACAGTCTTGTGTCAAGGTAATGCCATCTTAAACTTTTAGGTGTTGCAAATTGGAGACCTTATCTACAACTAGTTTATCACAAAAGTAGTTACAAAGTGTTTACAATATTTACAAAAAAACAAAAAAAATTATTAATTAATGTACCAGGAAGGCTTCATACAGATGAAATACAATGGTACTTAAAAAAAAACACAAACAGTTTGTGTGACACAGGATTCATTGAATAATAAAAAATGTTTTGGCAAGACGAGGGATATGCCAAAACTAAACGTAAACTTAAAATAACATTCTAAGTTATACAAACTTTTCTTAATATTCTGGCACTTAAGTTTCAGTTGACTGACTAATGACAAACTGCTGAAATCCAGGGCCCAATTTCATGGCACTGCTTAACAGTTAGCGGAAAAGTTGTGGTAACGTTAAGCACTTTTTCACAGCCTGGATGTGTTAACGGTCGCGCACGCATGGAGATTTCTATTGTTACGTCACTAAGTTAAGCAACTTTTTCCTGTAAGGTTAAGCAGTCCTTTTGCTGTGCTGACTGCGTACGGTCTCCGTGAAATAAACGGAGGCTCAATAGGGTAAAACATGTGCTTAGCAGCACCATGAAATTTTATCTCCCTTTCAATTTAATATGGCCGACTCGTGAATAAAGCTTACATGCGTGCAACCAGTACTTGCATGCAGTGTGCCTCATCCACTGGGCTCTTAGAAGTCCTCAAAAGCGCCCTCTACTGCTCATGCACGGAGCCCAAATTAATGGGTAACATCTCTTGCTTCTCGTCAGATGTCTAGATCATCGTCAGGATCCTCTTCATCATAATCATCAGCCTCATCTGGCTCATAGAAGATCTTTCCTGAATGCTCGGAGCTGCCGATCTTAATGGGATGTCCATGTCTGAGAAAACAACAATAAAGAGTTAGGATTTCACGTCTAGTTATGCCCCCTCCATGCATCCAATGGAACAGTGTTGAGACGGTGGTGGCAGCAAATATACCGGTCCTTTTTCCATTGTTTGTGTCATATTGAGCATGCACGCTTTGGCTTAAACATGACAGCAACCTCGTGCCCCGTGGGTACGATCTTGCTGCGCCATGTTGTTTCCCATCATGCCTTGCGAGATCGTAAACCCTGGAATTGTGTAATTTAAATGTGCCAAAATACGGTACATTACAATTAGGGCTGCAGTTTATCTGTTTTACGCGCCGACGCCATCTTTAAAATGTTGAAAGTTGTGTTATTGAAGAATCAATGCTTTCAAACATAAAGTTTTGACATTGCGTATTTTAGCAAAGATTTGTATTAAAGATACGTACCCCTTTCGTCCCTTTACAACCGCAGATACAGGTTTTTTTAGCGAAAAACGAGGCTACCATAATCCATAACGTACAGGTATCGCGCAGTTTTGAATATTTGTACGTGACGTTACGTGCAAAGCACGCATGAATAGCCATTCAGCGTCATTTACGTCATCATAACAGCCAGGGGTTACTTTAGTGTAAGGAACGAGCACGCGCCCCTGGAGTCGAGGCTGACAAGACAATTGAAAAGGACCACTGTGTTTGCTGCCACCAACGTCTCAACAGGCTCAATTAGCATCACTTCAAGGTACAGAGAATCTTTTGCTTTTTGTGCATTTTTCGTTTGAAGCAACAAAATGACTCGAAATCTAAAGCAGGACACATAGCAGAACACCTGTTTAAGTTTAAAAATACTACATATTTTAAAGCAACAGAGAAAACATAAATGTATAACATTTTGGGTCTTGTAACAGGATCCCATTGCTAACACACATAAAAAAAGTGTGCCCGCAGACACACTTTTTAAAAACACCTTCAATGATTGATTTCTTCCAAACCATTTAACAACTTCAGGCATAATAATATTACATGGTATTTGGTACCAGTTCTATCTTAACTCTGATCAATGTTTTCTCATTAAAGCGGTAGGTGCGTGTCCAGGTAATTGCACTTCTCTGAACTTCGTTCCCAACAGCTAATCATTCTTACCTTTGCTGGACTTTGGTGTAGGGCAAGACTACGTTATCTTTGGCTCTTCTCTCAGACTCTTTCAGAGTCAAGTTGAATGTAAGATTAGCTGTGGGATCCGGCTGCGCAAAAGAAGAAAACCACACAATTTAATAATTTAGATAAAATAAAGTTTAAAAGAAATCATATTTATACCTGATGCAAACAGATTTTGAAGGAAGAGGCATAGATTTTAAAATTTGTCAAAATGTAAGGGACAATTTAATGTGTACAACCAATGAGTTGAATACAATGTACCCTATGAACCACATACCTGTGCTTCAACCTCCACTTCAACATTTGCTGTTGTTTTATCAGGAAAGACAAATAACCTGTAATCGTGGTCTACACTCAGTCCCTCTCTCTGCAAAACAAAACAAATCATTGAATTCTTACAATGTTTATCTCAAAAGTGTCAATGACAGACAGAGTTGTAACGAGTCACTGATTTTTGTGACTCGAGTCGAGTCGAGTCATTTTAAAGAAGTGACTCGAGTCGAGTCGAGTCATTTTAAAGAAGTGACTCGAGTCGAGTCGAGTCATTAGGTCAACAAGGTCGAGTCGAGTCGAGTCGAGTCACAGAGTGTGGTCGAGTCGAGTCGAGTCAAGTATTTAGCTCGAGTCAATTCGAGTCACAAATATTTGAACACTTAATTACAATAAAAAGCAACAAACACAAGAGAGAAAGAATACAAGGCACCAGTCTATTACGGAAATCCAAAGACATAAAGTATGCTGTATGGTACCCAACCAACAGTTTCCATAGTTAGCTCACGTCACAGATAAGAAGATGTGAAACTTCGGTCTTATAACTGGTTTGGCTTCGGGTCTAGATTTTGTTGTTCGCTGATCGCTGACAACGTTAAAACCTAATTGCATCATACAAAACTGTTTCTGATTATTTAAAGGTGGGCCCGTCCGTATCCATTTTTTTGTGTGAAATCGGGACATGAATTTAGCCAGCGTTCCACCAAGAACTTCAAAATCGCCCGAAACCAATGATGAAACCACGGATTGAGAAATGCGTTTTAAGTCTGGTTCCGGGTTTAGCATTACATGCTATAGAACCACAAGGTGGGAGTCCGCGACACGGTGTATGTTTGTTGTTTCATTATGGAGGAAGGAAACAGACTGCCGCTGTATATAAACGTACATTATTCGCGAACATTAACATGACGTGAACAAAAACTGGCAACGCGAACGGCGCAGCGTAAGTCATTGCAAATATTTTTCGCAAGTAAGTTTTGCTTTTATTTTGGGACTCGAGTCTTATTAGCCTTCCTCGAGTCGAGTCGAGTCATTCTGATGAGGGACTCGAGTCGAGTCGAGTCATTTGCTCGCAGTGACTCGAGTCGAGTCGAGTCATTTACCCGTCGGGACTCGAGTCGAGTCGAGTCGCCAAAAAATGTGACTCGAGTCGGACTCGAGTCGAGTCATTGACTCGAGTCATTACAACTCTGATGACAGACACTAATAAAAACTGTTAATAACCTCTACAGTGTATATATATTTTGTCCAAGTTATACTGTTTCGGAATTTCATGTCTAGATCCTCATCCATTACAACTATGTCGGAACAAACTGACATTAGACGTAACCATAGCTCTGGAAGCCTGTTCTGGACACGGCCTTATTGGGCATCTCTCATTTCTATATTTATTTATTTATTCATTTGTTTATTAAATATTTATTTTGTATTTTAACTGGGTAGCCCATTCAGTGGAATCCACTGGTCTCCCATGGGGCCCAAGAGAAGACCATGTGAAGAAATTACAGTTTTAGATGTGGGAGGAATATTTAGATTCTGAGGAAAACCCCACAGAATCAGGTAGGGACTGAAAACCCAATCCACATATTGGCCCAGGCAGGAAATGAACCCAGGCCAAGCTGACTACCCAATGTAGATTGCATTGGCAGCCAAAGTAAAGTACAGCAACATTTTGTCCACCAAACATACAAATACGTACATTCTGTTTACATTTGTTGTGAGACGGACTAAACGTTGGACAGCCTACCATGCGTATAACCTTGCCGGACTTCCTACGATGAACTAATTCACACAATGCCATTGGTTCTTCTTGTATGGGTGCAATGGATCGGTAGGGTTCTAGGTAGAGTACTGTGGTTGCTATATGACAGACAGCACTCGTTGCAGAGACGTCGTGCACGTCTTGATGAAGCAGACATATAATCTCTGAAATATCTGGACCTGAAAAAAGAAAAATATATCTGAGATATGTTTATATAGACAATCTAGCCCCCATCAATGGAGAAACCATTATGCACACGAATTTACAAAGCAGCTGCTCCGTGATGGATTATCTGAACAATGGCTAGCACAATGCTTTCCCTAATGAAGTGGGCCTTCATGTACAACTGTTTGCATTCCTCAGATTTGTCCATACAAATCAAAGGTACCCATCAAGACATAAAACTGAGGCAATAAACCAATAAATGATGTAAAAAGTCAATCACTTTCCAACAGTGCACTCCAACGCTGGACACATGACCATTACAATCATAATGGAAAGTTCTGCTGTGTAAACAAAGGCAAGAATGAATATCATAATGATATTAAATAGTAGGGAAAAGACATTCCATTCATGTACATGTGTGGTTCTGGAATCAGTTGACTTATTACAGTACATGTACTACAGTTCGGGGGGTGGGAGTGGGGCGGGACGGGGTGGGGGTGGGGGCAGACGCAAACTGGAACCCTCATAGATATTCATGATCTACATTGGTGTATTTGGTCACTCTGTTCTGGCAATCAGAATCCATTCGGCCCACATACCTTCCCAATCTGTTGACTGCGTTAGTTGATGTAACGCCTTGCATACCAACGTCACAGACTTGTTAATAATAACTGGAGATAACGAATCAATAACGACTGCTATTGATTGGACCCCTTTGGTCATGTGACTCTCAATGTGGGACCTGAAGTCATTCAGAGCACTGTAGTGGATGATATTGTGATCGTCTGGCAAACTGGATGGAATGAAAAAAAAATGAATGTGAAGGAGATTAATACTTAAAAGCAAGTTCCCATTTTCAAATTCTCAATTACAAATGTTCTTGTGAATTAATTGAATGTGCACACAAAACAATTCTTCCAATATTGTAAACTATAAATTGCAAGTAATACAAATCTACCACATAAAAGTTAACCCTATGGCATTTGTTTTAAATTACATTACCTTGTATTTACTCCTCCAAACATCAATAAAGCACTCTTCTCCTAATGCTTAAGCTTATTTATAAGCTATACTCTAAGTTTGCTATGGGCTCTGTGCACAAAACCACCTCAACGGAAAGAAAGGGAGCTAGTGTTGGGTAAGATTGTTGGTCCAAAAATTTGGGACTCTCAATACTGTGTACGAGTGTCCCAAACTTAAGGTGTTGAAAACATGCAATACACGAAAATAGACTGGCACATAACATGAAACAACCAGTCCAACACCCTTTTAGTAACTGCATCAATCAACTGTTTCAAAAGAAACATCTGGTACCTACTCTCAGTCTATTTCTACACATTTGCTATAGTCATGCCACCAGACTTCTGAAGGGTCAATCTTTTCAAAAAGTTGGACATGTACCAGTCTAGCCTAGTCTTAGGCTTCAAATTGAAATCACTTGGCATCACTCTCAGGTGCCAAATGTTGAAAGTCTCATTAAAAAATTGAATTGAGATCTTAAATTTGGCTGGTGAAATACTGAAGACCTTGTCTTTGCCTCATGAACATTTTGAAGAATTTTGTCAGCTTAAGAGTTAAAGTTGGCCTGATTTTGTTTTGCATGTTTTTCAGCACTCAAGGTCCCTGTCTGTTATAAGACCAGCACCCTTTCTTGTTTGCGCATGAAGCCTCTTAGAGAGCGACCTCATTACCGCACATGCCATTTTACCTGATCCCATTCCACTCTAGAGGATCTGACCAGCCGTCATGACATATGACCTTTGACCTGACTGCTGGGTCAAATCCCGACAAGAAGACCGTGGGTGAGCAATCAAAGAGAAACACATGCACCTGATCAACCCTGTAAAAAAGGAATACAAATTTACTACAATTTTACTTAATATTACAAACAAAAATGTACATTAAATTTATACTAATATTAAAGGGACACTGCATCCTGGAACAGCCCAATTGGGCTACAAAACGCGCTTTGAACAAAATGATGTTAATTGAAAAGAACATTTATAACTAAGTAGGATATAAACATCGAAACAACTATCCTTTAAAAAAATAGGCTTAAGTTATAATTATTTACCGACTGGACAGCTGATTTGTTAGACATCGAAGCAGTGGTCTCCCACTGACATCAACAGAATCTGAAAAAAAATAGACACGGCAAGAACATGAAGAATTCAGTGAAGAGAGTGGATATTTACATGTGGCTGCATATTTAGCCCTCTTTGACGCGTATACGAGTTGGCCTACCTTGATATGGATAGTGCGTGTGCTTCATGAGTGACAGATCCATGATTTTTTTTTGGTCCAAACAATAAAGAATACAATTCTTCTTTCATTAAATTGACTCCAACATTAGGAAAAAATGTTGCAACCTGACGCCACTTCCGCGATTGTGTACAGCGTCTATAGAAGAGTCAAGAATTTTTTCTAAGTATTTCCGAACAAAATTGGAAATGTTTCTCAGTCCTACCCCTAGAACTATGGTTCTATGCATGTCCCATCATCATTTTTTGCAGTGATGACCTTCATTGATGTTGAGATGATAATGAAGAAAAAAATTGGCGTCAGCTAGGTTGCAACATTTATTCCGTCTGAGTGATTGATTCCCATCCATGCCATCTCGTCATTGCTCGTAAATACAAAGTCACACAACGACAATGTCGGCACTAAAAGTAAAACTAAAAGAAAGCTGGATCCGGCTAAATAGCCACTGCGTTCATTGAATATATTTCATTAAATTAACAATAATCAAAACAAAAAAAAACAGTGCACAGGCCTTTGTGCATGATGTGACAAACATGACAACGGCTTTGAATTACCCAATTAGCTCTACTGAGCAGCTGAGTGGAGCGTTGACAGGCATGACACTGGTAATAACGCTCCACTCTAGCTTTGAATTTGATTTTAACATCATTTTTGTTTAAAACTTAAGCTGGGAAATTACCTTGAATAACAATCAAAGAACTGCTTTCATTTCCATTTACAATTTGCTGCAGAAGCGATGCCATCCCTCAGACACAACTTACACCTTTTGTAGCAGATATTCAAAATATTTAGCTAAGAAAATGCACTTTCAAAACACGAATCACGAATCGCACATGTGCTTTCTTCATTTGAAAATTTGCCGGATTGGTTCAACTTTGACCCGAGATAAATGTACGCATGAGCAGTAGCCTTGTCAACTAGAAATAGCTTCAAAATGGCCGACGCTGGACCCGTTGATTACGAATGGAAACGGGGTCCGAAGTCTCATTTGAAAACGAAAATAACACACACCAATGTCGTACCAGATAGCGTAGTTTCAAGGCACGTTGCGAGGGAATATCTAGGTAATTTTGTCAGTTGGCATTTCATCATGGCTATCCAAGACTTGGCCGTTTTGTTCCTGATTAATTTATCGCGACGTCGAAAACTTTAACTGTGGCCATCTGAAAAAAGAACTGTGTTTACGCTCTTGTCGTGTCTGTCAGTGTCAGTACAATAAACAACGGGTCGAGCGCATTGTCCCTCTGTTCCTTGCTATATCATGCTTGAATTATTACTGTATGACACATTAATACATATATCATGGGGCTATCCTTTTTATAGCTCCATGATTGATAGTATCACTATTCACTAGAGGTGATTTGTAGGATCATAAATGATTGTTCTGAATTCTAACAAAAAAAATAGGAAAATAATGAAAAATGCAGCGAAACTAAGTCAGTTGGTCGACATATCAAAAATACAAAATGAACTATTTTTTCATTTGATGCCAAAAGTGAAAAAAATGTTTGTTTTTTTTAAGGCCTTCAGCAAACGAGAGCGAGACATAAATGTTTGCTTCACTATAATTATTGGTGGCTCACTGAGCTGAGCAAAGGCTTCAGCATGTTCAAATCTGATAAAATTAGCTTAACATTAATTACTAATTATAAAGAACACATGACATGTCATTTGGACATTTGCTGGATATTTCTAGGCATTCACACTTTAATCTACTAATGCACCATGAACCAATTTCAATTTACTATTTACAGGTCCAAGTCAAGCTATGCAGAAGAATACCCAGAAGAATGCCTCAGTTGGCCGACATCTACCTAGCCCACCTCAAACTCCAACGAGGACTTCCTCTCAGTCTAAGAATGTCTTCCAGGGACGAACAGGAGATCACAGACATTCTCACGCTGCTTCACCTTCTACAACCACAAGACCAGGATCTGCACTTTCAGCCTATTCACCCTTGCCAGGCATCGGACAATCAGGGAAAGAGACTGAATTAACCTCTGGTATTCTGAATCTAGGATTGAATGAAAGAGAACGAGTGACACATAGTCCCAGTTCTGATTCAGGAATGCCACACCCAACTAGATTTCACGAAAATGAAGGAGTTACTTCTGATGAGACAATGACTTCACAGACACGGACAAAGCGTTCACTATCCATGTCATCCGAGCCATCAAATACAAGAAAGATATCACGAAGAGAGATGCGAAGCCAACAGTTTGCTAGAAGAAGACACTCTCAGAAATCCCTTACCATCAACGATGAACCCCAAGAAGGAGAAGACAGAGTCTTGATTGCTGTTAAGTTGCCAGAGGGGGAAAGACTTCAAAGATACTTTCGTCCTAGTGATTCCATCGCTGATATTGTCTCATTTGCTGAACACACATCCCAGCGTGTCTTTTCGGACTGTAATGTCTTCACAAGTGATGTCCCTAAAAAAATGATTGATGATTTAACTGTGACAATAAATAAAGCGGGTTTAGGTCATAGGACGTTGTTGTTATTGGAAGAAAAAGATGAGTAAAAAAAAATTATTTTATATGAAGCTTCCGTCCATAATCGTCCAATCAAATCTAAGCAAATAAGAACAACTAAAAGACTGCAAGTCCTGTAATGGAACGGTGCAGAGACTTCATTTATTAAAAGCCAAAATGTGTCCATCAAATTGCCGCGCATTGAGGTCACAGTGTTTGAGCACCTTGAATAAAGCAAGAATACCTATTAAAGTAAGCTGTGATGTCAGAAATGTGATTTTACATTTAATAAGTAAATGAGAACTTTCAATCCGAACCAAGCATTGATTTTGAAATTAACAACTTGCTGTTCAAGGTTTCTGAAGTTCTTAACAAAATAACTCCCTCATCTTCAGTATGCAAAATCAAAGTTTTGGACACTAAAACATAATTATTTTCCTTTCAAATGTCCATTAGTCTGGGATGTTAAATTGTCAAGTTTAATTAGATGTGGATTTTCTGTGTGACTTGAAAAAAAGTGAAGATGTTCACATGATTTAATGATGCTTTTAATCAAAGGTATATTTTTATCAACTTTTTTTGTCAAAGTTTTAGAATTGTACAGAGAAGTTACCCGAGGTATGTGATGGGGCCTACTCAAAAATAATCTTTGATGTAAATACAGTGTATAGACCGCTTGCAGACGCGTTCGATAATCGACGCGCGAAGGCGCGCGACGCCATGTTGTGGGACAGGCGTATATCTATCCACGCACATTTTGTCCCGGAACATGGCGTCGCTCACCTTAGCGCGTCAATTATCGAACGCGTCTGCAAGCGGTCTATTATCAAGTGCTGCCTAAGCATCCTTAGGAGGAAATGGTGCCTTATTTAAATTTACTAGCCAAACAATATTGGTTTGATTTTTATTAAGTTACATGTAACATGCTTGCTCGGTGATATTTTTTCTATATGTGGTTTCCCAGTTTCAATTGTTTTCTTGCCAAATAAAGCATTGTAATTAGTTTCTCAAAACAGAATAGGCATGTAGGTGTTTACATTTCTTCCGTTGTTATTTCTTCCATTGTTATTGTACTTCAATTAAATTTCATAAATCTAATATGAAATTCAACATTAACAACCTATGTATTGCCAGTCAACTTTTAAATATTTAAAAATGATTTTGAACAGATCTACCTAAGACTAAAAAAAGTACACAGAAATGAAAATGAGATAACCTTTAAAAATTTTGCTTTTTGTGTGTTTTCTCTAACGGACGCTTTAATTTGAACTGCGAAAGGATTGTCGAAATTCAAAATACTTTCCAGATTATAACACGAATTAAGTTCCTAAATCCAACGACTAACATTGGAAAACGTATTTCATCGTATTTTATTGCCACAAACAATTAACACTTGACAAAACCGCAGACACAACAAATACCTGAAACAGATTTATTACAGTAAACTAATTAGCGCCCTCAAGCAATTCTTGTAATTCAATATCTGTGCACCTGTTGCAAGAGGTCAACACACTTTGTTCTTCCGCGGAACGTCCTTCCGTGCCACAGACAGGTATAAATACAGCGGACAAAAAAATAGGTCTCAACTGTTCTCGTCAAAATGAAATGAACAACGAACATGGAGGATTGAAAAGTGAATAGAAATGTTAATCTTTGAAATGTTTGAGGAATAACAATTTCAATAAAAGATCAGCTGATTAATTAAATGTATCTGAACTGCATCTACTTTTCACCGCACTGATTTACAAATGAGTGCGAAGTCCAAGCGCGACTTATTTCGTATGCCTACGTCACACAACATATGTGGGTGACCACGTTGCTAGGGCCAACTAATGGCACGCGCGACAAAACTATCAACAACTTTTTCACGTCTCGCCGTTACGTTACCACATGCCGATTCACCCACAATCACATGCATGATCGTTACTGAAGCTGCACATTTTCACACCTTTCTTGTGTTTTCTTCGATCTTAATTCTTGTCTTAACAAGTCAACAGTGTAGTAGGCAACACTTAACGTGAAATGGCCCAAGGAGATCCGATGAAATGGAACCTGCCGGGGTGGCGAATCGAGCAAAAATACTCCCCAGGTGTTCTGATTGGAAATTGGTCTGAAAACAGAAACAAGGTGGGTACGGCCGGCGGTAGGGCCTTAACACAGACTGGATCATGGATGGTCAACTTGAAAGCATGAATGAAAATGAAATACACATGATACATGTAGTGGGTTGTATCATTTTTATTACAAACCTACGTAAAACTTATATAGGTCTATGTTACTTACAAATTGAACTGCAATAAAAATGTAATTGTCATTTAGCCTTATGTTTCTTAATTATTAAGTTTTGTCATCAGTTTGTCACATCATAAATCAAAGTTGTGTTTTAAGAATACATGTAGGCCCTAGGCTATTTAGCAGCTGTTAAGTTCAGAAACAAACATTGTAAGATTTTTATTTACAATTTATATTGACATAAAATCTACTTTCAGTTTTACTTTAATTCATACCATAGTTAACTTATATATCCGACTGTCATCCAGTAATTTTTCAAAACTACAAAGTTGATCTCACTCTAGTCTGTTACAACAGGTACAAGTCTAGGTATATATGACGTCGTCGAATATTTTTAAAGTTTTATCTTTGACAAAGTTATCATCCTACTGTTCCCCCCCCCCCAAGGGGGGGGGGGACATTAAACTGAAACTAGTGTTGTTTAAGGTCCTTATGTATAAAATTATTAAATAACCATAAATAAATTAACTGCAATTTCACTTCTTTCTTCACAGTTTCAAAGAGCACCGATTAAGTCTGGTTCAACACACAGGACCGACTTTGTGAAATATCCCCAGTACAGACCAGACGTCATGACACGAAGAAATGCAATGATGAAAAATGATGTGAGTATTTCACTTGTATGTCAAGTCTTGAAATTGCAATGTCCTCTATTTATGGGAATTCCCCTACGTTAGACTGAAGTTTGTGTGTGCTCACGTGGGTACCACTCGCGTCAGACATTCCAGAGACAAAGTTTAAATAAGTATTTTATTTCTCATTTCAGGGTCTTGACAACAAACATCTGTTTGCTCATCATAACAATGACTTCTCCAGCAATCTGATCTCATGGTATGACGAGCAGTTCAACAAACGGGAGAGAATGGGTAGAGACACTCTACCAGAGCTGCGATACTGGGACTCCAACAGACTAGCCTGGGAACCAGAAAAATCCGATCACCCAATCAGAGGTGAGTGTTACTGAATATTGCAATCTGGTTACAGGTTCCAATGTTATGGTTTCCAGGTTACCATTGATGGAAGTGTTTTTTTGATTGAAGAGATTCTTTTGATACTGGACATCATGTCAAACTATTGGCTTAACCCATAAGCTATTTCAATGAAGAAATTGTCACTGTAAATTTTGAATAGGTGGCGGTATATTTTGAGAGTCAGAATTTCAGAAGAAAAAAAAAGAATTTAAAACAAATATGGATCCCTATACCAAATATAAAAAAGGTGCACTGTACCAGGAAAGGAGACTCATAGTTTAAACAGAGTTTGAATTTTGTTTTCAATTACGACGGATCACATTTGTGTTATGTGAACAGAAATCAGAGGACCAAAGCTTGAATCTCATTTCTTGCCAGTTTGAATTCCTACGATTGAAACTGAAATTTACATGGAATTGTGTAAATCTTCTTACCTCTTGATGTAGATGGCCCATCCACCAACTTTGGCCTGCAAGAAAAGCTGAATGATAAATGGAAGAGAGAGCAAGCCCTGGCCGGTCTAGGTGAATACCACACCACGTACGGTCAGTCGTACATCCCGCAACCTTCCAATGCACTCGTTAGGAATCACTATGCACCACCGAGGGAGCTCTCTACCAGACTGCATCCCGTCAACCTGATCAATAAGGATCTAGGTCTCAGGAGCGTGAACGTTTTACAGACACCACAAGAGTTACAATTGCCAACGAGAACTGAGCCTGCCACAAGAAGTTTGCATGGTCCTACTCAAGTCTCTGTGTAAAGTGACAAAGTACCAACATTATTTGTCAATAATGTAAGTTATTTTCCAAGGGAGCATGGGTTGTATCCAAAAAATTCTACTAGATCTTTGGAATACACGAATGATGGTATGGAATTTAGGGGAGGGTTGTAGGGTTTTGTGTTCAGGGTGGGCATGGGTAAAGCTGCAAATTTGAAAAACAGTTCCATAGAAGAATGACTTTAATACGGGGGTTGGTATACTGTGTCATTACTTGTTATGAACCATGCATTTTCGGAATTACAGTTGTGAAAATATCACTAAACGAGTGCAACAGAAAATGTACATTTTTGTCGAAGTATTTTTGATCTATCAGACATCATGCGCAAATTCATTAGACTTTGATGTACTTGTGTAAAGTGCTGTAAAAGCATCCTCCAAAAAGTCACTTGTTAATTGGAGAATGAAATGTGCATGTTTGCCAGTTATCATTCAGCATTAGCTTACCTAGTATCAGTTTGCTGTGTACAGTGGGTTTGAAGTGGTGACAAAATATGCTGCTGTCATTGCAAAGCTGAAAAATATGCATCCTTGCGCAGCTTCGATCAAGGCTGGTTTTCAATTAGTCACATATATAAAGTCTGAATGCTGCTAAATTGTATTTATACAGTTGATCCATAGAGCTAGGACCCATGCTCTATGCAACATCGCTGGTATCGCACAATGTTCACGTGTACATTTCACTGTTGGCATCACCGCCTCGATGCAGTTGCAGTAGATAAATCTACATGTACATGAATTGGAACTGTGACTAGGATTGTGTCATGCAACTTTATGCAAACATCAAAACTGTGAGTGATCGTGCTCATATTCAAATTTATTCAAATATAGGCCTACTTGAGTTTTGAGTACCGGTACTTTTCATATGCAAATGTATGCAAATATAAGGAATGGACAGCATTCTTGCCATGGAGCATTCAAATTGCACCAGATCCAACTTCCAAGTAATATCTTGACCTCTCAATATTTAAGATTGTCGAGTGAAACAGTTATGTATTCTCAGATTACAATCTCATGAGTTGCTTTCAAAGATTTTTTACAATATGTGACACTTTGTGTAAGAGGCTGGTCATAACAATTATAGAAAATCACGTGATACAATCTTTAATCCAATTTTATCGTATTTGATATTTATTCAAGTGAAAGTCTATTTTCGCCCTCAATGCTGAAGAATCATGTGGATGCTTAATTATTTTAAGCAAGAATGACAATCTTGAAACAAAGTATTGCATCCAAAAATATGCAAAAGCTGCTGCAGTCTTTGCATTTTACATTTTTAAAAAAATCATGCATTTCACTTTTGGATAAAGTGCAAAAAAGAGCATTATTTTATACAACCAGGTACAGTTTTTCCTCTGTAGATAAAATCATTAAAACTGAAACTTTATCTGGTTTTTTTTCACCCAAAGAACAAATTGTCAAATGCAACCTACTTAATGCTGAAACAAAAACATTTGTTTAATAATATAGGCCCTTAATACCGGTATAATATTTGAAAAGCCTGGCATATTTTATATTGTCTAGTAACTACAGTATAGAGTAAGACTTTACACCTTATGTGGCAAGTTATTAAACATGAAGGTCACTTAAACAACATAAATGTTGCATACTGCCAAACTGGGGGGCAAATTCCAGCAGCAAAACAAGGCCAAATAAAAAAAAAACATGTTTAGCGTCCTGCCTTTTTGAAAGAAAGGAAGGAGGAGGCCCTTTTTTGTTGGTTTATTTGGCTTAAACTGTCAGCCTCCGGGGCACACACTGCATGAGACAATTTGCTAACCTAGATTGAATCATAATTGATTGACACATACAGCATGGAAAGATGATGTTCAATAATAAATATTCTTGACATAAACAAATTCAGGTCATTTATACATGTACATGTATATACATGTAAACCATGAAACATATATTTATTTTTTTTGCACTTTGCATTGTGTTCAACTTAAAACTATGAACAAGGAAATACCAGAAGTGGCTTTAAAAGTAGGACCAGCAAGTGATATACATGTACATTGTACTATGATAACTCTTGCGTATTTGTTCGAGATGAATCATGCATAAATTGGGTTATACAAAACATGAAATGTAAGCTAAATATCAAACTTTCATAAAGGAACAGATTTAGTTTAAAAAAATTAGAATCCCAAGTGTTTTCTTTGTATGCAATTTGTTTAATTGGTAAAGCATATGATCATGTTTATTGGCTGCTTCATATTTTATGCATTTGTTTTGGTTTGTTGTTTTTTTGCTGGCCACATGCAAATGGCTGGTTTACAGGGCATACAGTATTTTTGTCTGCAATACTGTATCAAATCACAGATGTAAATAAGTGTAAATAAATACACCTTTTATGGAGAAAAATGAAAACACTTTTTGCAGTATCAGTTTTTATTTTTTTGGTCGTGTGTTCATTTCACAAAATGTTGCTGTTAAAGTGTGTCCTTGGACATAAAAAGAATAGAGGTGTGTCTGTGTTGGAGCGATTAGTGTTGGGCTGACATCACGTACGTTTTATCCGGTGACACGCACTTTTCCAAAATGATCCCTCAAACTGGTTTTCACATTCAACTTGTGGGTCCATACAATCCTTTCAAACTGGCACACAAATTGCCAACAATTGGATTGGGACGGCTGCACGTACGTGACTTATGGCCTTCTTTAACAAAGCACAGATAAATGATCCGTGGTTCAAGTACTCCCATGGTACAACATTCTGCGCAACCCCGACTGACTTCATTTGAAGGCCACCATACCGGGGTCCGCTCATAAGTCCGACGCCTCATTAAGTCCGACAAAACCGCATCCCAATAAAGGCCCACAAGTCCGACGCCTCATAGGTCCGACGCCTCATAAGTCCGACGCCTCATAGCTCCGACGCCCGGTTAGTCCGACAAATTAAAAGCCTCGTTTTTCCGACGTCGGACTTATGAGGCGTCGGACCTATGAGGCGTCGCACTTATGAGACGGCCCCACCATACCAGTCAGTCTTTTGTAAAACCAGAGATGATTTTCCAATGCCATGCATATGTATCCATCAGGCATCATTTTGACATCAAGGTCAACGGAAGCACATTTTGTACTTCATGAATACAAATATACTTCAAACCTACTTCAGAAGTGCTTCAGTTCAGCTAGATAAATAGGCCTGGCACACACTGTTTCAAGAATGAGTGTAGACGTTTTTACCAGCAGTCGTCATGGTCATTTAAAATACATGTAATAGTGGCCAGACACGGACCTAAAATTCACCCACCACCTGCATAAGAATGATCATTAATGCAAATACATATTGCAACGAAAATGCAAGTCCGGTGATTAATTTCCAGTAAGCACACTTTATTCTTCACTCTGATAAAATACAGGTTCCTTTCATAAACTTAATTGATAAGACTTACGGAAGATAAGAAGATAAGTTTAAAGTTAACTCGTATTTCAATGAGAAGAATTAATGCCAATACAGTTGACTGTGTATTGATAATAGGGCCTATGATAAACTAATGGTAGAATAACTGTGAAATGAAATGACTTATACAAGTTTAATAAGCTTTCTAGGTCAAGACGTTTTGATTATTGTGAACAAGCTGATTGAAAATGTAGGGAGTTCAGTAAATGTAAATGGGGGATATAGTTGGGGAGACATGCAGTTATAGAAAAGCAATTTCTGTGGTGTGATCTGAGGCAATTTCTGACCACTAAAATCAATTGGAGCAAAAGAACATCTTTTAAAGTTTTGAGTTTGGAGTAATTGAATCAGATACATGTATTCTGAGCAATAGCATATTTATTGTAGGCTACCATTTTTATTCGGGGAAGAAAATGGTGTGTGTGTGTGTGGGGGGGGGGGGGGGGGTGACCAACAATGTCCCCCGCTTTAAAATGTGGGGGGGGGGGGGGGGGGACGGGGCGGGTGGGTTCCCCCTGTCCCTTGTCGATTTATGCACATGATAATTAGGTACCATGGCAACTGTCTGTAAACGGTTCCCGTTGGTCTGTTAAATTGGCATTTTGTGAGGAAGTCGCATTTGGAAAACGTAGTGAAAAGGTTACTGTAGTACACAGGCGAAGGCTGATTGTACAGTTTTGACAATAAATCATTATGTAATAAAACGTGAAGGTGTCATTTGAAACGAAAATGTTTAGTGTTACCATAAAATCACAAACGGTCTGAATCATGGAGGAATGTCATAATTAAGTTTCAGTATTGGTCTCTTCAACAAAGTAACGTAAACTTGAACTTCTTACAATTTACGAGAACGTCTGCGAGGAAAACTCAACTTTTATTCAACTTTTATTCAACTTTTATTCAAGTTGGATCAACCATCTATGTAAGAGTAAGTTTTACTCGGCCTTTTGAAGGTAGTCTATGAAGTCTGGTTTGTTGGTCTCCTTTCATTAATGAAAGATTTTGGTGAATTTTCTTTTAGCTGAAGCGTTACTTCACTTATTCCCTGGATTCCACAGTTTAACTAATTTAAAATAAGGCGGAAACATTGTGTGTAAATGAGAAGCCTTATTCCCCCTTTTGATGGTAGTCTATGAAGTCGGGTTTGTTGGTCTCCTTTCATTAATGAAAGATTTTGGTGAATTTTCTTTAGCTGAAGCGTTACTTCACTTTTTCCCCAGATTCCACAGTATATTATTACAAATAATTACAAATTGCACAGTGTTAAAAATATAATGATTTGTAATGATCGGGAGCAAGAACTCCCAGCGCTAGATCAGTCAACACTGCAGTCAGTCCCCATATATGGTAACCAGCTCCACGGAATACTGGCAAGACGTACGGTCCAATCTCCTTGGGGGAAGAAGAGGTGGATTTGGAGGGATCAAAACGTGTGTAGCCATGGTTACGAGGATCACAGAGATGGGAGATGGGTAATGTGAAGACTAACTCTACCTGCAACCCCCAAAATGGAAGAAAAAATCCAGATGAACTGAGGAAGAAGACACACAATTGCTGTGTCAAATTTTTGTAATTTGTTCAAAACCGTAACTCCCATGTAACTGTGTTTGATTTATATGTGGATTTATATTGAGAACGAATTATTGCAAGAATTCTTTCAATTATTGATTTTTTTAACATTCACAAATAGTTGCTTTGAATTAACATCTCTCGAGTCTAAGATGATTTATTAATTTACTTTCCAGACAAAACACCACCAGCTATAGCACGCACTTGCACAAGTGAAGTTTTCAATATTTATAAATATGTATCCAGCACCTTTATAAAATCCCAATCCTATCAGAAAAAATCAACCTGCAGCTACATGAAGTAATAACTAAATGAAAACATTAAATTCGTTGCATGATGGCACAAACATACCTCTTTCGTATCGTATCCAAGTTTTGTCAAATCAATGTCACCTATGTAGGCAAGCGTTGCTGTGGCTGATGTCTTTCCTGACTGAACAAAAAAATGGACAAAAGAGGTCTTTATATAAAACTAGAGCATGAACACAACTATGATACACTGCATGCAACGAGACACTTTCAGGCTGAAATACCTCAGGGTATACACTGCAGTTTCACACACTTGTCTGTAGAAATACACGCTAAAACAACCTTTACAAATTTGGATACATTTATAATACAACAAAAACTTTGGGGTAAACCATTTTGAACAAGAAAAAAAAAGAATTTTTCGAACGATGAACATGTTCCATTTATAGACCAAAAAGTTAGACACTACACATTGCAATCAAAAGTAAACACAGAATGCGAATTTCTCTTTGTTTTCTCTTCCCGCAGGGAATTCATTTTCATTCCGCAAATTGTGAATATAATTTCCCAAAGTGGGAAAACATTTCGTGCCTTTTTCTACAAGTAGGGAAAAAGTTTCACGCCTTTTCACACAAGTAGGAAAACAGATTCATTGCTTTTCACACAAGTAGCAAAACAAACCCAAGCCGTTTCACACAAGTAAAGGAAAACATTCATGCCTTTTCACAGAAGGTAAACATTATGTTCATGGCTTTTTCAGACAAGTAGGAAAACATTCATGCCTTTTCACACTAGAAGGTATTTGTGGCTTTCAAACAAGTATGAAAACAGTGCCTTTTCACACAAGAAGGAAAACATATATTCATGCCTTTGCACACAAGTAGGAAATGTTTTCAAGCCTTTTCACCTGAAGTGCTGGGAAAACATTTTCACGAAATGAGAAACGATGATGCGAATCGAACTCGAACACGAATTCATTTCAAAAATTTCTCAATCCAGTGTTAACTTTCAATTGCAATTTACTGTAAACAATTCCTCAGCAAAGCCCTCTTGACAAGTTACAAGGTTACAAACTGCTTGTAACTGCATAATCTCAATGTCTTCACAAATTCTTTACAATTCAAGAAGGTGATACGTGTACATACACGATCAGGGACCGGAACAAGTTGCCCCCACATTTCCACTGATTCCGGGCATATTCCTACTTCTTCCTTCAATTCTCTGAGTGATGTTTGAGTGACATCTGTGTCTTTTTCATCCATGACGCCACCAGGAAAACTTCAGGAAAAATGTCAAAATATAGGCATCTTTTTATTGTATAAATAAATGACGCAAAATGTATTTTCTTTTTCCTTGCTCATGAAAGCTAGTATATTATATTAAACACCTCAATCCAATAAAAAAATAACACCTTAGAGAATTATGTTTGTCTTAACGGCAGTACCCATAATTTCGCTTAAAATAAAGTGTTCTGTCAGTGCTTCTTTCGACAGGAGTATCTTGAATCATCAATATTGTCATAATTATTTCAATATTGAATAAAGTATTTTTAGGAGAAGAGCACTGCCTTTTTTCATTTTAAGAGGGTTTTGAAAAATTGCTAAATTTTGAATAAAAAATTTCAAAATAGTTTGATGTTCTGATCTTAAACGGGTCTGTGTGCATGCATTTCTTTAACAATGTCTGGTTCAAATGCTCAGGTTTTTTGATTTCCTGAACATCCCCCTTCCTGAACATCTTAATTTTCATCCAGGACTCATCTTACCTGATTTCTCCGCTGTGTGAGCTTACAAACTGTGACCGTAGAGTGTACAAGATTGAAGGAATCCTGTCAATCCTGCAAAGAGGTACACACACCCCTGCACTCCGTATTGGCCTCCTCTTGAAGAAAAAACTGGTTGTGGAAGGTTTCATGATTGACATTTGCTTGATGGCCCTAGCTTTATTATCCTGGGAAAATACCATGGACTCCAAACTGGATGTAGACTGACCAGAATCGACAAATCCGATTTTGGAGTTTTGAAGACTTTTTGACTGACTTCCATTTCTTATCTTGCAGACAGAAAATGTTCTTGGAGCTGTATATTTGCATATCTTATTTTTCCTCATTGATCTTGCAAAATAAGATGTGGTTGCTACGGAGACAAAATGTCGGGAGCATCTAAGAACCATTGATGCCAAACCTTGATGAGATTGTTGGAGTTGACAGGAGCTAACACTCAAAGACTTGGAGTGACGTATTGGCAATTTCACAAATAAAGACATTGTTGAGATGTCGCCGACAAGGGGAGCTAGCTTAACCCAATATTCTTGAGTTTTATTCATATGAAGGGGCCACTACTGAAAACGACATTAGATTGGCTGTTGGCAGACAGCATTTAAATCATCTACTTCACTGATTGACTCAGACAAATCTAGGCTGTGATGAAAATTCGAAGGATTTATTACGTGGATGAAATGTGTTACCGAGTTCCTTGTTTATTATGCAGAATCCAGGCCTGTAGGTAGGAAAAGAAAATAGGACAATTTAAAAATACAATCTAAAGACCCTTAATCTAATAGGACTTGTTTAGAATAACGACAATACCATGTTATGTAAACGCGAGTACCAAAATTTCCATAACCATGCACGGCATGCATGCGTTGCAGTGCACAGTATTTGTTACGTCAGTATAAACACATTAAAATAGGCATGCATCCTGCCCAAAAATGAGATAAAACGTACAATATGTGGTTAATCTTGCAAAGAAATATTCTGATTTTGAGAAAGAAAATGGCTAATGAAAAAAAAAGGATATATAGGCCTATACTAGTACTAGATACTAGCCCCATAAATGTGGCTATTTACTGGACTGCCTCCGTAAACATAGGCCACACATCCACATGTACAAAAACGTGTCGCACTTTGCCAAATTTTGATTTTCGCATTTAGGCTTAGTTTGTAGGTTTTTTCTGCTTTAGAAGCATACTCACCCTCTTTATAGGCTAAACAGAAAGTGCTGCCTTTTTCAGATGTATATTTTTCGTGAAATTTCCAGATTCATTTTTACACGTTTGCGTATCAAAGTTTAAACATGAAATTTCACAAAAATTAGACATCTGAAAAAGGCAGCACTTTCTGATTAGCCTATGAGTATGCTTCTAAAGCAAAAAAACCCTTCAAACTAAGCCTAAATATGAAAATCAAAATTTGGCAAAGTGCGACACGTTTTTGAACATGTGGATGTGTGGCCTATGTTTACGGAGGCAGTCCAGTAAATAGGCCACATTTATGGGGCTATACTAGTACTAGCGATCAGCAGCAGAAGTAGGCCAACGTAAACAACAAACACGCATTTGTACAAATTTCAACAACAAATATAATCATTTGTATTTCGTCAATCATGGAAGAGAATTACCTTGACTGTTGTAGACTAACTTGGCAATGCTAAGTTCCAGTTTTCCTTGATTACCACCAGCGCAGACGAAGTCAAATCAAATGCTTTGTTCGGAGGAGGTACACCGTACTGCGGCTCTGCAGGATGACCCGCTGTGCTGAATTCTCAGGGTGACAATCGCGCCGCCCCGCGCCTCAGACTATCGCGCCTCTAATTGCCCTTACAAAATCGTAACCGCTCGCCACTAATCCACGCAGTTAACCAGGTCACCCCACTGGTTTCTCTTTATATAGAGGTCAGTGGGTCACCCACACACAAAAAATGGTTATAGTACAGGCAATAATTATAAGGTTTGACCTCAAACGATTTTTTTTTCACCACAGTGCATTTCTATAAGGTCCCTAAAATGACATACTAAAAATTCTTTAAGTATCGAGGTGGTGGAAATATGCCTAATTTGCATAAATCCAAAATGGCCGCATATGTTAGGACTGTTCGCATTGATTTGGTCATATTTCTCATACTAGGTTGATTTTGAAGGTACTTTAAACGACAGTTTGTCCTTTTACATTGAGATACTCATTATTTTAGTCCTGGGTAAATTTCAAGATCCCTATGTTTCCGAAATTTTCCAAATGCCGTATAATTTGCATAAATGCCGTATATCAATTTGCCTAAATCAAAGTTAAAATAATGGATGCCATGTGTGGACATGTACCAACTGAATTTTTCCTGATAATCCAAGTCAAATTTCACACAACAGTGCATTGCTTTAAGGTCCCTAAAAAGTTGTTAAAAATCCAAGTGGTGGCAGCCTCGACTCCAGGGGCGCGCGTGCTCGTTCGTTACACTAACCCCTGGCTGTGATGATGACGTAAATGACGCTGAATGGCTATTCACAGCGTACTGCGCGCGCACTTCGAAGATTGCACGCCGGGCGCGGCCATAATGCGCTCGCGTGCTTTGCACGTAACGTCACGTACGAAAAAACAAATTATAATTCAAAAGTCGCGATGCCTGTACGATATGGATTATGTCAGCCGCGTTTTTCGCTAAAAAGACCCCTGTATCTGTGGTTGTAAAGGCACGAAAGGGGTACGTACATTTAATACAAATCTTTGCTAATTTACACAATTACGTCCAAATTAACGTTGTGTTTGAAAGGATTGATTCTTCAAAATCACAACTTTTAACAGGGTTGTAGGGTTTTGTGTTCAGGGTGGGCATGGGTAAAGCTGCAAATTTGGAAAACAGTTCCATAGAAGAATGACTTTCATACGGGGGTTGGTATACTGTGTCATTACTTGTTGTGAACCATGCATTTTCGGAATTACAGTTGTGAAAATATCACTAAACGAGTGCAACAGAAATGTACATTTTTGTCGAAGTATTTTTGATCTATCAGACATCATGCGCAAATTCATTAGACTTTGATGTACTTGTGTAAAGTGCTGTAAAAGCATCCTCCAAAAACTCACTGGTTAATTGGAAATGGAATGTGCATGTTTGCCAGTTATCATTCAGCATTAGCTTACCTAGTATCAGTTTGCTGTGTACAGTGGGTTTGAAGTGGTGACAAAATATGCTGCTGTCATTGCAAAGCTGAAAAAACTTGATATGCATCCTTGCGCAGCTTCGATCAAGGCTGGTTTCCAATTAGTCACATGTATAAAGTCTGAATGCTGCTAAATTGTATTGATACAGATGATCCATAGAGCTAGGACCCAGCTCTATGCAACATCGCTGCTATCGCACAATGTTCATGTGTACATTTCACTGTTGGCATCACCGACTCGCCGTTGCAGTAGATAAATCTACATGTACATGAATTGGAACTGTGACTAGGATTGTGTCATGCAACTTTATGCAAACATCAAAACTGTGAGTGATCGTGCTCATATTCAAAATTATTCATATATAGGCCTACTTGAGTTCTGAGTACTTTTCTTATGGAAATTTATGCAAATACAATGTATAAGGAATGGACAGCATTCTTGCCATATAGCATGCGAATATTGCACCCGATCCAAGCAGTCCAGAGTAATTAATGTCGTGACTTCTCAATATTTAAAATTGTCGAGTGAAGCAGTTATGTACCATTTCCTCAGATTACAATCTCACAAGTTCCTTTCACAGTTTTTCTATACGTGTGACACTTTATGTGAGAGGCTGGTAAAATCAATGTACATTTAGTCATAATAATTATAGGAAATCATGTGATACAGTCTTTAATCCAATTTTATCGTATTTGATATTTATTCAAGTGAAAGAGTCTATTTTCGCCCTCAATGCTGAAGAATCATGTGGATGCTTAATTATTTTAAGCAAGAATGACAATCTTGAAACAAAGTATTGCATCCAAAAATATGCAAAAGCTACTGCAGTCTTTGCATTTACATTTTAAAAAAATTGATGCATTTCACTTTTGGATAAAGTGCAGAAATCAGCATTATTTTATACAATCAGCTGCAGGTACAGTTTTTCCTCTGTAGATAAAATCATTAAAACTGAAACTATATCTGGTTTTTTTTCACCCAAAGAACAAATTGTCAAATGCAACCTACTTAATGCTAAAACAAAAACTTTTTTGTTAAATTATATAGGCCCTTTATACCGGTATATACATAATATTTTAAAAGCCTGGTATATTGTCTAGTAACTACAATGTATTGTAAGACTTTACACCTCATGTGGCAAGTTATTAAACATGAAGGTCACTTATCCACATAAATGTTGCATACTGCCAAACTGGGGGGCAAATTCCAGCAGCAAAACTAGGCCAAATAAAAAAAAAACATGTTTAGCGTCCTGCCTTTTTGAAAGAAAGGAAGGAGGAGGCCCTTTTTTTTTTCTTTTTCTTTCTTTTCTCCAAACCACCGGCCGAGCTATTTTTCAAGATGGCCACCAGCTTTTTTTTGTTTAAATGGCCGCCACTTGGACTCAGGAAATGACATACATGTACCAGCTTTATAATTGCTAGATGGAGCAGAGAAAGAGGCCAAAATGATGTCTCTAGTTTAAAATGTATCATTTTTTTTCGTTAAAAAAAAAAAATGAGGCGGCCTCCAAAAAGGATGCGGGCAGGGACGCTAAACTTCTTTTTTTTATTTGGCTTATACTGTCAGCCTCCAAATTCAGGTCGTTTATACATGTATATACATGCAAACCATGATTTTTTTTTTTTTTTTTTTGCACTTTGCATTTTGTTCAACTTAAAACTATGAACAAGGAAATACCGGAAGTAGGACCAGCAAGTGATATACATGTACATTGTACTATGATAATTCTTGCGTATTTGTTCGAGATGAATCATGCATAAATTGGGTTATACCAAACATGAAATGTAAGCTAAATATTAAACTTTCATAAAGGAACAGATTTAGTTTAAAAAAATTAGAATCCCAAGTGTTTTCTTTGTATGCAATTTGTTTAATTGGTAAAGCATATGATCATGTTTATTGGCTGCTTCATTTGTTTTGGTTTGTGGGGTTTTTTTGCTGGCCACCTGCAAATGGCTGGTTTACAGGGCATACAGTATTTTTGTCTGCAATACTGTATCAAATCACAGATGTAAATAAGTGTAAATAAATACACCTTTATGGAGAAAAATGAAAACACTTTTTGCAGTAACAGTTTTTATTTTTTGGTAGTGTGTTCATTTCACAAAATGTTCCTGTTAAAGTGCGTCCTTGGAGTTAGACATAAAAAGAAAAGAAAACCCTAACAACATGTTGAGGTCTATGTGTCTGTGTTGGAGCAATCGGTGTTGGGCTGACATCACGTACGTTTTATCCGGTGACACGCACTTTTCCAAAACCGTATGCCCATGATCACTCAAACTGGTTTTCACATTCAACTTGTGGGTCCATACAACTTGTGGGTCCATATCCTTTCAAAGGGGGGGGGGGGGGGGCACAAATTGCCAACCATTGGATTGGAACGGCTGCGCGTACGTGACTGGCCTAATAAATGGTCCGTGGTTTAAGTACACCCATGGTACAACCCCGACTGACTTCATTTGAAGGCCACCATACCGGGGCCCGCTCATAAGTCCGACGCCTAAGTCTCCGGTTTCTGGTATGCGCGCGCATCGCCGAAGCCATGCGCGTCGGCAAAATGAAAAAGTTTTCTTTTCAATGAAAGATGATGTCTCAAAACTGCCAAACTAACTGGTTTGACTGGAATCCTCCTGCTACACAATTTTTACGTGTTTTTAGATAGGGTTATGGTCGAGAATAATTAAGCTTTATGTGGCCTCTCTGGACTCCCATATATTTTCACTAAGTTTAGTCGGGCACCATTTGCAGTCATCAGCCGACATTTGAACCAAAAAAATCAGGTAAAAAAAAAAAAAAAGCCGCGTCGCCGCACCACTTTTTGGGCAAGCTCCAGTACCAGAAACCGGAGCCTTTTTTTTTTGTTGGCCTGAAGTCCGACAAAACCGCATCCCCTAACCAAATAAAGGCCCATAAGTCCGACGCCTCATAGGTCCGACGCCTCATAAGTCCGACGCGTCGCGACGCCTCATAGCTCCGACGCCTGGTAAGTCCGACAAATTAAAAGCCTCGTTTTTCTGACGTCGGACTTATGAGTGAGGCGTCGGACCTATGAGGCGTCGCACTTATGAGACGGCCCCACCATACCAGTCAGTCTTTTGTAAAACCAGAAATGATTTTCCAATTCCATGCATAATGTATCCATCCGGCATCATTTTGACATCAGGGTCAACGGAAGTACACTTTGTACTTCATGAATACATATGTACTTTAAACCTACTTCAGAAGTGCTTCAGTTCAGCTAGATAAATAGGCCTGGTACGCGCTGTTTCAAGAATGAGTGTAGAAGTTTTTACCAGCAGTCATTTAAAATAATAGTGGCCAGACACGGACCTAAAATTCACCCACCACCTGCATAAGAATGATCATTAATGCAAATACATATTGTAACGAAAATGCAAGTCCGATGATTAATTTCCAGTAAGCACACTTAATTCTTCACTCTGATAAAATACAGGTTCCTTTCATAATCTTAATTGATAAGACTTACGGAAGATAAGAAGATAAGTTTAAAGTTAACAACTCGTATTTCAATGAGAAGAATTAATGACAATGGAGTTGACTGTGTATTGTTAATAAGGCCTATGATAAACTAATGGTAGAATAACTGTGAAGTGAAATGACTTGTACAAGTTTAATAAGCTTTCTAGGTCAAGACGCCATGATTATTGTGAATGAGAATAACATTTGGCGCAGAGGTTTATGACCAATCAGAGCATTGCAAGAGACATTTTGTTATTATGCGCTAGCTCCTTGCACTGTGTACGCACCCAAACGCTATAAAAGACTAGCCAAGTCGGGGCTAGCTC